TGTAGGAGGAAACCGTAGTACCCGGAGTAAACCCACACAGAAACAGGGAGAACATGCAAACTCCACACAGAAACGCCCTGACTCGGATTCGAAACCAGGACCTTCTTGCTGAGGCGACAGTGCTAACCACTACACCACTGTGCCGCCCCTCAGTAAGTGATACTAACTCCCAAAAACGCAGTCGGCCCATGCTGCACCGTGCGGAGGCTACAGTCCAAGTCCAAGCTGCATGTCATCCCGTATTCTCTACTCTGCTCATTTCCTGTTTCTCCTCAGATGTCCTATCAAAAACCGGCAAAAATGGACAAAAACAGAAGTTAAGGTTAATATGTCGTCTCTTTGGTGCCCCCTGTGGACAAAGCCGTACCTTATGTCCTTGATGAGTTGTCAGGTACATGAGAATTAGTGAACAAAAATAAATGTGTATCTGAAGGAGTGGATGAACCATGAAAAGGAAACACACCACCGGCTGCTTGTCTTGCTCTCTGATCTTAAACAGAAAATACCAAAAATGATCTGATACACAATCTCATTCCTTGGGTACTTGGCTGCATTACAGGACATAGTTTTTACTTCAAGGTAGGTGAACTCCTTTACAACTAATCATAAAAAAATCCCAAGGTGTTGTGACATTACTGGCCTTCTTTTTTTTATTTCTGATTCTTAGAAACCAGCCAAGTTGAATTTAAGGTTTCTCCCTCTCTCTCTCTGGCAATAAAGAGGAACTGTGTGAATTTACCTGAATAACAAAAAAGCAAAAGCGGAATCAAACTGTTTCTGTTCTCCACTAAGAGGCTGCTGGCATTAAAAGTTGAAAACATCACAACAGTGTGTCAGTGTTCACACACACTGTAGTTTCAACAATGCCAGTAAACAGCCTGCTGAGTGCTTTCTAAAATATTCCCTCGACTACTTTCTGTCGATACTTCCTGTTAAGCAGACTGGAAACCTGACACTAAGAACAATGAAGTCACACAAGAAAAGCGCCATGAAACCTAAGCCTCACACACATCACATGTGAGTGCAAGATACACTCACATAACATGCCCTAAAATCCGCCGCAGGGAGGACACTTGTCACCTCTGCCAGTGGACCGATCACAGGTCGTGGATCTCCTTATTTGGAGTGTGAGTCACTGATTGGAGGAGGCGTGATGAAGCCATGTACTGACTGTGCCAAATGAGGCAGAGCCACAGTAGGTTCATGCCATTAGTGCAGCAGAGTGTGTGAAGCAGACACACCCTCATACAGGTAGTGCTTTGGTGGAGGGCCCCCGGAGGCCTTGCAAGCCTTCAAGATAATTAAAGGATTTGCCAGAACATGAAAATGACCCAGATTCTCAGCACCTGACTCAAGGTGTGGCAGTGAGCGAAGGAGGGAGGTGGAAGATTTTGCATAAGGCCTCCACTGAAAAACAAATTAAAATCCGTAACTGCAGCATAAGTCTAGTAAATGGGCTGATTTCTTTATTATGCCCCCATAAAAAGCTTCACTTAAAGTCTGTTTTGATTGCACAACAAGTTAAAGCAGGGAGGAGTAAACTTTTTATTTAACTGAAATGACTTTGCAGGTCGGCTTGTATGAAACTGTACGACTGCTTTGCACACAGAGTTTCATATTAAGCCAACTGTTCCTCCTTTGCTCAGAAAACCCAGTCATAAACACAGCTTAAGATGACTCAGGATCAGTCTGCATCCTCATGCTGAGCAAACACAGCTGCTGGTTTCTTGGTGAAAAGGAGCCACCGTGTGGACAAAATAGAGTACTGCAGCTTAAACACTTGAATTCTCAACAACAGTCAACCCTGAATCAGCTGAGAAATGGACTTTAAAAGTTATAAAAAAATGAAATGTAAGGAAAAGGTTTTGATAATTAGTACTTGTATTAGTATTTGGAATTTAATACTTGTGAATATAGTTTAAGCAGAGACAGGGGAGACAGGCAGGAGCTTGTTTTGTAGCTTCTCTGATTGCATTTTTGAGGAATACAAGCATGACAGTACACAGTGTTTCTATGACAGAAACATCTCGTTACCCAGGAACATTTTTACAGCCTGCTGGCAAGATGACAGCTACATAACATGTAGTCAATGTTTAACCCTTAGCTGTGCCACACATATGAAAAGAGACATGTCTTGAAATCAGTGTTTTAACAATGCAAGCTGTCATTCTTTGCGGACGGCACTGTCAGTCACTGCTTTGACACACACTGAAAAGCTGTTAAATCTTTATGGCTCTGACATAGTCTTTGGTACAGGACACAGTCCATATCTAAGAAAATCAAAGCGGTGGCAGCTGATAATCATAGTTATGCAAGGAGTTGATATAAATGTACCAGTATGAGCCACTTCAGATGGTTATATTCAGTGTATTGAATTATTCATTTGACTCCATCAACACAACTACGTAGTTTGAAAACTTTGCTTGACCTGGACTGCTGCCAAACAACACATGAACATTTTCATGCAGACTTGTTACTTTGTGTGTGTGTCTACATGTTTCAGCTTCTTTGCATAATGTACACATTTTTTACATGTTTACATAGACCCATCATGCCATAATATTAGGAACACCTGGGCAATCTAATGCAACGAAATACAACAGCTCTACCATAAATTCAACTTTCAGGAGGCTTTTATACAGTTATTTTATGACATGACCAAACAGACGGCTAATGTACTTCATATTCATTACCAAAGACAAAGTGGTGATGTACTAGAGTTAGTTACACTGAAAGAGGCTCTTATATTTGTAATAATAATTATACAGAATTGAAGGCCATTTTCCTGTCATTAGGAACCCAGACAATACAAGAACCATGCAACATGAGGATGAGACGATGAGGACCAAAATAAAAACATTAAATAGTTAAGAAAAAAGGAAAATGCAGTTAAGAGGGGAGACGACAGCGGAAACAGGATAGTAAATATAAAGGAAAATATCAACAATGATAATAAAATAATAACAGGTAATACTGATAATAATAGTAATGATAAAATAGAGCAACAGAAATGAGCAAGAGATAAAACAATAAAAAGCCTAAAAGGTTAATTTAGAAAAGAGTTCCAAGTATAGCAAAAGCTAAAAAGACAGTAAGGCCAAAATAAGATTAGTCCATAGAGTCCATAGATTTAGTTCACTTTGAGGATAGCAAAATATTAGTAATGCACTCATACTTAAACTTTGACTGAAAACGTAAAGGGGAGTGAATTATAAAAGTTATGTCAAGTAAAAGGTAAAGAAAGTACCTGGTAAATGTCGATGAGGAGTCAACTCACCTTGTTATGTACCGGCATCAGGAGGTCAAACCAATGGTTAGCTTATGGCTGCCTTTAACTGTACTCATACAGGGCTACTTAGCACACCTGAGCAGGGTGAATTTCGACAGTAAACAGCGCCCAGAATAAACAGCTTTACTTTGAAAACACAGTGCTTAAGCTTAACTAAAATATAAGTACGGTAGCATTCTGCTGTAAGCTCATGTTAGCTTATGACACTGTTAGCAGAACTGCTAGGATAACCGAAGAAGGCCCATTAGCTTATTTTGTCACAGTCGTATTTTCTGTCATAAATTCTGGTGTCGGGCCACAAGTTCTAGAAGGGTTTTTCTTATTTTCATAGAATCTATAGAGTCTGTAGAATTGCATTTAAAGAAGAATGAATTTTAAGGTGTAAGACAGGTTGAATTTTCAGCCCTTGAAGGAGTTAACCATGTTTGATTAAGTACGAGGAGATTATGAGGCGTAACTTCGTTTTTTGTCGTTCGCGAATGATTCTTTTAAAAAAACGAATCTTTTAAATGACCGTATTGAACCGAATCACTTCCTCGAGTGATTCATTCATTTCTCAGTGAGAAACAGCATTGCCAGCGAACGAGGGACCGCATGCACCGACATCTGAATCACTTTGTGAACGAAACACGCATTGAACTACACTCTCTGGAATCATTTATGTCAGACAAAACTACCTTTTTAAAATTTTTTTTACTGCTACTTGGCACCACAACAACTTGCATACAACAGGACAGGCAGCAGTTTGCAAGGGAACGGTGTATGTTCAGTTTGAATTCTTCTAAACATCCAGTGAACGAATCACTCACTGAGCCCAATTTACTGAGCAGATCTGATAAATAGCATACTGTAGGACAGCACACTTAAGACATCATGACTTGTAAACAAGTTCATTTTACAAACCTATTTGCCAAAGTATCACAGCCAAACACTTGAATTGAACTGAATCCTGAACCGTTCAGCTGTGTATCAGTAGCCAAGCGCTACATGATTATGTGATTTAGTGAACGAGTCTCTTGAACGAATCTTTTTTGTAAACTGATTCTAGTGATTCGGTACATCTAAAAGAACTGCTGTGCCCACCACTAGCTCTGGTGTGACACCGATTACAACAAACATACTCACCTTTTTTAACTTCACCATTTATTTTCATGGCGGTTACTCTCCTTTTTCTTATCCCCACTGTTTCTTCTTTTCTTGAAGTCTGTTTGTAAGGAGAGACCTTCCCCTAGCAACGGTGTATTTCTCATAGCAACGGTATGTTACCAAAATTAACAGACCTCAGCTATGCAGAATTAACCAATTAGAGACCAGAATTCATCAAAGTTTGCGATTACTTTTAGTAGAAGTTGCTGTGATTTTTCACTCACCTATCAAATTGGGGTAGAAATACATAGCATAGAGACCAAACTTAACATATATTACAAGAATGTATAGCAATACTTATGGTGCTTAGGCTAAGTGCTGGAGTCAGCATGTAAACAGTGTTCATTCTAACCACTGGTGCTCAACAACAGTATCCGAATGTGTGAAATCAAGGCTTATAAGGAAAACCCAGAAATGATGAAACACTTTTTGTTGATTGAAAAATCTGAAACACAAAGATAAATAAAAATAAAACACAATAGCTTGTTCATTTTTGAACAAGCTATACATTTGTAAAATAACTTTTCAGCAGTAATAAATGATTATTTTTTTCCAAAACACAGTGTTATGATCAAATAAATACATTTAATCCCAAAGTCTGATAAATCATACATGGAACATAATCAAAGTTAGTGATATACAGTACAGTAATTTCACTAAAAACCTGTACATCATATTTTAAAAAACCGTTACAGTACATGGGGCTAATAATTAATAGGATAAAATCATTTTGGGAGGAGAGTTTGAAAACTCGAGGACATGCAGCTTCAAGGTAAAAATACCAGAGAATCAGTTCAGTTTAAACATACTTTACATGCATATACATACACAGAGAATGTATCTCTGTAAACACGCACTAGTAATCACTCACCTAATACTCCTCCTTTCACATATTGCAGAGAACAAATACACTTCTTGCATTACCTTGTAATTTGTCTCATCTAAGCAGCAGAATTGGAAACAGACAATAGCTGCATACCATTTCCGATAATGTAGTTTAGTAGATTTTTTTAAAGAGAAAAATGTTTGCAGCCTTGAGCTGGAGTATTCATTGCAAGGTCAGACACTTCTATTGCTTTTAAGCCTGTTGATTAATGTATGATATAAAACATACATATAAAAACAAAGGCAATAAAAATGATTAACACAAAAGAACCTTATTTTTTAACATGGAATTATACACATCTTATTTCATCTGGCTTCTGTTTATGCAATTTTTAAAGTGTCCAGTAGGTGGCAGCAATATGTCTCATGTGGAAATGCATCCTGCTAAGTAGTGTTATATGACAACACTGATTTTGATCCATTCTTTTGTTGTTGTTGTTGTTGTTGCAGTTTTTCTATTAGAAGTTAAAATAGCAATGTCCATACTGTCATGATGCTTCAGAGCCATACTTCTAAACAATCATACTTCCATTTCATGTTCACAGTCAATCCACTGGTATCTTCACATTACTACGTAGAGGAGTGTCTATCTTGTTTTTATGCTTGTCCCATTAGCACCAAATCCACCCGTTAACATGAACCGTCAGCTCGTTTTTGCATGAAAGAGGAAAGTGTACAGTCTTGATCTGTCGAGTACAGGAAGTCACATGATCCACATGGACAACATTTGAGGAAATAGGCATTGTTCTTTATGTTTTTCACCTGCATGGAGTCCCAGATGTCTGGACATTAAGACTATTTAAGACATGTAGTGTAACTTTAATAAGTATCTAGGTTTTTCTATGTTATATAGGTTTATATTTTGACCAAACAAGAGGATTTTAAGCCATTTTTAATACTTTGAAAGCCAAGGAATATTTGCCAAACCAATTACGACTATTTTTATTTATAATTTGCTGTGTTTCCTGCTATTAAAATTTGTACTGAGCCAAAAATAAAAGGACAAAATTTTGAGTGGAAACTGCACAATACCCGGTGAAAATGCTCTGATGGAAAAATCTGTGACAGTTTCTTGTATTTTCAAGTAAAAACCCCAAATCTCTCGCTAAAAATCGACTTCTTTTGTTACTTACAGTGTACGGAGAAATTCAGTAGTATTTCATAAATGGAAGAAGCCATGAGTGGAAAGAAAATCACATGTGAGGACAAATATTTAAATAACATTTAAATGAATGAAGAAATGCGGCTGTAGATCAACTTTAAAGCACACACGAATGGACATGCACACACAGAGTGAGTCATGAAAAGATTATGAGAAACTATAAAAAGGAAATTACGGAGAGGTTTGATGCTGCTGCTCATGACTCACAACCACTGCCATGAACAGAAAAGCGGCCCTGCTATTATTGTAAATGGACTACATTTATTCAGCGCCTACACACTCACACACACACACACACTCACACACACATACAAATCCATTCACACACTGATGGCGGAGAAGCTGCCATGCAAGGCTGTGATCTGCTCACCAGGAGCAGTTTGAGGTTCAGCGTCTCACTCCAAGACACTTCGACATGCTGTCAGGAGGAGCACTGTCCCCAGATTATGATCGTCCTTCACACAAGCAGCTGACTGACTCACAAGACATACATTATGACCGCTGAATGAGTTCTGTTTTAACATATATTATACAGGAAGACAACTTTCTCATGCTTTTTTCTATACCAGGCATTGTGGGTATTCACTAGCGGCAGAAACACATTCTTCATGGTGTAAAGCAGACACATGGAGCACTGCCTCTGGGTGGACGGTATGTTCTGTAAGAGCTTCTTGTAGCTACATTACTACAGTACTTTTGAATAATACTAAAGAACATTATGTACATCTTTAAAAAGAACAGCTGCAGCTACTTTTATTTTGTCTTCTTTGCAGCAAACATTCTGCTTTTTCACTGACAGAGACGCCCTTGAAAAACAGAAATGTTACTGTTTGTTCTTCTGCGGGGTGATAACACTAATCTCTGCGACTTTTTTCTTTTTTTTTTCTGTTTTAATCCCGAGTTTTTGCAGTCGATGGGAGAGGAGGAATTAAGAGCGAACTCCCGGTCATTCAAGAAACTGATCTCCTCAAGGTCAGCGGCACATGGGTGGGAATGGGTAGGGGGTGTTATGGGATGCAGCAAACACAGCAGCATGGAGTTATGGTGCCTCTGTAGACTCTAGAGAGCACGCAGAGTGGTTTGGGTTTTCTTAAGACCCAGTTGGGTTTTGTTTTCTCGCTGTTTTGATACTCTTCACACCTCTGCACGTGAGCCCAGTCTACACAGCTGTCTGTTTGTCCTCCCCTCTGGTGCAGTTCATGGGAGGAGTTTATGAAAAGTGGCTGAGGAGGGTGGAGCAGGACTATCGGGCTGGTTTCGAGTGCGTCATTCTTCATTTTTCCGCTCTCATTCTACTTTAAGGTAGCCGTTAGCATCACTCATCATCCCCCTCATCCTCTCTCTCCTCCTCCCACCCTCCAAAGGTCCCCCCGCCCCTCCTCCTTCACCTCCCCCTGCATCCAACCGATGCTTTGACCAGCCGTCCTCGGGCCCCTCGTGGAAGCGCAGCCGCAGGGTTTTACGAATAACCAGGCGCTCCACGATGAAGGAGGCGCAGAACCAGGGCACTGCGTACTCAGCCGTGATCAGCCCCATGAAGTTGTAGCGAAACTCGGTGTAGTCCCAGGGACAGGCGTTGAACTGGCGCAAAAGCAACCCCGTGCCAAACTCCCACAGGTACGTCCATAAGGTGTAGATGATGCAGCGAAGCAGCACGGGGCAGCGGCTGCGCAGCTTCAAGTACATCTGCTCCACGATGAGGATGCAGGTGCCGTAGATGAAGAGCGCCCACACGCTGGTCACGCCGGGGAACTTCCAGTTGCAGTTGACCACGAACTCCCAGGCGGCTGTGAACATGACCTCGCAGAAGTAGCCGTGGATGGCGTAGAGATACCAGCGGGACAGCGCCGTCAGAGGCACGGGGGACTCCGGGGTTTCCAAGGTCACCATCTTGTTCTTGGGCGGATTATCCGAATGTCAATTAAAGAAGCGGCTCTGAGGAGACAGAAGAGGAGGACATTAAGTACATCATTCAGTCAGTGCAAACTTCATCCTCAAGCGAAATCCTTTAATTTGGAATCAAATCATCTCAACCAATCATTCACCTTCCTTTGCAATGGCGGCTGACAGGTGGCATCAGTTAGAAGTTATGACATCCAAGTTCTTTAGTTTAAAGCCAAAACAATATGTTGATACACAAACTCTAACGCAGATTTCTTGGGGGATAATCATATTTTAAACGAGACTCATACCACCCCTTTGTTTTATAATAAAGAAATACAAAACCCAGTTCCGATGAAGTTGGGAAATTGTGATAAACGTAAATAAAACAGAATACAATGATTTGCAAATCCGTTTTTTTGAGGGGGAAAGCTGCTTTTATACCCAATCATGGCACCCACCTGTTCCCAATTAGCCTGCTCACCTGTGGGATGTGCCAAATAGGTGTTTGATGAGCATTCCTCAAATTTCTCAGTATTTTTTGCCGCCTTTCCAAACTTCTTTGTCACGTTTTGCTGCCATCGAATTCTAAAGTTAATGAATATTTGCAAAAAGACAATAAAGTTCATGAGTTTGAACATAATAACATAATTGAATATAGGTTGAAAAGGATTTGTAAATCATTGTATTCCGTTTTTATTTACGATTTACACATCTTCCCAACTTCAGTGGAATTGGGTTTTGTAAAAACATTTCCTTCCGGCTTGCCTTCTTTCTCTCTTTTGTTTCTGTTTTCTTATTTCGCTTTAAGGGGGACATGCCGCCGCAACAACACTCTCGCTGCTTGATTGGCAGCAGTCAGATCAATCCTGTCAACTTGTCGAGGGTGGACTGAACCATTTTGTGCAAACAGCGGGAGCGACAGGGGTCTCGGAGGGAGACCTCTTATTTTCCATTAGAAGGGTTAAGAACTGCGCGCGTTCACTCTGCTTTATTTCACTTCACTTACAACAACTATTACCTGGAAAAAAATAATGCAAACCAAAAGCATATTTCTATTTCCTGCTTACAACAAGCCTCTTCCTCCTCGGGGTCTCTGGTTAGTAAGTCCCACTTTCTCGACACTACAACACTCTTGGCTGTTGGGTGTGTTTACAGCTCCTCTCCATGCAGTATTTTTGATTTTTAGCTGAAGATTTAGAGGAAACAATGAAATATGTAAGCCATCCTGTTGTTTTTTCCAGAGAAATAAGCCTCAGAATTGAACTTTTTCATCTATTTCACAGCTTGAGCACATTTGCAGCATTCATCTGTTAAGCCTCATTAGAGGACGACTCTAATTTTGAAGAGGCTGTTAGTGTTGACTTTGACAGCCCATCAGAATATTTCATACAGCACATCTATTGTTTTATATTAATGGGGAAAATGGATGTTTAAAAAGAGGCATGTTGAGCTGTTTAGCACAAAGCTCTGTATGTGTGTGTGTGGGGGGGTGCCTCTGCACACCAGTAAGTTACCAGCTCCTTTCACTGTGTCCTGCTGTTGTGTGAAAAACTACTTGTGCAGTGCAGCATGAAAATCTTTGGTTGCGTATTGCGTAACAGAAAAAAAAAAGCAGATTATTGACTGAATTCTTTGTCCAAACAACACAAGTTTCTTTGGTCGTGTTGTAAAACGGTTTAATGAAAAACCAACGGCTTATAAGACTGTGTAATTTCGAGGAATAGAGAAAAAGCCTCTCTGTTTTCATGGAGGCTAAAGAAAGCAGCATCTGTTCTAGTCTCTGCATACTCTGAAAGTTCGAGAAATCGGGATCAAAACTGGCAAATATTTGGCCACACTGGACATAAATATGGATGACACGCCTCCCTTCTTTTCCAGTGTAAAATCTGAGGCCAAAACACAGTCCCAGTGGGTGCTGACATATCGCCTCAGTGGCGTATTTTGTGGCCGTGAAATGGACAAAAGCAATCTGGCTAATGGAGCCACTCTACTAATCTGCAAAATTGCAGGAGGTGCATTTGACTACAGAGGTGTCAATCATGATGCCATTTTTAATACCTATATTTTGATGCACTCACATTCTGGCGACCCGCATCAAATTTTTGACATGTTGCACTTCCAAAATCTAGCTGTCACAAAGCTAGGCGAGTTTATTGATGAAGCACATTTAAGCAACAGCGCCACTGAAATGCAAACACTTCCTGGTCCCCTGAAGAAGGTGGATTTAGGTGTTATTGCTCATGTAAAGGGTGAGCACGAAATGGGTGTGGCCATTACTCTTGGTTGTTTACTCATGTTTCTGCACAAATGGGGCCTAGTATGTCAGTGTGTTAACATGATGTTCAAAAACTTGATTGGGTCTGGATCATGTTAGTCCAACTGTCTCAAAGTCAGGCTATCATATCCTGATGATGATGCAGTTAGGGGTCGATTGTTTGTCCTGTACTTGCTTTGAACAAAATTAAAGGAATATTCCGGCGTAAAATTAATTTAGGGTCAAACACACCATAACAACGAGTTAGACACCCTCTGGAGAGATGAATGTTGCCGTCGCTTGCTTCTCTAGTTATACCAACTTTAGTAACGACCGCATGATAGCAATACACTGCGGTCTCAGGATCCATAAACAAACCTCAACCAAAACGCCACTCTATAGCCACAAATGATGTTCAGAACAGCACCTAACTTCATCAACAGTACATATAGGGTCCCAGCCATAGCACTAGCCACCAAACATCTTTTTAGCTTTGCCTAATTTCTTTAGCAAAGAGACTAAACAAAACTCACCTACTCTCTTCCAGCAGCAGTTTGTAGTGAGACCTCAGGCCAGTCCATACAACAGCGGGGGGACACAGCTCAAGGAAGAACATTTATGATCACTACTTTATCGTTTCCTTGAAGTAATAATCACCATATTAATCATTTCAGACAGGTTCATTGATTGTTTTCATACCTGGCACAATAGGTCACCGACAAGACTGGGTCAAGGACAGTAGTCCAAGTACATCACATGATGGATTTATGACCTTCGCTTGATTTGAGTCTGCATGTAAACACGCTGAATGAACCCAGAGGAACCAGTCTCCAAAACAAACTTATCTGATCTAAAAATGTCTTTAACCTTCTCAAAAGAGGTTTCCAGGTCACACTGGTCCATTCACATTCAAAATCAAACTTTAACACTGATTTCTTTATTCATAGTGGAAGTTTACAATTTACTAGAATAAGGACACTCCAAAATGGGCAAGTTCAAGTGAGCAATACAGACACTGCAGAAGATGTTTTGTTTTTGATAAAGCTGAAATGTGTTAACTGTGTAATTTAAGTGGAAGAAACAGAACCAGCTCTGTCTCACTGGTCATGTTGCAATGGTGAAATGTTTAATTTGTCACTGGTTATTTGCACTTTGTTGCATTTCTTGTAACAGAGCGGCTCAGCGGGTGTTAGCTGAAGTTGTAACTCTCACTTTGTGCTACCCACAGTAAGCCTGGGTATTTCCTAATCAACCGGAGCTGCAATCTTAAGGATTACAGCTCTAATTGCAAAGCGTGCTAAGCCAAAGTTCAATTAAGGACGGGGCAATGAAACACTCAGCTGACATCAGACGGGGTGAAATCAGAGCCAGCGGGACCACAGGGCTCTTAAACTCTTAAGGCATTCCCTCAGTCGGTGCTATTTACTGACTGACTGAGGGGGTCCTCTTATGTAAGGTATAGCTTTATCATCTGACTGCCTACATCATGTGCTCTTTTTCCAAATCCCGCAGCTTGACGCACTCAAGCCTCAGTATCAGGTGTCAGGAGGCCCACGCAGGGCCGGATCCTTCCTCTGCTCGGTTTATTACACAGCACGGCTAATAAAAAACACTCAAGGCGAACAGCAACATACCGAGAAGTTCAGAGACCACATAGTTGAGGGGGCCACCGAGCGTGTACATTCTACTATACAAAACCTCCAGAGGAAACTGTGCCATCACAACAACAACCATTATACAATGCATCATAACCGCTCTGTAAAACACAGCGAGGCACAGTGAGAGAGGTTAGGAGTACAAAAGCCTGTTTGAAGAACAAAAGCAGATTTTTTTTTTGGGCTCTTTTTGTCTTCAAATGTTGGCTGGGGTCCAGAGAGGGCCCATGGGGATTAGCACATTTCTTCCAAACAAGGAACAAGGGTTCCATGTGAGGAACTGGGCCGCAGCAACGGACCAACTGACCTCGCAAAACCTTTTATACCTTCTTTTCAGGGCCTTCCTGGGAAACTCTCTCCCCCTCTCTCTCTTTTCTTGGCTGTTCAAGCGTCTCTGAGTCAAAGTGTTTTGGAAAGATTTGCAGCATAAATCTTGGTAACCTGATGCTGGCTTTATCAGATCAGATCATAAAGGATTAGTTGACTTTACGGTAAACCATGCCAAGAGGACTTTTAACAGAGACGGTGGCGTATAATGAACCTGGACGATCAAATAAAATTAAAGGAGAGTTGAAGATAAGTGGGTAAAAAGGTTATTTGCTTCTCACCGAGTTGGACGATAAGATAAGCTCTTTTCATACCAGTTAGAGGTGCAGTATTTACACCCTCATAACGTCTCATCTTACATATGAGTGTCACAGAGGTGTGATGTAGGACCAAGTGTACTCGCCACTGTGCCGGAGTCAGAGATAGCAACAAGGTTCTTATTTGTTTAGCCAGAAATTATGACTAACTGACCCCATATCGGTCACCTGTATCACATACAGCTAAGCTTAGCAGCCACCTACAGTCGCCTTAAGTCCAACAGACAAACAAGAGCTCCTTGCTGTAGTAAACAAGTAAACATAAATAACCTTTAATCTTTATCAAAGTGCCGCTATCACAGATCAAACACTCGCTCTGTGTGATACCTGGTGCGCCCTCCTCTTCAGCGTCTTTCCCCTCTTTTCTCCTCACCGCTCAGTTACCCTCCGCTCTGTTTCTTCATCGCCTGCACGGACACCATTTGTTCAGAGCTCACATGCCCACTAAGCTGCTAATGATGACAAATATGGAAGGCAGTGGGAAGGTAGAGGCAGAGATTTCAGAAATAGGCTGCCATGGTTGAGACTCATCTGCTGCTGAGAATCAACATCAAGCGAAACTTAATTTGTGCCCGTTTACAATCTTACTGTTTGTTTTCATCTTCTATCAAACTCATCATTAATAGGAATGTGAACCACAGCCTTACTTATAATGTGATGTGATGAGATGGGAAAGAAAACATTAAGATCTGATGCGATGTGTAACTGTGCAATACATCATACAATATCATGTGATACAACATGACACTGTGATAGGAACACATGATATACCGTAGAGTACAATATTATAAGACATGATACAACACAATGTAAAATGATACAAAATGTTACAAATAATTAGATACCATAAGTTGTGATACGATATAATATGATCAATATATGTTAGTAAGCTGTGAAATAATAGTATATATGATACATTCAGTACAGTACAGTATGATACAATATGTTGTGATACGATTTGGTTTAGTTAGTTTTGTTACAATATAAACTGATACAATTCGATACAATGCAAAATGCAACAATATGATATGTTACTATACATAAATTACATTATGATACGGTACGATGGGATACATTACAATATGATTTACTACACTACAACTGGATATGTGATAGTGTATGTTAACATTATCATACAATACGATATATTATGATACCATTTATCATGATATGGTATGATACGATGTGATTCGATACTGTGGGATACGATACAATATGATACGATATGATATGCTATGATGTGATACGATACAATAAAATATGATACAATACAATACAATACAAGATGATACAATATGATATGATATAATATGATATGATATAATATAATAAGATACGATACAATACAATATGATACAATACGATACGATACAATATGATACGATATGACATGATATGATATGATATGATATGATACAATACGATACGATACCATATGATACGATACCATATGATACGTTAAGATAAGATACAATACAATACGATATGATACAATATGATACCATATGATACCATACGATACGATAAGATAAGATACCATACAATATGATACGTTGTGTTATAATATGAACCATGAAGTGACATGACGTGCCATTGCAATGTGATAGGACAGGATATGATACACTACAGAACAAAGGGATATATATGACATGTTATGATGCAATGTGATATGATATGATAAAAGTGCTGCATCAGCGTTATTAATGCCTCTGTGAGAAGTCATGAAGTGGTGACAGGCTGAGTCAAACTGGGAGGTCAATGTGTTCAGACAGCTGTATTGATTATTAAAGGAAGCCTACTAGTGCTAGCAATCCTCTAACTGTATTGTGGGAGTTATGCCGATGATACTGTCCTAAACTGTAATACCAATATTGTCCCACCCATTAAAATGAATGGGTGTCTCAGCAGAGGTAACACTAGATCAGCTCAGAACTGTAAAAAAAAACAGAGATTTCATAGAGAACACACCTGTCTGATGCATTCAGACATTGTTTTCACTTTTGCTCCCTTTTGTCCTCACTACCTCATGTCTGTTTATCAGAGTCACTGGGATTAGCATAATGACTGCATGGGGTTTTGATTACCTCTTCAGATCCTAACAGAGCGTATGATACGTAAACAAAGCAGGTCAGATTACACTACTCGAAATTCTTCAGATTGTTGCCCCGCTTAGGCAGATTTGTTTATGTCACGAGACAGAAAGGGAGCGTGCTGCGACAGAACAAACGGGTTTCTGAGACTGGCACGGGGTGATGAAGAGAGTGATTTCATTTTAACACATTTATACTCTGACTAAGCAGACATGAGGAAAGAAAACCAAGGAAGATCCTCTCTGCTAGAAAGACGACTGAGGTTTGAAATGTGGTCTGAAAAACACAGAAACAAACAACTCTCATTTGATCATTTGACTTTATCAGCTGCATGAAACTTATTACACAGTCCAGTGTTTATTCACAATACCATCAGTTTAAATGTACAGCGACAGCAGTATAAATTTTATACTAATAATTCTGCTACTTGCTGATGACAGCCTCATTACTAGCATTATATCTTCCTCCCTTAGACAGTCACTGCAGCTACGATTGACTATCATTTTTGTTATTTGTTTATCTGCTAATTAGGGACGTGTGTCTTTTGTCAACTACACGATTAAACTTGGTCACCCTCACCAGCCTGCACCAGATTACTTGTCAGGTAAATGAAATATCAATGTTCGTTTGTAAACAAGCTCAGAGGACAGATGGTGTCTTAAAGTAGTATTCTCTGCTAACTTTAGCTACACTCAGCAGAACAATTTGACTTCATTTCCTCGCAAATTCTGTGATTTTATTGGGATGTTTCTCTACTTTTGAACCCGATTACTAGTGAAAATTTAAAGCTCCTGTGAGGACCTTTCAGTTTCGGTCATTTTTGGCGCCCCCTGTGGACATAGGAGTCCTTACTTATTTGTCTTCCAATGATTTTCGACAAAAAATCTCTTCCGACGGATTGTTAAATTGGAATGTGTCATTAATTTGAGGGATTAAAATTACAATATAATATATATATATAATATAATCAAATAATATCTAATAATGTCAAGTTTTGAGGCGATAGAGATGTACTCAGCTATAGCAGCGGGGTGACCCCTTTGGTTGTATGAAAGGGAGGGTTGTTGTTGTTTACTATAATAATAAAAAAATAATAATAATATTAAAAAATAAATAAATATCATAATAATGTTTTTATGTAATATTATTTTATTATTTTTTTAATTATTTTTTATTATTTTATTATTATTACTATCATTATTATTATTATTGTTATTATTATCATTATTATTTTATTATCGTCATCATCATCATTATTATTATTATTATTTTAAATATTATTATGGTTATTGTTATTATAACTGTTATCTTTTTGTCATGGAATTTGTTATGTTTGATGTCCCATCATGCATGAGAATGTTGGAAAAATAAAAAAAAGTATACATTGAGAAAAATTAAAATATAGACCTCTTCAGTCTTGTTATAAATGGTCTTCAAAAGGCATCAATACAAATTTTAGACTATTTCATAAACATCAAAAAAATTCTCAGAGGAGCTTTAAATTCCTCTTTTTGTAAATAGGAATATCAAAATACTGATTAAGCTCCTCCTCTCGACCAGTTTTGCCCTTATAAGGAGTCATCTATAATAATAAAGCATTAAATCCCGGCTGGACTAAATCAGGGTTGCTGTGATTACACAGTCAGCATCTTTAAACCCACAGTCACCAGGAAGTCCCGGCTTACCCTTTCAGCATTTTTATTGACTTGTTGCCTCAGCATGACACAGTTCACACACTGGGTGTTGTTTGATTCTGCTCCTGTTGTTGCAGATGTCGGAGGATACCGCCCAGCTACCCCTCCACCCAACCAGCCCTCTCATCTGCCCCGAGTATCGATCTACAAGGTTCCTGCCAGCTCTTGCACCGCCGACCCGCTACGCCACTGTACTCTGTTGAACCCCGCTACAGGACAGCACAGCGTGACGGTGATCCGAATGGCAAATGTGATAGAGCTGCCTGCTTTGTGACCCTCCCAGTGACCACAGGGAGACACGGCGCAGGCAGGGGGCCGTCTGAACTGAAAGAGAAGGGAGATAAACCACGGAGCGCTGGAGATTTATCTGATGACACGGAGGGAAGACACCAGCTGAGCACAAAGAGAGAGTGAGGACGAGAGAGGGAGTGTTTGAACAAGCTTTGAACCGAGGGTTCTGGTTGAAAACAAGAGAGACATGTCTGTCAATCAGACGCAGGTAAACAAAGATGAGCATGCCAAAAACACATCAACGCTGACGTAAGCCAAGGTTAAATCAAAAAGAAAACAAAAACAAAGACGTGCTTTCCCTGCGCCGACAGCATGCTGACAGCTGTGAACTCTGACACTGTGATTAAATCAGAAAGCTAACCCACGCTGACCTCTCATCATGACATAATCCCTCTCCATGTACTGTGTCTCTGTGGCTCGGCCGGTGGCACAGATCCCAGGCCTCTGCAGACTTTTGGAAGGTCACTTTGGGAGGCTGCGGTCTAGCGTATAGAAAGCAGCAGCGTCCAATGAGCAGTATCCAATGCAGTTTAGTGCCAGTGACCAAGGTGACCCGAGCTCAGCTTCATCATCACCAGCTGGCAGAAACACACGCCCTTGCAGCGGCATCTGTCCTCAGGCTAATATTTCTGTTGTCCTGAGCTGGGACACAAAGAGCTGACAGGACAGCCCTGAAAAATACATCATATATCAACCATTTGATAAATAGACGACTAACAGCATACATGACATGATTTCTTCACATCCAAAAGGTCGATTCTAGCCTAACCCTTTCACTCAGACTTGAATAATGAGGACCTGACTCTCCACTAGGGTTGCAAAGGGGCAACCCCAGTAAATTTCCAATAAATTTCCAGAAACGTTCCATATCAGTTAAGCTTGAGAGTTTTGGAAATATTCCAAATTGGAAACTTTCCATGGGAATTCATAGAAATTTATGGGAATTAACGGGAAATTGTGGGTAATTTATACAACCTGAATTATATCCAAACATAAATGTAAATATTTTTGTCCATGCAAATAATACAATTTAAAAACATGACAAACATCAGATGGCAAATGTGAAATTTTTCTGTAGAATAAAATAACAAAAAAACTTGTAAAAACACTAATGCAATGGCAAAAATAGAAATATAGTTGGCTAAACAACATATTATTAATATTTGACAAGTGACGAATAAATGATTGTATGGTCACAGAAGCGTGTACTTGCATTAAATCTGGTTGTTTTAGTCAAAATTATGCTACAATATATTTTCACCAACTATATTTAAGTTCCCCGATGAGAGCCAACCTTCAATTTTGTAAATTTCAGATTTATTCCTGTTAATTCCCATGGAAAGTTTCCAACTGTGAAAATTCACGGAATTTTGCAACCCTACTCAGACTTGAATATTGAGGACCTGACTCTCCACTCAGGAATGTTATGTCGCTCACGAACGATTCGTTCAAAAGAACCGAATCTTTTAAGTGAACGTACTGAACCGAATCACTTCCTCCAGTGATTCGTTCGTTTCTTACTTCAGTTGAGCTAAAGAGAGAAACATCATTGCCAGGCCAGCAGCCGGCGAATGAGGAACCCCATGCACTGATGCCTGAATCACTTGGTGAACGAATCACGCATTGAACTACACTCTCTGGAATCATTTTTGTCTGACAAAAACTACAATTTTTTTACTGCTAAATTGCCATCACAACAACTTGCATACAACAGGACACAACGAATCACTCACTTAGCCAAATTTACTGAGCAGACCTGATAAATAGCATACCATAGGACAGTACACTTACAACATCATGACCTATTAACAAGTTCATTTTAACAAACCTGTTTGTCAAAGCAACTCAGCCAAACACTCTCGTCTCCCGGTCCAAGAAGCTATGAATTAAACTGAATCCTGAAACGTTCAGCTGTGTATCAGTTCGGGAGGTCGGAGTCGCAGGTTTCTCCCGCTGAGCACTAAATGATTCGGTGATTTGGTGAACGAATCTTTTGAATGAATCTTTTCAGTGAACTGATTCTAGAGATTAAGTACATCTAAAAAACTGCTGTGCCTATCACTACCGCTCAGACCTTAGGTGTGATGACTCAAGTACAACACTGAGTAAGATGAAATAAAAGCATCCTCAGCCGGCGCTGATTGATCCTGATCGAAGATACTCCTCTGCGCCTGTGATGAGGAAGTGATTGGGAAAGTGATGAGAGGTGCGTCTCGAGTAAAGGGGAGACAAAAGCCGGACGAGGACTGAGGTAGCAGGAGAACTGTACGAGGCAGCACAGACAAAATGGATCCCAATCAATCACAAAGACAGGTCAATTAGCTCTGAAACAGCAAGCTGGCTTTAACCCTAAACTTCATCACACACGGCTCTCCTTTTAAGTGAGGAACAGAGACAAAACCGAGTCTGAGAGACTGAGGATACTTCAGTGGAAATGGTAGTCTGGTCCCATCTGGTGCTGCCCCCCAGTTACCAAAGTTCCTCTCTTTTGTAAAAACAGCTCCACACGTATTTAATGTATTTCACATGAAAGAGACTCTCATCCACAGCTTCCCTCAGGAAACATTGTGTATCTGTGTAACACCAACAAAATGTCTTTTGATAGATCTGAGAACACGCTGCGAGGGCTCACACTAAAAGCCTGGACGCGGCGCAGCCACCCGAGGCTCGTATAACCGTACAGTAGGCATCCTTTCTATATCCGCAAGGTGAAAGTCCGAACAATGGAGGCAGAGAGGAGGACGATGTACACGAGCTTCACTCTGAAGGGTTCGTTTACAAAAGACTGCTCCATGTGGAAGAAATAAAAACAGACTTTTCTAGACTTCCTGTCAAAAGCCTCGAAAACCATGTTCCCTAGGTCGCGAAGTAGCAGATGTATCAATGACTAAATTCATTTTCCTAATTAAAACTCAATAGGTTGTCAGGACTAGTTAATCCAAAACATAACTCAGTTAACCCTAACCCATTAACAAAGACGCTCACGCTGATAACAAAATATTACGTCTGTTAATTCTGTTCAAAATTAACCAAAAATAACACAAACAAAGCTTGTTGAAAGTAAGATGGTCCATCTCACTCCTGCTAAAATAAAGATTTAATCCAAACACCTTATATCCATTTAGAGCCACAGATTTCTTCAAAGATATACAATCCTGCTCAAGTTGTTTGTGATCCATCTTCCCATGTTAGACTCAGGTTTGGATCTTTCTTCCTTTTCAGGTAAATAACTTCAACATAGACTTTCCAAGTGATGGGATTTCATGCTGTTGAAAGTGATCCAGATCATTTGGCTCAGCAAGAACCAACGCTTTCAGCTCCTAAATGGATCTTTATGGTGTATTTTGGCTCATAAGAGGACACACAGACTACTCTCCAAGTTTTCAAAGCGCTGAGTTCCTGCAGTGAAGTCAGGCAATGCAAAAATGGTCGTTTTTCATGCTATTTTTATTAATTATGATATGTTAAAGCTCCTGTAAGACACTTCTAATGGTATTGATTTGGCGCCCCCTGTGGACAAACTAGCACCTCGTTTATTTGTCTTCTTTTTGTTGCTTTCTCGTAACAGTCATCACCTATCAATGTTTCCTTGACTGTGCTGTGATTTGTCTTGTCTGCCACCTACCCCCGTCAAATACTAGCTTAATATTTATAGTATAAACGTTTTGGTAACACTTTACAATAACCATTATTTATAAATGTTAAATAGATAGTTTATTGTTTAATCATCATTTAAAAACAGCAAATAGATCAATTATAAATGACAAATCGATAGTTTGTTAATGTAAGTTAATAGTTACTTTACCATTAACAAGCATTGAAATTATGATTTATGATTGTCATTAATTATTAATGAACTATTAATCAAAGGTTTATATGGGTCTAAATATTGGTTGTAAAATATCTAGATTAAATGTGTGTCAGAAACACTTTGTAAATGGTTAATATTTGGTTTTTAAACCATTTATAAACATTACTTAGATGGTTACTGTAAAGTTAGGGTTAGTGTTAGGTTTTTAAAATTGTAAAATTTACAATTTATTAATGGTCTATTTACCATTTATAAGTTATGGTTATTGTAAAGAGTTACCAACGTTTTCAATCTTTCTGATAACAGTCTTGTTTGTTTGCTCACAAAACTCATAAATTTGCTTTTTGTTAACAGCCATAAATTCCTTACAGGACCTTTAACACATCAAATACCTTTGAAAAAAGACAACCTTTTTCATTCTGCTTTTATCTGTCTTCTCCCTGCTGCTATGAAAGAACACAACATTGACTTTTTTCTATGTTGTATAACTTATAAAATGCAAATTTTTAATGTTAATTCTCACAGGATGGAAGTATCACACACAGAGAAGCATTAACATCAATGAAGGGCTTTGGTGGTGTTTAAAAAAAGTGACCAAAAAAATGTTTGTTTGTTTTTATTTCAAAGAAAAAAGTGTCCATCCTGAGTCTATCAAAATGGAGAGGAAAAAGTTTGGAAAACAACTCGGAAACTAGAGTAGATTAGAAGTGGGTCAAAAGTGTTTAGAGTTGTTCTGAATGGCCGCACTGGGAGGCAGAGGGGAAAAAAAACAGCCATCAAAGAGAGAGGACATCAGGGACGGGAGGGGGAACTCTTTCAGAAAACCTCTCTTGAAGCTGCTTTTAGTGTTGCACTCGTTTGTTCGCATGAAAAGTGACAGAAAAGGTTGAAGCGAAGACTGAAAAAAGAGGGCCAGAGGGTGAAGTTGAAGCCACAGTCTCTTTCTTACTTCTACACAGCTCAGTGATAATTGTGTTTGGACCACCAGGGGTCAAACATTTCACCATTCTACGCAGTTCTGTCAGCTTCAGAAGACAAAGCATCTCTCTCTCTTATTTTCACTTTGACTGATGGTGAACGACACTGACAAAGGTTTTATATCAACTCAAGTAGCCAGACTAAATAAAGCCTCTCTCTGTTTACGTCTCTGTACATGTACCATGTCTTAAGCCAGCGGAGCTCCTCTGGGTGGGCTTTTTTCGCTCCAATAAGGACAAAAGAAGCTAATGTGTCGGATGTTTGGGAGGATTATACTCCAGCAATGCCAAGAAGTATTCGGCTATTTGAAATACCTGCTGAGAAAACAGTCCAAAGCTTAACATGATAAAATCAATCCAAAGATCATGTTTCAAATTCATTTTTTCACATCAGCTGATCAAATCCTTTGAGTAGAAATAGTTTCATCTGTCAACTGTGTTTGTTTTCATCCAGGTAGTAGAGCTTTTTAACAGCAGAGAGTCACTACGATGATACAACAACATTAGCATTTAGCTAATAACCATTAGCATCATTAGCAACAACTCATGAAACAGCCAGTGAATCAGCTCACGAACCAGCTTGACGTCTACACGGTATCTGATCAGTACTCAGTTTTGTTTAAAATCTAAAATTGACACCAAAGAAGTCAGATTGTTGCATCTCTGGAGGGTCCGTGTATTATCTGTCCATTCAATTATTCTATTCATTGTTTTTCTATATAACCAAAAAATAAAAGATTAGTATTTGTTTTCATATTTTCAGTTCAAAACAGAATATATAATTGAGATGGAAACGAAAACAAAATAATAAATCTAATTTTCGTTATCGGGTTATTTTCCACGATGCCTTTCTACTGTTTGCACATGCACAACAAAGTAGCCAACAACGTGGACCAACAACTCCAGGCCAGAGCGGTACAGAAAGGCTAACCTGCTGTCGTGGAGATGGACGTATCCTACGTATCATTCAAAGCCAGACCAGCCAACCAGAGCTCTGTTACAACGTGGGATTTTGGCCTTGTCGCATCTTTCGCCTTGGTTACTGTCGCTGAGGATCATGGGAAGGCCAGTGTAGCCTCCATGCACGTATGCTCAAAACAGGCGCACTCAAATACAATAATTGTAAATAAGAGTTATTATTTCGTTTTTATTTAATTCTCTATTATAAATTCTGTTTTGAGCTAAAAATGCGAAAACAAACACTATTCTTTTATTTTTTGGTTATACAGAAAAACAAATAAACAAAATATTGACTCTTTTTTTTTCGTATAAGATTGAATGGAATAATTGAATGGACGGATAATACATGGACCCTGGAGGTGCATTGTCATCAGCTCTGACCTTTATTCTATTAAATTAAACCTACAAAAACTAATGGGCTGGAATCAGGGGTCTCTGGGGTTTCTCCATCTCTTCGGTTATCAACAAATCTGTAGTTTAATACTTCTACTGCTAAGTCCTCCTCTAAAAGTGTCTTCTTTCGCACTCTGACATCCTCTTTTTCCAGCCCCCCTCCCGCACACACTCACCAGAGCTCTCTGCAGTTTAATGAAAGACCCTAAGACATGGGAGCTAAGCCCCCCTGTCCTGAATAGCATGTGGGTCATGCCCCGTAGATTAGAAATCTTGGAGCAGCTACAGAGAAAGCAGGAGATTTACTGACATGGTCATCATGGTGCAGAGGAGAGTAATGCCTCTAATGGAGGGATGCATGCGCATGTTAATCTGTTATCAGACAAAGAAGCTTTATAATCAATCGCTGACGACGCATAATTGACGCTGGCTGCTCTGCAAAGGTTTCAGGGACAGAGATCTTTGACAAACAAAAGAGGGTCTGAGCTGAACAGTCACCTGCTGTGAGCAGAGTTCAATATTTAGCATCTGAAACAGTGTCATTTTGGGTCGAGTCAAAGTGGGGAGAAAGGATTTCTGATTTCCAGGACGATACAGGAGACGTTTTCATCCACAGTGAAGGAAACTCACTTTGATCAAATGTCACAGCCCTTCATAAAATCTCAGATTCGTGGAAATGTGTTCTCGTGAATCCCTGACATTTATCAGCTTTTATTTTGTGGCATTACAACAGTATAGATATGAAGTTTGACTGTCACTGCAGATAAAGAAAACATTATTTTTGCCCTTTCGGAGGTGGACTCAATCCTGCAACTACTGACAAGAACTACAGCCCCTGTAGCCTCAGTGCATTATTGCCTTATAGCGCACAATTCGCTATGCTAGCACATTTAACTGTCCCATCAAATACCAAGATCCCTCGAGTCAGTAAAGTCCAGAGACATATGCTCACGTTCATTTGGACGACTCTTGAGTTTCTGTTTTTTCTCACTTTTCCTCCTACAAGAATGCTGCAGAAACCGCACCAATCCATTTCCTGTAAGCTTTCGAGACCAGCCTCAAGTGGACATTTGAGGAACTGCGCCTTTTACTACAAGACTGTATTTATCTTTATCTTTCATTATCTGACGGTGCCATTGGTTAAGCCCAGCAAAATATTACATATTATATGATTATCATTATTTACTTGTAGATTATATTTTACAGTATTAAATCTTCATTGGTGTAAAGTCAATATTTTCACCTGAGCTGGCTCTCATGTTGGTTGTGGCTGCCATAACTGCGTTGTCTTGCGAGATATTTATACATCTGTAGTTTTTATATATATGTAGTTTTTGATATTTGTGTTAGCAGTCACAAACATGGATTAAAAAAATTGAATCAAGTGCAGAAATGAAAAAGTATTTGGGTGACATTTAAAAACAGATGCATCAGCCAAATTTAGGATAAAAAGTAAATGTATAAAGGGCAAACATAACTACACAATACATCCAAATAGGGAGTGTAGGTTGTGACTATTTCCTTACATGTGCACAGAGAGCATTTTGATTTGGGAAAAACTCCTCTATAAGGATGGGAATTGATAAGATTTTATCGATATCGATGCCATTAAAGATTCTGTTTATCGATTCAATTCTTCTCAAAACGATTCCCTTATCAATGCCTTTCTTTGATTTAAAAAAAAAGTCGACTATTGGTTTTAAATGTTAACTCAAAATTTTACTGAGTCTCTGATAACAGAAAAAGATGTATGCCAGCTTCAGTGAGAGTCTAAAAATAATCAAACGACAAAATATTTGTACAGCATTTACTTCAGTCAGTATTTAGTCAAATTAGAGTGACTACATTCTGGATCCCCAAAAAGAGGACATGGCTACCCGGGGTGAAGTCGCCTGCAAAATTTTGAGGGTTTTTCTTGTCAGGTCGAGTGTTTTTTACGCACTTCTAACTCAGATAGTCCATGCTACACAAACTCAAAACTCATTGTCGTCTTTCTTAGTAAAATTACGCCACGCTTCAAGTCGTTTCTGCCTATTTCTCGTACTGTCTACCATGTTGTTTTCCTCAAAGTCTGTTCTCGTGGACTGCGTCCCATAAGACTGTTTCCCAAAGCATCCGGAAAAAAAGGAATCGTTAAAATGAAATGTAAACGATGTCGATGGATTGAACCATTTGGTACTGGTTCTCGATTTCCATCCCTACTCCTCTACCTCAGAGATGACCTTCTATGCATACTCAACCTGCAAGTTCCTGTTGTACCTTATATGGTTTGTAATAATAGGGATCTGAAATGAGAAGTGCAGTTATAGCCCACTGAAGCACACAGCTGAGACGAACTGATTATTTTTTTAATAAATCAGTGCCTCTATCATGGGGATTCCTCTCTGGAAAGGATTGTGTGTGGGTTATAAATAGGTCCAAGATGTCAATACAGACACAGCAAAGCAGAGAGGGGGGGAATATAGGCTATACCCCGGGCAGCAACAGGAATTATCTCACCCCAATTGATAGTGAACTGCAGGCCTTATATGGAGTAAATCAATGAAGGATGGAGGATCACGAAAAAGCAACATTTCCCTACAAAAGCACTGACTGGGCTGAGGGTTTTTAATCACGATAGAAGTCAATCTGCTGTGTAGATAAACTCCACGGGTTGTAATTACGCTGCACGGCCAAAGTCATCTTATTTTGTCCCTGGAAACTATGAGGCAGTGCGCAGGCCCAGGCTGCTGGGACTCCGCTGCAGCATCACGCCTCCTTCCTACTGAGCAGTGCGGTGCAGTTATCCTCCACAAACATAAGGGATGCAGACTCTTAACGCTGAAAAAAAGCTACTTTTTGGAGATATTCTTGCATTTTAAAGTATAACAGAAACAAAAAGAGGCTGACTACATTCCACTGAGGTCAATGCATGTCCTGCACATATGAACAGGTAGAACAGCCCAACTCAGGATGGATTGTTAGTTTGAATCAAGTATTCAGCCTCTTATTTTACATGCATTTCATCCAAAAACACGCGTGCACACATGCAAACACTTCTCCAAATGAACCAATCCTAAATCTAATGTGTCCAGATCAACGCGGAAGCCCACGAATGCCATCAGATCTGCTGCTCCCTTCAGCAGACACACGCTTCCTATATCCCAACGTGTTGTTGGCTGTGTCGCTTACAGTCTGCTCCTCCAGCAGACGGACATGAATCATCCTCAGTGCAGGTTTTTCCTTTTTTTTATTTACCTCTCTCTGCGGTTTCTCCCTCAGCGGATCAAACTCAGGTCGTCCAGGATGTCGCGCTGCTGTCGTCTGCTGTCCCCGGCTTCTTCTTCTTCTGATCCTCCTCCTCTTCCTCCTCCTTCTCCACGGTGTCTCTGCTGTCCGACTGGAAACTGACACATTTTACTTCACTGCAGCAGCAGCAGAGGCAGCGGCAGCAGCAGCAGCAGCAGCAGCAGCACATGCTCAGTCAGACTCACGCACCTCTTGCATCTTCGGTTAACCGTTTGTTCGCCGCAGCCGAGCGGGAGTCGACTCGAGTCAGCTGTTGTTTATCAGTAAGATGGAAAAACAGGTTTAGTGACTTCGGGGAAACACAGTAGAATAGAAGTGACTCACAATAGTACTGTATTTTAACACTGTAGTACATGGACAACTGGTTCAAAACGTCCATGTGTAGATAAGTAAATTAAAGCTCCAGTGGGAAGATTTTTGATGTTTATGGAAAAGCCTGAAATTCATTTTTACACCCTCTCATGATATCCAGAAGTGAATAAGACCATCAGCAGCATGACGGATTATTTTTGTCATTTTTTTTAATGCATGAAACTATTGTGTGGGGGTAGGTGTCAGCCAAGCAGCTTGTTAAATAGCTTTATTTTTACCATTTTCACATAAATAAAATTGATGCATTTGACTATCAAAAAAATCACAGCTTAAAGGTCCTTACACACCGGGAACGACGCAAATATACGATGCTAAATTATGAAATATTCCGAGGCAAATTTTGACGCGCCTGACTGTACACATCAAGCCCAAAAAGACGCGTCCCGGGTGGAAGCGAGAAGACTGACACAACAGCAGACTGAGTGTTTTTCAGTTCTGATTAGACACTACTGTTGAGATGTCTGTCTGTCATGATAAAATTACTGAGTTGGGGCCAGTACCAGATAAGCACATTAAACTACAATCCATAAACGTAAGGTAACAACCGAGACCTAATGGTGCTGTGACAGCAACGCTGTGATTGAGTTTGAGACAGTGAAAATACATATGGTATGTTGTATCTGATCAGGTTAGCTTTCGAGCTAAAGTTACTTAGCACAGATGAAAGTTAAAACAAAGACGTTTATCAAACTGTTAAAGCACACAAACCATCGTCATATGAGAAATCCGACGCTATGACTCTCCACAAGTTGTCCTTCAGGTCGTTATCTTTGTAATATTTGTGTCTTTTATCAAAAATCACTCTATTCTCCGACATGTAAACAATCAGCCGGTCAGCCATGTTGGATATACCAGTGAATCTGACGTCGCAACAACACTAAATCTGATTGGTCAGAAGTGGACACACTATGATAAACTTTAGAAAAATCGACTGTGATCCGAAAAAATAAATGCCGCAATATTGCAGGATGGGAAAACGTCGCTGATGTGAACGCTTGTATTGACAGGATACGGGTTCGAAAAAAAAATTGACGTACGAAATAATCGCACGATAAAACGGCCCCGGTGTGAAAGGACCTTTACACGCCGTATCCGGATACAATACTAATTTGTCATGGTATCAATACTATGGTGCGCATCTGCAAGCAGCGCAGCCGACCCGGCGGACAGCGTCCCTCACTGTGACCCCTTTGCCGGCCCACATTTTACTGCTATTAAGTATAGCCAGTGAGGCGGCAAGAGGGCAAAACCTGTCTCGTTATTGATGGTCTCGTTTGCTTTTAAAAGAGACATGGAGGCATCAGTTTGGATTTCAGTCTAATTTGTAAACATCAAAAAACTCCTCACAGGAGCTTTAATTTGTGCAACCACCACCTCTGAACTCGCTTTAGATTCTGTGACTGAATGGGACGATGTATCTCGATTTTTCAGAGGTGTTTCCTTCTTTATAAGACCAACGCCTACAATGAAGCAAAAGTAAATAAAGACAGCTGAACTTTGCCCGCTAACACAAACCTTGTCTTGCCCAGTTCTCGGTTCAGGCTGAATATTAACTGTCTAGTGAATTAAAGTAGCTCCCAAGACTTATAAACCTTTACCATTATCTTGTTTTGTCTTACCGAGCTTCTAGTAGGATGAATAATTTAGAAGTTTGAAGAGGTGTGCACCCTCACAGACAGTAGATCCAGTGACTAAAGACGAGACACCCGCACACCAGGAAAGGAGTTGTCTTCGAATGTTTGCTTTAGAGAGCCAGGAATTGTTAGGTGTGGACACCAAATACCTTTAAATGTCACAAATGAGGACACGAACTGTTGTGTACTCTTGAGATGACTGGGGCCAAATGAAGGTCAGGTGGTTTCATCATGTGGCATGGCTGCTGTAGACATGTATGAACAAGTCATAAGAGGAGGATTTCCTTTCAGATATTATGTCACTTAAACGTCCTTCAGCTTACACCGATATGACCACGACTTACTGAGTGGTTTCTCCAGCATCATGTAAGTTTTTAACTCCTCCCATATTCGCGCTTGGAAAAGGTAAGCAGAAGAGAAAAAGTGTGAGAGAGAGGACCTCTTTGTTAGGTGGAGCCAGTTTGGCTCAAACCCTTTTGGGATCATGCTGTACCCTCTACCTCCACCCTCTGATTGGCTCAAAGTGCTGGGCTCTGATTGGTTATTCCTTATGGCTGTAAAACATCATCGTCTGTCGGGTTAGGAGATTCAGAAGTGCGATAATGTTCTGTAATGTTCTGTTCGATGTACAGAGAGAACAGCCCGCGTTTGGCTTGAGCGTGTGATAATGTTTCTAGCTTTTCTAGCCAATCGAAGATGTAGGAGGTGGGACCTTCACCTACCATCCTACCTACTCTTGGCAACTCTCCCACCGAAGTGGAGTGCATACAACGCTACTACGCAATGCTGGTTTCAGAAAACGGAGAAAAAAACGCAAAGTTACCGAGAGCTTTTCGGCTTCAAATCCGTATACTGGCGGAAGGCGGACCCAAGTTGTTCATAGTTTATGCAGTCTATGGTCTGTACACTCTACCTCCCCCCGTTTTCCCCTTTTTTTAAGGGGGACTAATGAAAAGAGAAGAACAATCAAGAAGGTGGAGCCAGGTTAAGACGCCTGTTCGAGTAAGACCAGACCCGATTAAGGATGTACACTCTACCTCCACCTATGGCACCATTTTCTAGATAGAGAAGGGGAGTTGAATCTGTTAGGGTGGAGATAAAACCTCCTAGGTTGGACTGTACACTTTACCTCCCCCCTCTTCCCCATTAATCTTAGGTGAGAGGGCCAGAAAAGGGAGGAAAGACAAAGCGTGAGAGCCACAGTGATAAGCATGTTTGGGCTGTACGCTCTACCTCCACCCTGTTTATTGAAGAGGTGAGGAAAGAGAGAAATCAAATCAACTGTTTTTCTTTACCTTCCCCCATCTGAAAGTGCGTCTCCTCATCCATATCCGCATGCCACCTCCTGTACTTTTTACAAACTCTTGTCAATGCACACGTCGTTCTCATGCTTTAATGAACCCTCTACATCCCTCTCCTACTGGAACACAACACACAGACAAAAACACACACACAGGGTAAAAGGACCGAACTTAAATTTGTGATAACGTAATACAGGATGGAGAGCTGAAACTGAGCTGTAATATCGACTCTGTATACTGGGTCCATTCCCTCTAAGTGGTCTTCAAAGGAGAACGCCCCAATCAAACAGACGTGGCGATCGCTCTGTGATTTAAAGAGCATTGTAACAATGTTACCTGAGTGTCTACCGAGCAGATATCGTTTCAACTGGACATTAATGGGTTATACTAAAATACCGTACAGACGCCATTTCCCTCAGAGCCTCATAAAGATAGGATGGATGCTCGCTCAGAACCATTATGCCAACAATATGCATCGACCTCGTCCTACAGATGAGTGGACTGAAACAGAAAACAACAGCCCGGGCCATAAATCTACCGTAAGTAGGAATTGTACAAGCAGGGACTATAAATATTTAGCTTCTCCAGAGCACAAACAATTTCAGGAAGGGAAAAGGATGGACGCAGTGACCCCTGAGAAAACACACAAGGGTACTTCACAACTTAGCTCCATTGTGGACAAACCTTTGGCTGTTACCCTGGCAACATTTACAGCCGGCTTTATACACTTTTGTAAACAGTTTAGTGGAGTTTGTAGGATGTAGGGAACAAAAGATTGACGTGATTCCTCCCAAACAAACGGAGCTTGTTGTGTTTTCACCTGGAAGGGCAGCGTGGAGAACACTGCGTCACGTTCTCTCGTACGAAGGGCAACCTGGAGGGTACTGCATCACGTCTGCTGCGTCACATTTTTCAACGTAAGGACATCCGAGAGGCTGGTCCGACGGGGAAATGCATCAACAGAGGGGTACTGTGTCGCTGTGTAGGACTCTGCATCACAACGTTACCTGTGCTTCACATTTTCTTTTTTGGCCTGAGGGGTTTCTGCTTGAGGGGCAACCCCAATAGACTGCATCATGTCTTCTCCGCTGCAATGGCACCCTAGAGGGCACTGCATCATTTTTTCTTCTGCCCCAGTTGGACTGTATTGTTCACTGCAGCGTGTTACATTCACTGGAGAGGCACATGTCAGAGCCCCGCATCACATTTCTCACTGAAAAGGGAATGAAGAAAGCACTTCTGACACATTTCCTCCACATGAAAGGCTTCCAAGTGGACCCTGCATCTGGTTTTCTCCACCTGAAGGGGACCCAAGTGGATGCTGATCATGTCCCACTTTTGGAAGGGCACACTGAAGGGCTCTTGAAGCGGTTATGTCCACTAAAAAGAAACCAGACAGGGTTTTTTTTTTTTAACTTCTCTTCTAAAGTTGGAGCTGCATCCTCTTTTTTTTTAAGAAGGGGTCCCAAAGGAGTCTGGATGACTTTCTCTAAACTGAAAGGACTCTGCCGTCAGCACATCTCAATCCAATGACACCTCTGGGATGTGGCAGAACAGTAGCAGCAGAGATGATGCAATCCTGTAAGAGTGGTCTTGAAATCTAAAGGGATAATACACCAACTTTTAAAAATGAAATCTACAGAGAATTGAGTCAACGGGAACTGAACCTGGTAATAGCTGGGCTAAAAGTCTCAAATGAGAGGGCTGGAGGAAAAATGGTACGAATAAGGAAGTGGAATTTCCCCTTCACTTTAAGCCTTAAAACCACAACCACAGCATGGCCCTGGAGGAAGAAACTCATTCAAGTGCTCTTTAAAGGCTTAGTGAAGGACAGACGTGATTTAACATTTCCTCTTCATACAAAAGGCTTCAAAATTCTCACATGTTCTTGTGATTTTAAGAGTTTTTAAAGGTCCTTAGAGGAACATTTTCTTTGTTTAAGCTGTATGTTAATGTCTATATCACCAGGATAGGTAATGGATGATGCACAAAAAGGCTGTTTTAGCAGCATATGGTTAATCCTGACCGATACCTACCTCCTACAGTAAAGCAAAGATTGATTGTTAAGCTGGATAGCTTGTTTGCTATTTTAGAGGCTTCATTATTCATTTTAACCATTTTAAATCTGTCTTAAAACTCCTTACAGGAGCTTTAAGATGTACTACTGTATTTTTTGGCAATAAGGCGCACCGGATTATACAGCGCACTGTCAATTAACGTGTCTTTGTTAACACATAAGGTGCACCAGATTGTAAGGATTGTAATTTCGCGTCGTATATTTGTGTCGTTCCCGGTGTGTAAGGACCTCAACCCTGACCCTTACCCTTACCCGACAGACGATGACGCTTCACAGTCATTAGGAATAACTAATCAGAGCCCAGCACTTCTAGCCAATCAGAGGCGAAAGAGGGCGGGACCTTCCCTACCATCCTACAAAAAAAAAATTTGCGTACCCTAACGCTCCAAATATCCACTGACAGAGCGGCTTCGTTGCTTACCAAAGTCGTACTTTCGCATTTCGACAGATTTTTGAGCACATTGTACCGCATAAAATCAGTCAGTAAGCACAACAAATTAATCAAACATAAAGGGCGCTGGATTATAAGGCGCACTGTCAGTTTTTGAGAAAATTTAAGGATTTTAAGTGCGCCTTATAGTCCAAAAAATACAGTATATGTCATTTCTTTTCTACCCAACTTTAAAGTACAGAGTGTTTGTCAGTTGAAGGTAAAGTTGTCAGGATAACCAATAAAACCATCAAAGCTGGAGTCTTGCAGAAACAGGAAGTGAACATAAAATGAAGAAACAGGTCGACAAATGGTCATGAAAGCAGAACACACTCCTGCTTTTAGTTGTTTTTGAAAGTTTGCTTACAAAACATGAATATTTTTGTGCATTTAAAATCCCTAATCAGTCTCAAGAAACAAAACATAGAAAGCAAATTTGGAATGAAAAGCATCAGTTGTTTTTTTTTTTTTTCTTCTTTTTTTTTTTTTTTTTTTGCATATATGCAGTTTGCATACCTGTGTTAGATTTGACACCTGTGTGCACAAACACCAAAAGAAGAAGGGAAAATCAATTATCTTTTTTAATTACATTATCTAAGCATAGATGCACTGCTTGTGAAAAAGGTAGAAAAAACAGCAAGCCTTTCTCAATAATTTAAACCTCTCTGGGCCAGGAGAAGGCCGCCGCACAAAACAGAAGATTTCCCGTAAAGCATTCAAATTCATCGAAACAAAACGACAAGGAGTTAGCTTGTGTAGCTGAAATCAAAGTGCGTCTCCTTGTTGGATTTAACGTGTTAAAATAAAAAAACAAAACAAAAAAACAAACATAGAAGATGCGAGTGGCTTATTTTACAGTCCTTCTACCCTTTTCCGCAGGGCTCTGCAAGCATTTTTCATGAAACTTCACAAGTTCCATCGTTTGATTGACAAACAAAAAAAAGCTGAGTTATAGTTGGTAAAAAAAATTATAATAACAATAACAATAATTACAATGACAGTTATAACGAGAAATGTAAGTAATAAACACAGTCCTGTACAGTCAGGCTCATCTTCTTGATTGACCACAGCCAAACTGATCGGTTTATCGATTGGTCTTCAGCAGAGTGACAGACCCGTACTGACTGAAGAAAGGTGGCCATGCTGTCGTCGCCGTTTAGATACAACTCCCATCAGCTGCCCGTGGCTAAGGTTCATAGGAAAACACCTTTCCGTTACACGCTCCCCTCCGCTGTGGACAAACACACACAGAACATTTCTATTATTATGTACAGCAGAAATAACGGTTTCCGACTTTCATTGGCCTTTAAAGGGATGTTCTGCCGTAAAATCAATTTAGGGTCAAACGCACCGTAACACCGAGTTAGACACCCCCTCGAGAGATGAATGTTGTCGACCACTTTCCTCTCTAGCTATACCAACTTTAGTAACGCCCACACGATAGCAATACACAGCGGTCTGAGGAGTCGTAAACAAACCTCAACCAAAACGCCACTCTATAGCCACAAATAATGCTCAGAACAGCACCTAACTTCATCAACAGAACATATAGGGTCCCAGCCACAGCACTAGCCACCAAACATCTTTTTAACTTTGCCTGATTTCTTTAACAAAGAGACGAAATACAACTCACCTACTCTCTTCCAGCAGCCGCTTGTTTGTAGTGAGACCTCAGGCCAGTCCATTACGGACTACAGCGGGGTGCCGCAGCTCAAGGAAGAACATTTATGATCATTTCTTTATCATTTCCTTGAAGTAATAATCACCATATTAATTATTTTGCACTGCAGATGCGGTAGTTCTTCTGCCTTAGCGTCTCGGTCTGACTGCATTTCCAGGAAAAAATGATCATAAATGTTCTTCCTTGAGCTGCGTCACCCCGCAGCAGACGGTATGTGGGGTGGCTATAGAGTGGTGTTTAGGTTGAGCGCGTGGCTCTCTGTATTGCTATCCTGCAGCCGTTACTAAAGTTGGTATAACAACAGAAGCAAGCGCTCGGCAACATTCATTTCTCGAAGGGGTGTCTAACTCGGTGTTACGATGTGTTTGACCCTAAATTAATTTTAAAAGGATATTTGTGTGAATTTCCCAAAACTTTTTGTTTTGCAGCTTTTCATGATTCCCCTATATATTCTGATCTTGAGAGTAACTCTCATGCTCTGCAGTTACCTAGGGTGACCATATTCTAAATCCCTAAAAAGAGGACACGACTACATGTAGGTGGAATCACGGAGTCGCGAGTAGTAAATTTGAGAGTTTTCGGGTCAGATCGAGTGTTTTTTACACTCTTTTAACTCAGTAGGTCTACGCGACACAAACTCAGAACTTCCATTCAAAGCCATGGACATTTGAAGAATTTGATAAACTTCCTCAGACAAAGCCAGACAGCCCCCAAGAAGAGGACATGTCTGGGAAAAAGAGGACGTATGGTCACCCTAAATTAGCATTGGAATGGCTCTCTCTTTCTCCTTTGATGCATTGAGTCTCTTCTGTAAAATCCGTCCACCTGTGTGTCTGCGGTGAACCTCACTGTCAGAATCACTTATTACTTAAGCGTGGTTACACTGTAGCCTCTCTAGTAGACTTGTTGCCCAGTCAGTTCCTTATTTAAGAGGCAGACCGGCATTCATTGCCACTAATACACTTAATGACCAGGAACTCATACAAACCCACTTCAAAAACACTGAAATAGCCCTTTAAGATACTCCCCTGTACATACAATTAGCTATTAATCTTAAAGCCCCTCTGAACATCGGTTCCTGATTGTGATTTAAATCTAGCACTTTATAAATTCTGAGGAAAAACCTTCTAGTTTAAGTGTAGAAGCAGCTCACCGTAGACGACAACTACAAAGATCACCCTCTCAGCGGTGTGTCTCACCTCAGTGGGGTTTCTATCAGAGGATATTCCCCACAGAGCCTTCAGTCCAGTTCGTGAACCTCATCCTGCAGGGAGACCGAGGGCCGGCCCCCCTCACTCATCCGTTTGGCCATGATGTCCCACTGGGGGGTCAGGCCTTTAGATTTGGAGCCTGCAGAGGCGAGAGAGAGAGGAGACATGATACTGCTTACACACTCACCAGGAAATGATAAAGTCTTCTGCCCCCTGGTGGCCACATATGACTTGTTTCTATTTGAGCTCAGGATCAGCTCATACAAATAAGGTTACAGTGAATATTTTCAACTAAAACAAACAAATAAACAGATTTTGAATAAACATAGAAGCAAAAAAACAAAACAATAAAAGGACCTTCGCTTGAAATTTAGTCTATGTGGCCTAATAAACCAGATTTGTGCCTCACCACCAAATGCATAAATATAATGTTACAGGGTGATAAAGCTGTGTAAAAAGTAACACCCTTATGCCTAATCGAACTCTATATCAGTGGAAAACAAAGAGTTTTAGGTAGAGGCCGCTGAAATGAGAGTTTTGATAGATGCCAGTACAAGATAAATAAGATTTTAAAATGAGAACCAGGTGGCACAGACAATCCTCCTTTTTCTTTCTAAGTTTTATTATCGAAAAACTGCCAGAAGTGTGAACTATTTTGTCACGGTGGAGCTGACCTTTGACCTCTTAGGTATAGCGTTTCATCATCCTCTCAGGTGATCAATTTGTTGGTAAATAAACTCATCTCGAACACTCGATCCAGCCCGCTGTGTTATCCCAGCCTGGGCCTGCGGTGGGCTCACAAGATGCTCTCCCTCAGGATACACTTACCGAGCCCCCCTCTCTCCTCATCCTCCTCTCCCTCTCTACTGTTACCATGACAACATAGACTGTAGCCTCCAGCTAAAGCAGCCGAGCCTGATCCGAATCCTCCCGCAGTCTCTCTCTCTCTCTCTCTCCTCTGTGTCTTTCTCGGGTGTACTCGCACTCTTCTTGATCTCTCAGTCTGTCTCTTCCCCTCTCTGGTTCCACGGGGGAGCGGGGAAAGTGGGACGTAACCCAAAAAAATAAAGAGCCCCGCACAAACTCTTAACCCAACGGTAGTGGATATTATCTGGGTTGTGTAGCCATCGAGTGTTGTGTAGCCGCTATATCATCCTCAAATATTAAAATAATCAATATTAAGTGCATATTCAGAGATATTCCTGCTTGAATGTTGCTTGTGGGGTTAAATGTCGATAAAAACTGAGGGCAACAACATTATTATAGTCACACATGAAAAACTGACCTAAAAACAAATGTTTTCGTAAATCTAAACACATAAAAAAAATGAAAAAACACTGCATTTCAGCCTTTTGTATCCTTCGGTACAAAATGTTTGTTTTTTACATTTTATATCACCCTCGTGTTTAACCGCGGCAGGGATCTTTAACCGAGTGTGCAGAACTTTGTACAACAAAAAACCGTGGGAATTACAAACCGAAGAGAAGAGCAGGATAAACACGAGGCAAAAAAGTCGAGATGATTCAGCGAGTGCAGCTCAGCGAAAGTTAAAAACACTCTGGAGCTCAGAAATCAAACCTCTCCGAGCGCTCACCGTCCAGCCCGTTGTGCTGTTCGTAGGTGCGTTTGCCCAGGATGGTGGGAGAACCGTTGTTGAGGATGGGGGAGGACTTTATGGGCGTCAGGCTGCCTGTAGAGATGGACCCTCCACGAGCCGGGGGATCGGGTTTGGCTGGACGGGGATGTGCTTCTGCAGAGAAGGAAGTGAAAAGATTTTATTTGAGATTAACTAAACGGTCAAAATGCTTTTAATGTTGCTCCTGTTGACAGAGGAAACACTGAAGGGATTAACGGAAAAGCTTTCTTTTACGGTACACTTATTACCAGGTAATTAACAGGTAATTACCTAGTAACAACATGAAATTATCTGGTAATTACATGATAACTACTAAGTTTTTTTTTCTGTGCAGCTCCATTTTCAAAAGCTATTTGGGGTTCTTATTTTCTGTGATTGACACTTGATACAGCCTATGGGCGTGCGAAGATTGCGTAGCGATTCGCTGTTTGAGCCGAGCATTATCACAGCGACTCACCCGCCTAATGCGTACAATGCTACTGCGCAAGTGGTGGTTCCAAGAAGTGGAGGAAATCCTGGAAATACCAGAGCAATTCGGCTTCAAATTTGTACGATGACGGAAGGTTACCTACCTGGTAGCAAGACAGTATTGACTTAGTAGTTATCATGTTATTACCAGAGATTTTCATGTTGTTACTAGGTAATTACCTGTTAATTACCTGGTAATAAGTGTACCATAAAAGAAAGGGTTACTGAAAAGTAGAGAATCCCCTTAAAACCAAACAACAACCCGATGTTGCTGCTGTATAAAAAGTCTGAGAATCTCATCAAGCATGATTTTTGTGATCGGCTTCTTCTTACCTAAATACCGAACCACAGACTCCAGAGGTTTACGTTCCACAGGTTTCAGTGACAGAGGCTTTTTCGGCCCATCTGGCAACCGGAGGGCGCCTGGAGAGAGATTCAGTGAGGATGTTAAAAGACAGGACAACAACACGATCGCTTTTAAGTTTTTTCACGTGAAACGGTAGTCTGAGTGAGTTTACATTCGGCTTTGATGGCTGCTGTGTTGACAGGGAGGTAGGGGTGCCTGGCCAGGTATCGCGGCCTGATGATGTCCTGACAGATGCGGCGCGCCATCCGCGTCAGGCCGGTGGTCTGCAGGTAGAAAGCCTGTCGCGTCTTCACCGCAAACTTGGGGCTGCCGCTGTGCCGCAGGGGCAGGCCGTGTGGGCTCTGGAACAAACGAAGAACAGTTAAATCTGTGAAAACCTACACTTCAACATCAGGTACCACTGGCCTGAAACATTTCCCCTAGATTTATGCCTCCCTCCCAAAACAAAAAACTCACTTTTACTCCAATTTGCTCCTGGCTGACGCAGGGTTTTCTAGCTGGGAGCTATTGTAAACAAACTTTGTGATTTAATCTACGGGGGGAAATTTCTATTTTCAAAGTCTCGCCGCAAAAATAACTTCAAACCAAGGTACAAACAAACGCAAACATTACAACTCCAGTCTTTTATAGTGTGCCCAGGAAAGGCCGTGTACAATAGCGGTTTTAGCTGAGGGCACCAAACTCCTCCAAAAGTTTTTTTGTTTTGGCAGATGGGATGTCTGTATGTGCAGCCAAAGGGAGGTGGAATGAAGCTCAGGTCGGTGAGGGTGGTTGTGTGTCATGATAAGTGCTCTGCAAACAGCAGCGGTGTCAACAATGACGACAATTCAACACAATTGGCCTAAACGAGCGGATTGTTCCTTCAGAAATGACTGTAAATGAAAGGACTAGAGGTTAAAGTTTCACAAAAACAAGAAGAAAAGAGTTTCCTTCAGAGGATGGAGGATGAAGAAAAGCTTCTGGGCGAGAGCGAGGCTGTTGTTTCGCAGAATAAGGAAGTACCAGGTTGTTGCGGTTGGGTCCAGGCCTCTCTCCATCCAGTCTCGTGGGCATCTTCAGCCCGCCGTATTTCTTCCAGTAGGTCCAGCATGAAGCGCACAGACGGCACTGCATGTTGGGGGGACCCCACGAGTACCACTGGAAGGAGCTGCTGGCTACAAAAACACATGGACAGAGAGAGGAGAGTGAGATAAAGAAACACAAAGAAATCGTTTTTTTTTTTTCATACTACTGCCCAGGTAGATTTGCTGCAGCCTGAGTTCATTTCTGCTGAGCTGTGTTTGCTGCCATCTCAGGTATAATCACAGCTACCTCAGTAAAATTCTGCAAAGGTATATTTTCTAACACCTGAGTAGATTTCTACCCAGGTATATAAGCTGCCACTTAAGTATATATTAGCCCAGGTACATAAGCAGCCACCTGAGTACATATCTACACAGGTTTATTTGTTGTCACGTTAATATATCTTAGTTTAGATGTATCTGCTCCTAACTAGTATATTTCTTCTTATGCCGAAAATCACATTATACTGAGCAGTTCACCTCAATTACGATAAATGGACGATAACTACTCCACAAGCTGCTCACCCCCTCCTACATTAACTTCGTCTACTTCAGCTGCTGCTTCAGCTGCTACAACTTAAGAACCATCCTCCATCTCCTCACCTGTCTTTACCTCTTTGTTACAGACTAGATGGGGTGGAGTCACTCCCCTGACGTAGGACTGTGTTTTAAAGGGACATGAGACCAAAGCCTACCAACACACATCCAAAACAGACTTCTATTTATGTATTTGACACCGAATATACGGGGCAAAATGATGTCAGTTGTTGTCGTAAATTTCGGTATCGGTAAATTTTCGGTTTATCGCACAGCCCTACTTCAGAAACATACTAATAGATGCAGCTGTCTTAACTATAATTGTATATATGTTCTCAATATAGAATATGACACAATAATTTATGATATTTTTATGATGGCAATTTTCCTACTTTTATGTCCTGTTTTGTAAAATCATGCTTTTATTTTGAAATTTCACTTTTCACACTTTTTCTGAATGAAAGAACAGAAGAATAGTTAAGTAGTGAAAACGGTCAGACAGGGACGCTCCTCTCTTAGGCGGTGGTGGTCAGGTGGAGGCGGTTGCAGCACCAATTAACCATCATCTTGAGGCTCCTAAAAGCTTCTTCTCGTCATCCCTTGTGAATGAATGTGAACGCCAACATGAACATCCCACTCTGAGTATTTTGAATCTTTGCAATCATTCAGTGACACTAAGTCATCTCTCTATCAGTAAATTTTTGGTTTATCGCCCAGCCCTATTCACACCCTACTATTTCATGGTAAAGATAACCAGGACACTTCAAAACTCCTCTACACAGCCAACCTATTGTTAATGTTCCTCATGTGTTTACCACAGCTATTAAGGTTTTTTCTTCAGTGTAAATCTGTATGACTGAATCTGTGTTGGAGAATAGTCACTGCTAACACTGGAACTAAAGAGGATCCAAACACTGACAGAAAGAGAGAGAGAAAAGAAACAAAGACAGACTTACTGTAGCAGCTCTCACAGGCCCTGCCCAGGCCGGGGGTCTGCCCTGCGCCTGGAGCTCCTGGGACCACTGCACCCGCTGCTCCCGCTGCTCCATTCACCAGAGCTGGTTTTATATTGTTACTCAGCTGGTTGGGGTTTGGCTTGTTACTGTGGAGGGCGCGCAAACAGAGGAAAGGGTGAGAGCGGCACATATAATACAGGCCCAAGAGAAAAGATAACATTCATCAGTGTGCAGCGTGAGTCAGCAGTCACACAGATACTGTACGGAGAGCTGTCATAGAAATGAAAGAGGGGTTTGTGTTTTAATTAAAGCAGCAGATGTCCAACTTTAATACTCCAGAGATATCTCAGCGTATTCAGATGACAGAGAGTCGTACAAATGATCTCTCTGGTGAACATGTTTCAATCAGATATTTTCCACTCGTACAGAGGTACTCACTAGTTAGGGATGTAGACTTGCTTCAACTTGCTCTCTGCCTCGGCCGCTTTTAATCGTTTCTGGAGAGGAGACAGAGGTAGAGGAGAGGAGGGTGTGATTAGAGGAGTTAGCTCCAACAACACCATTTAAGGATAATAAGCATTTTAGGAAAGAAGTTTGAGTCTCATGTGGATTTAACAGATTTTAGCAAAGTCTCGGGGATGTTTCCGAGTGTAATTAGAAGAGAGCCCGAGTTTTAATTTAAAAAAAAGCATTTCATTAGACAATCTAACAACTTTTTAATTTAAAGGTATCCTTCAAATAAAAAATACTTTAATACGGTGGATATTTGCCAGAACGAGAGCTTAAATCGAACCCAAACTGTTAGGAAAAAGAACTCAAAAGAGGTTTTGTTGGAAGGTTCGAACAGTGCGCTATATAGAAAGATGAAAATAAAGCACAATAAGGCCCTAAAGTTTGTCTTTACCTGCTGTACATATCTGTCTGTGGTCTTCCACATGTAGTAATACTCAATAATACTCGTCAGGGACTTCCAGGGCAGCTGAAAGAAGAGAGAGAGAGAGAGAGAGAGCACAAAATGAGTTATTATCTCAATCTTATTTTCATTCTCAGTATCCATGAAAGAAGTGGGAAAGAGGAACAAATGTACAGATTTCTGCTCGAAGTTGGTGGAAAAGTACCGTGACACTTCCTGTTACAGCTATCCACAAATAACATGAGTTTAGTCGGGATGCTTTTGGACATTTTCGGGGGGCTAATAGGGCCAACCAGGTCCATATTTTCAAATGCGGATGTATGAATTTGGGAAAATGTTGCTTAAAGACAGGTCTAGACTATTACATCCCCAGAGATAAAGTAGGAGAGGGTCTTGGTAGTCCACAATAATTGAGATGTAATAAAAGAATCTTTGTCTGCGTCACAATCCTCGACATCCTCGTCAGTTCACCTGCACCACAAACACAGACGAACCCTATAGAGCGTCGAGACACTCGTCATGTTCAGATGAATCCTTGACCTTCGTACTGTCTGTGTTTTTTCTGTGCAGTCTTGAGATTCAGCTCCAATAAACTCTTCACTGTCTTCTTGTGTAACGTGTCTCGACATCGCTGTGTGTCTGATGAAGTTTGTTCTCACTCTCGCTAATGTAAAACATCGACTTGTAGCGTGTTTCATGGGGTGATCATGTGTATCTGAGCTGAAAGATGAACTTAATTGAATAAAATGATTATCCCCGTTACGGCGATACTTCTGAAGAACACGAGTCGAGAGTAAAGTTTATAAAGCTACAATGGAGGGCGAGATGTGCTGCTCTGATTACAGTTTGTTCAGCTTCAGTAAATGAGTGAAACAAAAATGGAGATCTTTGAAGAGGCAGCATACGGACAAAGACAATCAGACTTTATTCAGCATCCTGTCCTAAATCCCAGCAAAAGACGAATAACTTGCAGTGGCTCGTAAGTGTCTGTCAACATTAAATTTAATAGAAATGTATCGACTGCTTTCCTTCAACAAAAAGGCCGCTGGTGTTAAAGTGCGCTTGCATGTAAGACTTGTTAGTTCATCAGTCCGGTTGAGCGTTAAAAGGTGATTTATTGTTCAAACAGACAAGAAAACACACTGATCCAGGTCCAAAACTTTGCCTTCAAATGAAAAAGTGATATGATGAAAATGAGGGTAGAAGGCAAAACCCATTGTATCTGACTACACCAGTGTTTTTAAATAAACCGCAAAACATCCCAAAACCACACCCCTCAGTGTCGATCCCGGAGGTGACATACCTAGTAGAAATAAGATCCTCAACAAATATATTTTGGCTCCTACAGAAATGATCCCTTCATCGCTCAAAAATTTCTAAAAATGTTTGCTCAAGATGAAGGACACTAAATTACTGCAGCAAAAAAGTGAAGAAACCACAAATAATACTGTTAAAGCTCCTGTAAGGAAGTTTTGGTTTGTGTCAAGTTAGGCACCCCCTTGTGGACAAAGGAGACTTTGCTTATCTTGACCTCTTCTTGCTTAAATAGTGCTTTTTAGTTTTTAACAGTCAAAAGAATCATTGTAATGGAGGATACTCAATCACTGCAGCAGAAAAGTGAAGAAGCAACAAATGATACTGTTAAAGCTCCTGTAAGGAACTTTTGGTTTGTGTCAAGTTTGGCACCCCCCCGTGGACAAACAGTCTTTGCTTATTTTGCCCTCTTCTCGCTTGAGTAAAATCTAGTGGTATTTGCCAGTAAAAAAATAATTGTTATTAAAAATACTCAATTACTGCAGCAGAAAAGTGAAGAAATCACAAATAATACAGTTAAAGCTCCTGTAAGAACATTTGGTTTGTGTCAAGTCTGGTACCCCCTTATGGACAAAGCAGTCTTCGTTTATCCTGTCCTCTTCTTGCTCAGTTTAAATCTTCTGGTATTTGACAGTCAAAAGAATCATTACTGTGAATAACTGTAAAAACAGAGATGCTTCTCCAGCTGCTCAGCTCACACCTACCCCCTCTCACCAGTTTAAACTATCAATATTAAATTCTGCAGTCTTGTTCCTGTTCATCTTGTTTGCATTTAGATGACCTGAAAAGGCATCGGTCTGTTTTACAAGTGTTAAAAAATTCCTCATCGGAGCTTTAAAAAACTTAAATCAAAGAAATTACAAAATCCTGTTTCAAAATAAAAAAGCCACTCCATTGTTTTGGTTCTCCAGGAAGTTAATGCGAGTGGTGACAGCACCAAAGGGGTTGCCAGTTATGATCTCCAAAGAGGCGAAACAGAGAGTGAACTTTTTTTCTATTCACTGTTGAATGCTTTTAAGTGAGTCAGAGCGTTTCTATATTCTGTTCAGCTGCTGAAAACAGTGACTGTGGCGCATAACTCCGAGGCCAAATGATTTAACACCGTACGATTCTCAAGATAAACGACCGACACAGCCAGACACACAGACACTCTGAACCCGCAGACGTTCAGCCGTTAAGTTCCCTCTGAGAAGTTTGAAAGCGGATCGAGCTGTGAAGTCGCGAGGCCCCACCCATAATGCTGGTGAGGTTGTGTTGTCTGAGGAGGAGGTCTGGGTGGAAACCTGAGTGAGAGGCACTGACAGCAGCCGGCCACCAGGTGGTGGAGTGATGCACACAGTGAGAGCTGAGCACCAAGTCCACAAAAGGCAGCAGCATCGCTCTTATCCGGCTGAGAGCACAGAGCTCCAGCAGAAAGAAGATCTCGCCTGGTTTTAACCTCCTCAAAGACGTGTCTGAGGAGCCTGTCTCTGAGTATTTAACAAGACGACAACTGTGTCTGACACTCATTCTGCAGAACATCGTCTTCATGCTGAAATGAAGTCCTGTTGATTCCAGATTCTGAGGTTTCAGCATCTGAACGCTGACTGAGCATGCCTCACGATCTGACAACAGGCTTCCTCCTACGAAATGATGAGCAGCGTTCAAAGTCATCAACAAGACACTTTTACATGTCCCCGCTGCACTATTCAATCAAGCTGAGCCGAACCACTCTTTAAAAGAAGCACACAGGGAAAAAAAAGGAGCAGTCTCACTTTTTTTTAAACCTTACAACAGGGTTAGGGTTGGGGATGATTAATTTTCATACACATGATTGAGGCTCCTTAACGATCCAAGTCTCTACCTTCATTTTACTGACCCAACCTAAAATTGTTTCTATCATGTAGATTTTAACAGATTCAAACATCAGATCACGATTTTTCTTTTTCAGTCCTTCTTATAAAGTTTGGGTGTGAACACCACAGAGGAGCATGAATGTTGAATGATACATCGAGTTGCAGCAGCAGCAGCAGCAACAGCAAACCAACACTGACTGAGTTTTCTAAACCCAAAGACAGTCGAGGGTTATAAACGGCCAAAGTTTCTCCTCCACTCACAAAAACAACCATCAAACTTCTTTGTGTCCAGTCTGACACTGGAAATAGTTATAATCTCTATATGCAAGACATCAGTTACAGCAGCAAACCTCTACATAAGAAAATTTTAATTGATTATTTTCCTAGTCACCAACAAATTTAAAAGAATATGTTTGTGAATAAGTTTGTCAGTAATGAAACAAAAGTAAACAAATAAAGAAAGTATATAAGGAAGAAAAGCAAAAGAGAAACAAGGAAGAATAAATGAAAATCAGAAAGATAGCAAAGGAAGAAAAGGCAAAAAAGACAGAATTATAAAAGAGGGAAAGAAAAAAGTTAAGGGAAAAAAGAAAAGAAAAAATTAAAGAAAAAGGGCAATGTATAAAGAAAAAGAGAGAAAATAAAAGAAAGATATAAAGTGAAGCAAAAGAGAAAGCTAATTGAAAGAAGAAAAGAAAAAGAAAGAAAGAAAGAAAGAAAGAAAAAGAAAAAAGAAAGAAAGAAAAGAAAATATTAGGAAGGAAAAAAGAGGAAAGGCAAATAAGAAAAAGAGTAAAAACAAAAAGAAAGAAAAAAGAAAAAAAATTAAGGAAGGAAAGAAAGAAAAAGAAAGAAAGCAAATGAGAAAGAAGGAAGAATAAATGAAAGAACATTAAGAAATAAAAACAAAGAAATGAAAGATAAGAAAGCAAAAAGAAAGAAAAAAATGAAAAACAGAGGGAAAAAAATAAGAAAAAAGCAAATGCCGGAAAAATAAAAAAAAAAGAGAAAATTTAAGAAAAAAGAAAGAATATATTTCATTTAATAATATTTAATAAAAAATTATAATATAATGATTTGTTTGTATGTGTGTTGCATCATCATGAGTTTTTCTCCTCCCGCAGTACTTTAGGTTTTCTTGAATTAACAAAGTTTTACTGATGAACTCTGACTCATAAAGATGAAAACACCTCCTGCTGTGAGCTGAAGTCTCATGAATCTACAGTCCTCTTTTTTACTGGAGCTCCCTTTCAGATATGTCTCTCCTGTTTGTTCACCTGTAAAAATCACTTCTTCCTGTGACTCTTAATTACTTTCTGGAGTCTCGTAATCAAAGTTAAGTTACCACAACTGTTAGCTCTTCCTGAAACCAGTGAGTCGCTCAGTGACAACTTGTGTCAAGAAAGTGGATGAAATTAAAGTGTGTCTGTCTGCTGAATTTGATTTTTGACTTTTTTTTCACTCACAAAATCCTGCTGGATGTCGGTGAAGTCTTTGCCGTATTTTTCTAGCGCTTCCTCGAACAGGTTGGCCTCAGAGGCGCTCCACTCCTCCATCTCATCCCTGCAGAGGACGGGTCCGCCCTGAGGCACCAGCGCCGCGATGGCTCGAGTCATGTCATAACCCGTGGTGTGGAGGGTATCCATGGCGTGGAACTAAAACACACACATTAAAAACACGACTTAAACTCCCGGACTTTCCATCATTTATCAAACAATTATGTAATTAATCTCTGGAGGTCTGGCGCTGTTGGAGAGAGGATAACACAATTTTATTCTCGGTGGGTCCGTGGAGTTTAAATGCAGCTCCTTGTCCAAGGCTCTGGGTTGTAAGTGTGTGTGTGTGTCTGTGTGTCTGTGTGTGTGAGCATGTGGGTAGCTCGAAGGCCTCTCATCTATGTTTTATATATGAGGATAAGATCTGGGACAGAACAGACCCACACCAGGCTTCTGGGGCCAAGTGCTTGTTAGGGATAAACCACACACACACATACACATACACACACAAACACACACACAGGTTTCAACAATCACCATCACACACACATACATAAGCACACAAACACACATGTGCACTACAAGCATTTCCTTTGATTAACATCACCACACTCCCACTACGCTTTACATCTGTGGTGAGATGCTGATTTCACCCAAGGCTGCTTTGGATGTGTCTCTCACCAAGGTGATGTCTCTGGAGGCTGCCGCAGCGCTCATGTGAAGGCTGGGCTGCCGGACTGAACTACTGCAGTCCAGGGCTCGAGCGAATGTGCCTACAGACCTACGACAGAGGAGAAGCATTAAAGATAAGTCTGAGAGAGAGCAGGATTCACTTTTAGTTCAAATCTATCAATCAGTCTTTATTTATATAGAACTTTTCATACACGACCATGTAGCACAAAGTGTTTTAAACAGAAAAGGAATAAAAGAAACAAAGAATACCTAAATCTACCACTACCTAGGTATAAATGAAACAAAGAATACCCAAATCCACACCAGTCCAGGAATAAAAGACACAAAGAATATCCAGATCTACTCCAACCCAGGAGTAAAAGACACAAAGAATGCCTAAATCTACCCCAACCCTGAAATAAAAGAAACAAAGACTACTCAAATCTACCCCAACCCAACCCCTCATTCCCACGCCATGATCTAAAAGCAACAGAAACAGTATAAAAATACAGTAACTTTAAAAGGGCTTGATTTCAAGGAAACAGAAATGTGCGAATGTGAGAAAACGTCATTTTAAAACTCAAGATAACACGGGAGGTTTAGGTTAAAATCTAAAAACAAAGTAACATAGAATGAAATTTAAGAAATAATAAATAAAATGAATAAAAACAACAGTAAAAGATACTTAAATAAGAGCACTTAAAGTTAATGATATAAAATTTAGTTAAAAGCAAGACCGAAAAGGTACTTTTTCAGTTTGCTTTTAAAGTCATTAAGATTAGTTTCAGTCCTCAGGTCTTCAGGTAAGCTGTTTCATAGACGGGGGCTGTAGTAATTAAAAGATGCCTAACTGTATGTTTCAGTTTTAACTTTAGGTAAGGTTAACAGAGAACTTCCTGAAGACCTGAGGACTATACCTGTAAAAGCAGATCGGATAAATAAGATGGGTCAAAGCCATTAAGAGCTTTAAAAACCAATAAAGCAACCTTAAAATCTATTCTAAAAGAGACGGGTAGCCAATGCAGATATTATACAATACTTAACACCTGGAGTTTGTGTTTTATTACAGCTTCACTGGACTTAACTTTGGTCTCTTCAAACCTTGTTTCCAGTCTTTGCACCAGGATAAGCTAAAAACTTCGTCTTCAATTTTCTCCACCAATTCCATGTTCTTCAAATATCACCTTCCTTTCTCGAGATTTTTTTTCTTCTGCTTTCCTTTTATTCGACTTACCGAGCTACCACTAAGAACTGGTCAATCTGTTTCTCTGTTAATGAGCTGTTTGGGTCCCAGACCTTCTCCTCTAGCTTCTCCAGGTCTCTGTCATCTTCTTCACCTGTAACAACCGAGAGAACACAGACAGAGACACAGTTAATCCGTATATTCTGCTCAAGTCTGCTTTACAAGTCCACTGTACAAAAAAAGAGACACTGAATCTCAAATCAAACTGGATTCCTCTCCTTGTTTGTTTGCCTTTTTTCAAAAGCGACTACCTCATGAGGAGCTATAATGAATCCCAGAGATGAATAGGAGGGGGTCTGTCTGGCTGCCAGCCTGCAACGAACCAGCCAACCTGCCTGAGTTCTAACACATGTAACAGAAATTCATTAACATGAGTTTAATTACAGAGCTTAGAGTCCCATGGTGCCCTAATTGCAATTTCAGAGGTTTTTCCACCTGCTAAGAATAAAATTCTGGCAACAGACTGAAAGCTTTTAAACTGGCAGGAAAAGAGTCACCTTTAAAAAAAACACGGAATAACAGCACAAAAGCCTGGCTGGAAAACATGATCGTACTGCTGATGATGCAGAATGATTATGGATTTGATTATGGAGAGATAACTTTATCACTGAATGACTGCAGAGATTCAAAATACTCCGTGTGGGATGTTCATGTTTGAACTCTGAGTTTCAGAGGAGTTCACATTCATTCACAGGGGAGGACGAGAAGAGGCTTTAAGGAGCCTCAAGATGGCGGTTAATTGCTACTGCCATTGTCTCCACCTGACCACCACCACCTGAGAAGAGCGTCCCTGTCTGACCGTTTCCACTGCTTAACTGTTCTTTTGTTCTTTCATTCAGAAAAAGTGTGAATAGTGGAATTTCAAAATAAAAGCATAATTTTACAAAACAGGACATAAAAGTAGGGAAATTGTCAAAATAAAAATATCATTAATTGTTGCATCATATTCTAGATCAAGAACATATATACAATTATATTAAGATAGGTGAATTTATTAGTATGTTTCTGAAGTAGGGCTGGGCGATAAACCGAAAATTTACTGATAACAGAATTTATGACAATTACCAATGTCACTTTGCTCAGGTCAGTATATTCGGTGTCAATAAATAAATAAATAAAAGTTGGTTTTGGATGTGTATAAGACGCTGTCCTATTTTGGAGACGTGACTCCACCCCATCCAGTCGTAACAAAGAGGGAAAGACAGGTGAGGAGATGGAGGACGGTTCAAAAGTTGTAGACGAAGTTAATATGGGAGGGGGTGAGCAGCTTGTGGAGTAGTTATACTCCATTTATCGTTGAGGTGAGCTGCTCAATATATCATGACATTGATTCGACGCCATATTACCCAGCCCTATTCTGAAGTAACACTCTTTTTGCACAGCTTGTAATCTAAAATGAAACCACTTTTAAGCAACTTTTTGGGGCTTTTTGATCTTTGCAGCAAGAGTGTGAAACCTTTGAAATATGGAGCAGACAGCTAACCTGAACCAGCGCCCTGCTCTGATACAACTGTATGATCCTGCATGTAAACACACATAAAAAACACATCGCTGTTATCTTCTTTTTGTTTAACCTGAACACAATTTCATACTGATGGTGGCAGTTTGACCCTTTAAATCTCTACTGTGTTAAATCCAACCAGCTCTCCATCTAATCCCGTTGACTTCCCCCTCAAACTGCTAACCCTGTCAAAATTATCACGTTTGATTGTTTCCTCACACTCTGTTTGCCAAATATTTGTAATTTTCTTGACTTTGCATTGAAAAAAACACACAACAAGGCTCCAATTTGAGGCATAAAAGGCCATTTAAAGTTCATGTAATGTTCCTGGGAATTGTATAATCATACGCACATTAAAGGCTGAACGGTTCATTATGGTTCAGTCTGCGTAGTAAAAAAACATAAAACTGTGTCAATTAAATCGCCCAAGATTTAAGCGTGGTGTACCTTCATTCAGGAGGTCAGTGATGTCAGCCTGGAATTTGTTCCCGACACGGATCTCCCCCTTATCAGCCAGCAGAGTCTTCTGCTGGGGGTCATACACCAGCGAGTAGAAGAAGGCATCCTGGGGGATAAAGACGTCAGGAAGCCGTGAGGATGGGATTGAAAGAAATAGTCAGAGAGAGACGGGCAAACAGAGAGGTGAACGAGAAGGAGTATATCTTCCTCTGCATGTGTGTGTGTGTGAGTGTGTACTCTCCCCTCTGCTAGTCTCTCGTCTCCTCATTACTGTACGTGAAAAGAACATTCTGGGTCAACATGCTGAATTATTCATCTGGAAACAAGAATCTCTTTACTCATAAGTCGAACCCTCCCTCTCTCCCTCTTAGATAATCCTCAAGTCCAACACACCTGATCAGAGCTAACAAAGATGTCAACATGTTATTTGGCTGGTGTACCCACCTCTCTGTCCAGGTACGACTTCAGGGCTTCTGTCTCGTTCAGCAACGTCACGCAGCACTTCCCCCTGGAGTCGAGAGAGGAAAGTAAATCAGGGGAAAAAGTTGAGAAAAAAGGGCAACAGGGATGTCACAAAAGTTTGAGATGGGAAAGACAGGACAGAGAGGACATAAGGGAGGGAAGAAAGTAAATATTTAACATGAGAAACACAGAATAACCTTCAAGACTTTGAGTCCAGGGGGATGCAGGTTACATAAGTACCAGATGAAGGCTGCTACCCTCTTCTGAGCTGTCTCAGAAGGTACTTTGATGTCGGATGCATCTCTGAATCCGCAGCTACAATATTGATTTTGCTCCAGCTGGCTCAGGCAGCTATTTGTTGAATCACGGTCCGGTTTGTTGACACTGAAAGCACTCATCTCCGTCCCATGCTGCAGTCTCTATTCTAATTATTTACCAGGTAATTAGTCATACCTCTCCAGCCTGGAGCGGACACAATTTGGCCAGGTGGTAAACTCAACCGCTCGCATAACCCTGCTGAGTCAGAAATCTTAATAACATCTGAATTCTCGCTGAATAAACAGCCAATCAGTGTGTTTTTGTTCCAGCAGATGTCAGTTTGCACTTCCTGCCTCTCAGCAGAAATGTCAAAGTAATAATGTGGTAATGATGAGGTGGGTTTGTTGGGAGATTACAGATGAGCAAAGGCAGTTTCTATATATGTAGGGAACTAGCTCGGTGTTGACATTTAGCGCTCCATGTTCACGCTGCATATGAGTGGATTATTTTGAGTTTGTTTGACTGCACAGACAGGAGGCAGAGAATAAGAGCGAGGGAGTTAATAAATGATCACATCTTCATCCAAATCAGTCAGGGGGCGGCTGTTTTTACAGACAAGTACTAAGAGCTCAAAGGGCAGGATTTACTTCATGTACATGAGGGTGATTGAAAAAAGACAAGACTGGACAAAAAATGTAGAGACGATTGGTTGAAAATGCTTAAATTAGGGCTGGGCGATGAATTGAAAATTAACCGATAACACATTGTACCAGTTATTAAAATTTACAACAAAAACCGAAGTCATTTTGCCCATCTTCATATATTTGGTGTAAAAAATATAAATAAATAAAAGTTGGTTCTGGATGTGAATATCAAGAAAATATAAACAATTATAGTAAGCCAGCTGCATTTAACAGTGTGTTTCTGAAGTAGGGCTGGGCGATAAACAAAAAATTTACAGATACCAAAATTTGCGACAATAACGATGTCACTTTGGCCATGTCAGTATGTTGGATGTGTGTAGGTAGGCTATGGTCTCATGTCCTTGAAAGACGCTGTCCTACATCAGAGACATGACTCCACCCCATCCAGTTTGTAACAAAGAGGGAAAGACAGGTGAGGAGATGGAGGACGGTTCAAAAGTTGTAGCGTCTGGAGCGGCGGCTGAAGTAGACTAAGTTAATGTGGGAGTGGGGTGAGCAGCTTGTGGAGTAGTTATACTCCATCTATAGTTATCAAGGTGAACTGCTCAATATATTGTGATATTGATTCAAGGCCATATCGCCCAGCCCTAGCTTAAATTGTGAAATGTATTCTTGAAGGCACAAACCAGTCTGCACCTTAAAGGACAGAGTTTGGATTTTCTTTTTCGCAATACTAGTAATATTTTGATCCCCAATTTGTCATCTTCACATCAAAGACAGATTTCCTGTTCACTGATTCACAAAGTCTCGTTTGTTCATAATCGAAGGAGCTCTGCAAAGTGACTGACAGGTAAAGGTAAGACTGAGAATGAAACTACGCCAAACATCCACTGAAACACAGACAAGAAATTATGAGGAGGCATACCTCGCCCTCGGCTTAACCTCCACCAGCTGTGGACCACCCACACACTCAAACTCGGAGGTTGCATGCCGCAGTGTCACTTTTAATTGCACGTTGGTTGCAGGTGTTTACAGTATGATGTCCCTCACTGCAGATGCAATTCTGTATTTTTCATATCTGATTGTAAAGAGCTCTAAAATACAGGTGAAAGACGTGTCTGATAGTGAGTTTTAGAGAGTATGGATATTTGCGCTTTAAATGTTTATGAATTAGCAAGAAGAAATGTGAAATTACACATATTACTTACTAGGGCTTCACGATTTTGGCCAAAAATAAAATCCAGATTTTTTTCTCTGAAAACTCAATTTTTTATTCAGAGACAACTTCGCCAAACTTCACTTAAGTAAAAGTTTTTCTATGATCTCTCAAAATTAAACCACTGAAAATGATGTGGTGCATATGCCAAGCCTGTAAGTGGCGCTGTAACGCTGCACAGGAAATGCACAAAAGACAGAAGAAGAGTACAGAGCATGTGTATAATGGTTACTTTGGCCGGACATGCACAGGCGCCATAAAAGAGTTACGCTGTGTGTCACATAATTGTTTCAAGAGATGCAGATAGTCATCCACACAGAGATGAAATGGTAGTCGTTTACGGATTAATGCACTCTCGTTTCTGTTTTTAAAAAGTACAGTTTACAGTCACCTGAAATGCTGTTTCCGTGCGGATGAAATGCCAATATGACAAAAACTTTTGCGTTTACTCCTAAACTCGTCTCTGTGTGGACAGGTTGATACCACCTTCAGACAGACTTTGCAGCGGGGAGTGGTTTGCTCCTCATCCGAAACTGCAACGCCGTACCAATTTCACATGACGGACTTACTCTTGCCCTATTTAGATACGAAATTATCGCCGTCTTTTACAAACGCCATGTTTGTTTACCCTGGTGTGTGTGGGAACTGGGGAGCCCTCTCACAGGAAGGGGAAGCCTACGGTGGCCTGGAGGCGCAACAGAGCAAAATCGATTTGATGATTTAAATTTTTTACATTGTCAAACTCAATTAATCCAATTATTATTAATCGTGCAGCCCTATTACTTACTTTAGAGTATCATTACAAATGCTCTAGAAAGGAACGATGAAACCGTCGCCTCATCAGCACAACCTATTTTATCAATCACGCACAAATCTCCACAACACAACAGGCATATTTCATGCTTATCTTCCCGTATTATTCGCAGCGTTGAAATCCTAAATCACAGCCTCAATGAGGTGTCAGATGGAGAGTTACAAAGCAACAGACTGCACAGCTGAAACTTTTCGACGAGATTACCAACTTTTCTGAGTCCTGCTGGTGTGAGGAGAACTCCTCGCACAGTGGGCAGCATGAAATCACACTGCAGCACAATTTGTATCGACGTACTTAGTTGACTGGAGTTCGTCTGGCTGCGGTTTGAACTCATATGACAGCTGCTGCTCTGCTGTGCTTCCACAAAGTTGCCAGAGGAATAAATCACACTTATTGTTAACGTGGTTATCAGAAAATATGGGCGGATACGCTTTATGATTTCATTCCAACATTCTCAAAAGAGCCTTTCCTGCTTTAATTAAATTTTACGGCTTTTTAAAAGGACTATTGTTTCCTAATGTTGCTTTTTGACTTTGATTTTATGATCTGCTGTTATTATTTCGCTGCTTTGGTGAAGATATTCTCCAAAAAATCCTTTCAGATAGTTTTATTCACTGATTTTTCTGTCTTAACCATGTGAGTCCACTTTGAGTTGGGTTAAACAAAAAGCAAGATTTAGCAAACACTGATCCGCCGGTGCACGGTGACGTACCTGATGTGCGTGGCGGGTAAAGACTCCAGTTGCCGGGACAGAAAAAGCTCTCTGTGTCTGAGCTGGTGTTTCTGTTTCTCTGGGAGGTTGGCCATCTCTGGATTCTCCATCTCCTCCTCCAGCTCCCCTGAGGGATGAAAAAAAAAAAAAAGAGGTCAAAGGTCAAATATACACACATCAGACGAGGTGGAACAATGACATCCTCGGGGAAAACAGGGATGTGTGTGTGGGGGGGATTGCAAATCCATCGACTGGAGCCAAAAACAGTCTCAGGTGCTCGGCGAGCGCATATAAAGCACAAGGATGCACACCTGATGAGGCGGAACAATGAAGTCCCCGGGGAGATTTGTTTTTACAAATGCAGGTATTTTACATAAAATCTCAATGATGGCTTCTACATTAGACCTGAAATATTTATCAAACCACATTAAAATGAGGATCTCTCTTCCAACTCTCTCCCCCCCTAACAGACATAAATGTGTTTTCAATATAAACCATTTAGGTAATCATCATGAGCTTCATTTGTCTTGAACACACCCAAGAAAAAAAAAGGAAGGAAAGAAAGACAAATAAATTCTCCCATTGTGCTGAGGCCCTGAAAAAATCCATTAGTTGAGATTCACTATTGGTTTTTGGTTCCTTTCGGGGAATATTCACAGACTTGATTACTAAAAGTTGTGTGAGACTTGAAGAGAAAGAAAATCCCCTGTGTTTAATTTTTTTATGTAATTTCTGCAGCGAGCACAAAATCTGAGACTCATAATCAAAAAAAAAACTACAAGAAGGAAAAGCAAAAATCATCTTCAAACTTTAGCAATGAAAAAAAATCTTCTGTCTGAGATGGCTCTACTAAAGTTGAATGGATGAGAAACAGCATGAGGGTTAGGATTGGGTTACTGTTGCATAAATTACACAATAAGAGGTACAGTGATGAAGAACTGCACTCCTATCATCGTCACAGACAGTAAATAGTTGTGGTCCACATTGGTGTTAGTCTACTCCATATTTAAAATAAATGAGGTACAGACTTGAGACGAGAACATCCAACTCATCAGAGACAGAGAAGCTCCTTTTTGGGACAGTTTGTTTATAAGTTGCTGCTGCTGACTGTACGAACTGTTTGTCATATCCAGCCGCCTTTTTGTTTATGTCAAGCAGTTGGTATTTTCAGCTTATATCCACAAAGACAGATTGTTTTCAACTCAAAAGATGCTCAGACTTCAGATAAAATTAAGTATATTTTTCATAATGAGAGGTCGATATGATATTGTGTCTTTAGGGCCGATACTGATGCTGATATTAGTAGTTCATGGGATTGAAAACTAATATTAGGAACCAATTTACATTTACATAAAGAATGACAACTTTAGCCAGGGTTTCTGCAGGTTTCAATATGTCAAATTTAAGATTTTTTTAGACTTTTTTAAGACCATAATGAATACAATTTAAGATCCATTTTATATCCATAATGGCAAAAAAGTACAAAAGACTTATTTGTAAGTAACATCAATACATTTTAAGACTTTTCAAATTTGTATTTAAGGCATTTTATGAGGTTTTAAGAGAATTTTAGTCATTTTAAGGCCTTAAATCTAAATTATTGGATTTTAAGACTTTTTAAAGACCCAGCAGAAACTGTGTTCAGCAAGTGTTTAATCCAAACTGACATGTCCAACACCATATGTAGGAGTATCTTACACCTATGGTATAGTTACGCACAGTCCTCTGACGATCGGCCAATGTTGAGACAAAGTGGTGCGTGAAAACAAACCCAGGGGGAAAGACACACCAATGTTGCTGCCAAAGTAGCACACATTTGGATTAATAATTCAACTATTGTTTGGATTAATTACACCCCAATAGTCAGTCAAGGCTGATAATTGGTCTAGTTTTAATACACAACTCCTTTAATATACCTTCAGTAAATTTTCAGTCCCTAATGACATTTTCAACATCACACACAGGAGGTAACAGTCTACCAGATACACTCAGAGGGCAATTTTGACACAGTCGTGTTATTTCCAGCCAATCAGATCTCATTTTGAAAAGGACATTAGGTGAGGCAGAGCAGGGAGTGTAAACGGGCCTAAAGTGGCCGAGCGAAAGTAGCATGCTTTTAAATTAATCAAATAATTTCATCAGCCATCTATAAAACAAAACACAAATCCCAAATATATCAGTCAAATGCCAAATATCGGCCCTGATAATCGACCAATGCCAATAATCAGTCTAATCCTATTTATAATTCTGCGTTTGGAAAATACACCCAGATCTTAACAGAGGTTGAAGTTGCAGATTTGCATTTCACAGAGGACTGGATTATTGGTATTGTGTAATGACTGAGCATCCATTCAGGAGTAACCTTGAGTGATCCCTGCATCCTGAATTCAATCAAAAAATCTTGGATTATAACCCCTGCACAAACAAAATCAGTCCATGTCGTGGAAAAAAAAGCAAGATTCAGAAGTCAGAGGGTGAAAAACAGCCCAGGGAAAAAATGGACAGAGTGAGTGCTGAAGGACTATCAGCCCATTTGAGCCGGTCATGTGTCTGCGTCATTCTGCAAGAAAAGACTGAGCTGCTGCTGCTGCTGCTGGTAGAAACATCTCCACCGCCACAATCCCTTCCTCATGTGTGGATGAGGAGGGTGGAGGAAATGAAGGTTGGAAAGTAAGGGAAAGAGGAGGCGAGATGGACAGGGAAAGAGATAAAAAAGAGAGACGGATGAAATAGGCGAGACGATCACAGAGGGACAAAGTGTGACGAGAGCGATAAAGAGCGAAGGGAGCATAAGATGAAGACAGAGAGACGTAAGGACGAGGAGATGAGAGAGGGAGAGGAGGAAGGGGGCGCGATAGAGAAATCGGCAAGGAGAGAGAGATGGAGAGAGAGAGAGAGAGAGAGAGAGAAAGAGAGCAGTCAGTACGTGCTCCAATTCATTTGGAGTTTCATTAGAGGAAGCGAGACAGAAAGAGGGAGACGGGGAGCAGAACAAAAGCAATCAAGGGATTTTCAGGAGAAGAGATGTGTGGCCAAAATCAATAAGTACTCCTTCACTCCCTCACTCTGCCCGGCACTCAGCACCCAGCAGACACACACCATCAGCGCCCAGACACACACAGCATGAGCCTCACTCCATCTCCTGCCATGTAAAATACGCAGCCCGATATGGAGCGAGATTATTAATAAAAGGAATAAAAACAAGATTAAATGGGACAGGAAATCAGGTGGAGATATTAACTGTGTGTTAGAGAGATGTCCAATAAACCGTGTGTGTGTGTCATACATGACCAAAACATGTGGTTTGTGGGTATTTCATAATCTCATTCAGAACATGATGAACACATGTTTTACATTAGTCTTTACGTTCTTGTTCTCCGCTCTATGTGGTTATCCAGTCGGGTAATGAGCTTCAAACTGCTGCTCTTGTTTTCTCCATGAGCCGCCGCATTAGCATAAAAATCTATAATAGTAAAAATCGGAGTCCAATTTAAATTGCAAGAGAAGTTTATTAATTATGGGTAGAACTGGCTCTTCCTTCTCAAAGTGTTCATGCGCCACAGGCAAAAACTCACAGCGAGATAAGAACTGGCCCTAACTACAGCTGACCCCTGAAAGTCGGCAAATTGAATCAGTAGACGGAGAGACCCGGAGTTGACCTGCGTTTTGGCGGTCGAATCTCAATCTGCATAAACTCAAAAGCCTTAAAATTACCCATAAATGTTAACGAGATGTTTTTCTTTTTTTTGGCGGGGAGCGTTCTGCTCTTTTCAGACACATTCTTGCTTAAAGTGTTAAAACCGTCTAAATGAAGCAGTTTCTGGTGAGAAATCAGTTTCTTTCTGACACACTTTTGGTGAGGGTTCTTGGGCGCTGAGAGAAGAACTGCAGCTAACTCCAGCCAAGCTTTTTACATTAACTGTAATCTATTATCCGGAGAAATCATACAGCTAAAAACAAAGGTGACATGACAGTTAGAAAACAGCGAGTCGAGACCGTCTGATGGCCAGCACTTATGTTAAAAACATTCGATAGAAACAACAACCTCAGTTCCAAAAAGAAGTTGGGATGCTGCGACAAGTTGATAAAAACAAAATGAGACAGTTTGCAAATAATTCTAACCTGATATTGAATAAAACAGTACAAACAGAGCACATCCAATATTAAAACTGAAAGATTTATTGATCTACTTTGGAGATTGTGGACGCCACATAGTCTGATCTTAAAGGGATATTCCAGCGTAAAATTAATTTAGGGTCGAACACTTTTTAACTTTGCCTAATTTCTTTAGCAAAGAGACTAAACACAACTCACCTACTCTCTTCCAGTAGCCACTTGTTTGTAGCGAGACCTCAGGCCAGTCCATTATGGACTACAGCGGGGTTTCGCAGCTCAAGGAAGAACATTTATGATCATTTCTTCATGGAAATGCAATCAGACCAAGACACTAAGGCAGAAGAACTACTATATCTGCAGTGCAAAATGATTAATATGGTGATTATTACTCCAAGGAAATGATAAAGAAATGGTCATAAATGTTCTTCCTTGAGGCAACAAAGTGTGCTGCACATCAGGAAATGCATGCAGAGGTCTTCCATAATTAAAAGATGTGGGGAATGTGTTCAATAATCAAAGCAAGCCCAGAAAAATATCCATACATGTATTCAGTATGTGCATCTGGATCGAACAGGTAAGCACTCCTTCGTGGAATCATCTGAATGTAAAGCTTAATTTCTTCTGCAGCAACGCGGATGACTGGTTTTGTTTGGATCATCCTCCTTTTTAAAGAAAACCATTTTCAATTAAATCAGTTCCTTTTACTCTGTATGTAAAAATAAATACATGTGAGCTCATCCTGTAAAGAGGATCTTTTATTATTAGCTCTGCTTTTTCCTCTTTTCATCCACTTTTCTTGGTTCACTTCTTTGGTTTTTTTCTTTTCTTATTTTTCTATTCCTCTTTTCTATTTTTCTTTTTTATACACTTTATTTTTCTTTCTTCTCTGATACGATTTTTGGAATTGATTTTTTTCTTCTTTGCTCAATTTGAGGTTAGATGTCTAAAAGGTGTTACAGCTTGTACAAGTTGTGAATCCCTTTCAGGCATAAGAACAACTTTGGGCTGTTTTAAAAAACTTGCCTTGCCCTGAACCTTACTCTCCGTCTGCGCGCACATATCCATGGATTTGCCTGCCTTGCCTGCCTCTGGTCCACCAGCTCAGCTGCCTGCCCCCCCTGGCTGTGCGGCCTCGGGTAGCGACTCAACTCCCCAACCTCGGTCCTCCTCCTCTCTTCCCTGGAGCCAATCTCCTGGCAGCGCACCCACACCATACTCTCTACAAATTGCCTCTCCATCTCACCTGTCCCAGCCAATTATCAATTATTGATGAATGGGTCGCCTTACCGGGCTGAGAGACCACGAGGGGGGAGGGAGAGGAGAAGATGGAGCAGGCCTGAGGGTGAGAGGAGGAGGTGAGGAGAGCACAGTAGAGTGTTATTACCTTAACAAACTGACTACACCTCTATGGTACAGTCAGTGTGCTTGTGTGCTTCGTATTAGTGAGACAGCTATAGACACTTCCTTTTAAAAACCATAAAAAAAGAAATAATAGCCGACCTGCAGAGAGGAGACATCTATCAATACAAAATCAATACGAGGAAGTCAGATGACACCACCTGGAAGGCTGGTCCAGGCTGTATTATGACTTCAAGGCTGTTTCAGCTGCGCTACATTGACTATTCTCTCAGCGTTTTATAGAAGTCAAGTCAATTACCGACACTCTTTATACACTTGTGATACAAATTTAATGTAAAGTTAAACCAATCGTCATACCGGGAGTACTGTTAAATAATCAGTTCAGATATACGTTATACCTTCCTTCCGGGGCGACATATTCGTCTTATCAAGACGGCGTGTCCTGAGATGGTATTTTAATTTTGATTTGATTCCCGTCTTCGTGGACATTTTTTTCCTCCATTCACAGCACATTCCAAACACGAGTAAGAACAAGAGCAGCACAGTCACGGATGGTAAACTAAAACACAACTACACAATGATGCCTTGTAATGCTGATCATGTTTCGTGTCTCTTCTGTCACGGCTACGGTCTAATCTTTCAAAAATCCTTGCAGCAGTACGGCTCCGTGAACAAAGTGAGGCTCCAGAATATTCTAATCGATGACGTTTATTAGTGTTTAGTTTGTTTTTATATTTGTTTGAAGTCTTAGTGACTTGTCCTGGTAAAAACAATGAATGAAGCAGCTTCAGGTTTCAAAGTCTCCTCTCTGACGAAACAGCTGCTAGCTGAGCTGCCTCTGACATTAGCTCAACTTGCTTCCAGGAACTCGGTTTGTTTCTGGATTTGGATTCCTTCAGGGTTAAGGGTTCACAAGCTTTCTACCATGAGCCAAATTACCTGCAGAGGTCTCCTCCGCTTCAAAACAAACAGACCCAGATCCAAGATTTTGGGTCTGTTAAAAAGAAAAAAAAAACTTTTAAAATGACTCTGTTTTTAAAAAAGGGGAGTTAGGGTTGAAAAGAGCGTTCCTGGGGTGATTCCAGTGGACAGAGGTTGTCAAGGGGGCTGCAAGCTGAGCTGATGCGACTCTTTTTGAATTTTGCCAGCTATTTTTGCGAAGAGATTTCTTTAACAGGAGCATTTATACCCTTTCGGTTTAATCTCACAGAATGAAACTAATAACATTAAATTGCACAAAAACATGTTTCCTGCAGTCTGAATGTATTTGAAATACTCCTCTTTTTTTTAGCAGAACATGGAGGTGACCATTTTTAGCACCACACATTTCTTTTCTGTCATTCTGATCATTTTCTATGCTCCAGTTTTCCGCCTTCCTGCATTATTTTATTACAATGATCCTGTTTCGTGTCCTGTTTGTGTCACATCGATGATAAATGCATTTATCCAGACTCATTTACAAATAAGAGGACTTACTGTGCTTTTATACATCTACACTAAAACAGCACTGCAGGATTTGTATAGAAATATAAGTGGGTGGGGCATGATCAAGTATCCTCTATATGTGGGAAACACAGACTTTACTTCAATACACACACTCTCTCCTCCTCCTTTCCCTGCTCTCCTGTCTCCACCTGTGGCTGCATGATAGTTTGTACTGCTGTTGCACAAAGTGTCAAAGATACAGCGGTCCAAAACTTTGTTTCTCATTGATCTGAGCTGCGTACAGGGAAGAGAAACTAAGAGGAGTCTGAGGGAAGAGAGGGGGCCGCGCTGTTGAGGAGGAGAGGGAAGGTGTATTTTATCCGATGCTCAGCAGTCGTCAGAGTCTGGTTTAGTCTAGGGATGTCAATGAATATTCTAAATTCAAATATGTAGCCGAATATTTAAAAAAAAAGAAATTTGAATGTGAAAATTGATATTTGAATATTAAATAAACAGAGGGAAAAAACGGAAAATAACATTTAAAAAAAAAAAAAAAAAAAAACAGCGGCTGCTTTGCAAGCGAGTGCACTGTAGAGACGGGTCAGGGACAAGTCACAGGAGCTGCACCTGCAGTGAGACTCGACAAAACACGTCCGTGAACTTAGAAGCTCCGTTTGTAAATTCTTCGGATTTTGGGCAGACACGGTCGACAGAAAAAATGCTGAGCGAGACAGAGCTATTTGTAAGCTGTGTAAGCTGGATATTCCAATGTTCAAATTTTTTTTTGGAACGAATATTCAAATGTCATTTTGGAGGAATTTTGACAGCCCTTGTCTCGTCTCACTTGTCATATTTGTACGATCATGCAGAGCCTTGATCTAAATAGGAATCCAACTCATTGCGCAGCTCGAGTCTGTTTATAGTCTACGCTAGGACACCAAAACTAGCTTTCTACTAGAAACGATTTCCACAGTACAGCCTCCACTGACAAAGCAGCAAAACTTGACAGAACACCTGTTGGTGATTGGCTTACAGCGCTTTAGTTCACTGTAACGGTGCTGAACGACCTCACAGTACAAGGTCCATTTTAAAAATCAGATTTATGATTTCTCACACTAACTCAAGCAGAGATACATCAACACTTTGGTTAAATGTATCTCCATGTAGTGAAGAGGAGATCTGTGTTGTTGAAATCTGACTCACTGCACTTTTCATAATGATTTTTTTGGGCATTCATTTTTTTTTTCTTTGACAAGAAATGAGCATGAGTTGGAAAGACATTTTCAGCCAAGGCGACTAAAAATAGTCAGGTGCTCTTTCTTCCCACTGACATTTTCAAAACCAGAAGAAATATCTTTCTTTGAAAACTCTCAGAAAAACTGTCTGAGGAACTTTTGACTAAAATATCGACTAAATGAATGACTTCCTCTGACTAAATCTTGACTAAAGCAACACAAGACGGACTAAAATATGACTGAAGGCAACCGGGAATGACTCAAACTGAAATTTCTTGATAAAAATCAAGAATGCACGGCACCGCTGCTGAGAGGGCGAGGGGTTTGTTTCCATAAAGGGGCCACCATCCTACAGAGAATGGCTGTAAAAGCATCCAAAAGGCATATTACTCAGGTTAATGCCCCACTTAGGAGCCAGAACTTAAAGCTACAACACACTTCACAGAGGAATCACAACCAGTTTGACTCCATTAGCGCTGGTTTTACTCTGCGCACCAGTTCACTGGCATCATTTCTATCCATTGTTTATGGGAGCTTAGAGTTCAAAAATAGAAAAAGGTTTGAGTCATGGCAAATCCAAACGTCTGAAGGGAGGGGCCGAGGAGGTAGGATGCCAAGTCCGCCGCAGAAGCTGACCACTCAGGGGGCTGCTCGGCTCGCAGGGGAGGGGCTTACGCCGGAGTTTGAGGCCCCATTGAGGGAGTGCTCCGAATCTCTGCAAGCAAAATATTTGATCAATGACTCACAGCAGACACACATTAAGACACCAGAACTCACACGCATACACACACACGCGCTGGCCTGCCATTCTTCATTGATCCAGAACAAAACCGAATTAAAGACACCCCTTCAGCGACTCCCATGACAAGAGCCAGAGCTCAAAACTCAAGTCCATCATGAGTCGAAGACGTAGCGCATAAAAACAGACCACATGCTCGGATACGCAGAGAGAAAGGCACACAGTGCAGTGAGGCTGCAGCAACACACAGGATACAGCCCACACCCATGCGGTGCACGGCCAGACCCTGCCTGGCATGTTTTTTTACATATTCCAAATGTCTTGAAGCCCCTTACCCAACCTGCAGCCGGCACTGCTTTGCCAAAACTAAATGGGCTGTATCGGAAAAGCCCGTTCCGGTTTTACTCTGATCAACTGCCTCCATGGCTGACGGTGTGATCACATGATCAGGTCTGTTGTTCTTAAGCTCCCATGAGAAGTTGTAGCTGGTTACGAAACAGACGAAAATGAGTGGTGATGGTTTTCTATGGCCTGCAAGAGCAAACAAGACCAAGAGCCACAAGGAGGACAGTTAATATTTCATAAATTATAAGTTTTGAGGCCTCCTGTGAGGGGGGAGGTGTCAGATCAGAAGACTGACAGCATCTCTTTTTACCTTTTCCACAAAAAGATTTACAAAAACATGTCTGACATTTGGACAGGACAAGATTTACAAAGACACTAAAGGTGTCATTAAAATCTACAAAAGGATATAAACTCCCTCTCCTGGCTCATAAACCTTTTACTGGTCAGGCACTATCAAATCTTTAAGAACCTCACAGGAACATTATTCATCCTGTACGCAGACCTTTAACTTTATCATAAACAATACTCCAGACAGATTATCTCACTCCTGGCTGACTGTTGAGCCTCCTCCCACCGGTGCAGGAGTCACCTTTTTATCATCTTTCTGGGACACAAATTAAAGTTCAGCTGGGTTTCCTCTCATTCTTTTAAAATCAGCTGAAAAATATTTTCCTGCAGCTTTTGTCACACAAACTTGACAGCATGACAGCTCTCCCATCCCTCTGTTTCCTCTCTGCTGATATGCAGGGGCGTGTCCAGACTTTCTGACTGGGGTGGCACTGACATAGGCAGGGGTGGCCGGGGAATTCTGCACTCACAGATTATTAGCATTTACCCTTTCTGTCTTTACCACAACAGGGGAATTTGCATTGTCTGAGCGCGATTAGCTGCAATGAGGAACTTTTGAATTGTGTTGACATTGGCGCCCCCTGTGGACAAAAATCGTATCTGTTGTTCTGTATGTATAAAAGATGTGTTTTCAGACCAAAACCTCTCCTTCTCTCTTTAGAAAGTGGAATAAATCACTCACTGTAAGTACTTTAAGTGAAAAAAGTACAAGATGGTTGTTTTTAAGCCTCCGTCTGACACCTACTGCAGGAGTTTTGCAGAATATGAGAACCCTTTTATGCTTTACATTGATTTGAATATTTCCACTTTTATGAGCGGGTCTATATTTTAGACCTAAGAGATGTACAGCTCAGTACTTTATCACCATACAACTGATTTTACTTATATTTTTATATGCATATATGCATGTAATGTAAATACTAACCTCTTGTCTGAATTCATTTGAATGTGTTAATGAGCCAAATGTTTTTCCATGCCTTATGAAAATTCAATAAATATGAATTTAAAGGCGTCTTTCTGCTCGCCTAAACCAAAACAAGAAAAGTACCCTCTGTGTGTTTTTGTCCTTTATTTTGTTTAGGACTGTCACTCTTTTTGAAAGTCACACATGAGCTGGACTTTGTTTTCTGAGTCAAATGTAATAGTTGCACATTAACACTAAAAAATAATCACAGACTCTCTCAAAGAGGGACACACACGGTGACAAGCTGACGCTGTGTGGTCCAACAGAACAAACAATCCCCTCCTGTGAAGGATACACCCCCTGGCCTCTCTCTTTTTCACTCATGATCTAATGCATACACATCTGCACTAATTCAAAAAGGGCCATCTTTCTCACACTCATACACATGTATATATACACACTTCACACCCCCAAAGCCAACACCAAGCGTGCCACACCCAGCCAAAGTCTGGTGGTTAGCTCGGTTGCCGTAGACGACAGGATGGAAGTCTTTCTGCTGTCGGTGTGACGGCACCGCTGCTATGAAGGCTTCTGGGCTGAGATGAATCAAACTGCTTGAATCAACAAATACCATCCTTAACTTTATTAAAGACATGTTCGTTTTGTTTGGTTTAAAGGTCACGGGTTGTTTTCACACAATTTCCAAGTCATAGCGGGTGTAATTTCTGCGAGTGTGGGGCTGTTTGGTACACAAGACGAGTGTGTTTGAAGCCCACATGGCCGAACCACGACCTGTCATGTCAGTCCAGATGTGTAGCTGTGTGGTATTTTAGCGCTGCGTTATGAACAGAGCAGTGTGCGTTTAGACGATTTAAAGTACAGACTTTTAATTTGAAGGGGCTATCACAGCGTTTTGACTCCTCCCGTTTTCTGCACCTGAAACCGTTTGAAAACTGGATTTAAACAAAGACGAAAAGTCACAGGAATTAAAAAGTCGTCACTGCACTCGATGGTCTATTCACGTAAGCACAAATGTCTGTTTACAGTGTCTGCTACACCCTGACCCTGCTCAACTGTCTATCAGACACGTCCACCTTTCTCTGAGTTGTGCCACACAGGTGAGAGACTCCCCCGAGGTGTTTTGGACCAATTTTGTCATCACAATCTGTATAAGATCTGACAGGCGGGTCACAAGAGGCTCAACAATTTAAGGTTTTTTTAACCCGCAAGGTTCGGCTGCTGATGAAAAAGGAGGCACATAACAAAAATCGTCCCTCGCTGACACTCGTCTTCGCTTTTCTCTTGCATTTCAAATCATTTCAAAGTGAAAAATCTGGCCTGTAAGGATGATTAATTTAACAGCGAGCATTTGGCAAGTGGGTGGTGGTATTTTCCCAACAAAGACCAGACTGGAGATGGACAACAAGACAACAGATGTTGCCAAAGGATAGGTTAGAGTTTTAATTAATCAAATTCAAATAAATTCGTATCATAATCTACACACCCTCTTGTAAGACAGGGTTCGATTGTGGACAGGGTGTCCCAAAGTGACCAATTTCCTTGTTGTTTAAGAGGAGTTCAGAGTTCAGAAGGTGAGAAGTCTATGAGAGCGACCAGACAGTCTTTAAATGCCCTTAGTTTAAAAATACGCCAGTAAATTTATCGCCTGTTTTCATTATAATGACATCTGCCAAGTACAGATTGTGACGAATATGTGAGGAATATAGACGTTATGTAAAATAAAAAGAACTGAAATACCCTGAAGTCTGAAAATGTGTCTGTCACTCTGTGCTCCTTTCCTCTCTGAATTCAGACTCAGTCGCTGTGCCCTGAAGGCAACGTTTCCAGTTGACCACTGTGGAGGTGACCCAGTCGTGTTCGGCTTTGGCCTTTTTAAGCATTGCACTTATTCTTACCTGTGACTTCTGCCACTCTCTCTCCCCCTCTTTCTTTCACCACTAACAATCCACAACTTGGCGCCTGTATTTTCATCCTCTTTGCGCTCTTTTTTTCTTTTTTATCTCTCAGTCCCCTCTTTCTTTCTTTCTTTCTACAGTTCCCACCCGGGCTGTTAAAAATCTTTGTCCTAGCGCCTTTTTTCCCCCCTCCACAACATTAGCAGGTCACACCATACTGCCTCAGAAAAAGCCCATTCAGAAGTCGATCAGCTGTTCCAGACGCTGCAGAATCAGCTCAGGAGAGAAAGCACCACATGCACGAACACGCCGCACGCCCACGCTTTGACAGAAACGGCACATATGCATAGACACAAACACAGACACAGGTGTCGTCATATTGATACGCTCCACAGATCGAAAGCTGTCTGCAACCCGGCCTATCAGAGGAGGAGGGGCTGCAGTCTGGACTGCTTCTTTCATCTCAGCGACAGGATAAAAAAAAACTGAATCCAATTTTGTATCATCCCCCTGTGTGCAAACAAGTCCTACAACCAAGGAAAATAAACAGGTTTGAGGAGATCTACTTTGATTGGATGTGAAGCACTACAACTCAGCAGAGCGTTTGCCACAAAGACCCGTACCGAGTCGTGGTCGTCGGACATGTTTTTTTTAATGTTGGTTGGGTTGTGGTCGGTCACTCACTTGCATGTTTGTCTGCCAGGGCGATGAGTGTGCTGGAGATGTCCCTGCGCCGGTAAAAACACACCACTTTGGCCTCCACGTTCCCATTGGCTGTCTGCAAACCAGAGACAATCGGCGTTACCACGGCAACAAGTGGTGCCACACACAGAGCACCGACACACACACACACACAGATGAAAAAACCCCATAGATGATAGTTCTTAACTAGGGCTGAAAACACAGTGTGAGACTACAGCAATTCTCCAAAATCACAATAAGTGCTGCAGCTCTCACACTGCTTCGCCTTGCTGCCGTTTCTCATGCAGCGCTTCTTCTTTCTTCCCTGGAAAACCACCCCGGTTTGTTAATAACAATAATAATAATGTTCCTTTTAAATTAAGAGCTGCATGACAGCATTACATCCTTTACTTCCCCGGCACGCGCACAAAAAAATCACCTGAGGTCGTAAAAGCAACGAGGCTCATTTAGAAATTGATTAGCAGACTCTTTTTTTTTTCCACACATAAAGAAAATGAAATAATAGAGTGTAAACTGCAATATTGATAAAGCACGATCCTCTAAGTGTTACACATCATTGACAATCTCATTCACATCTTATTATAGGCCCAGGGTATTGGATTAGAAACTCTCTCATGAATCCTTCTGGTGAGATGTTAAGTGAGGGATGCAGAATCAGAGAAAAAAAACACTTCAGCATTAAGTATTTATTTTCTTTGCAGAGAAATCGTCAAACTTTTTCATTTTCACAGTCAAGAAAAACTTCAAAATCAAATCTTCAAGTTCACTACAACATCATTTCCAAATTTATGATGTTTTTAATCAGAAATTAAAGCAACTTTTCTCGACAAAGAAAGAGAATTTTTCATCAAACAGATCTCGCCTTTCTGCTAAATGATGAAGACGTGCTCAGGCAGTTTTCTTTGTGCAAGTGTAAATATAGCTGTAGTTAATCCAAAGGCAGAAAATGAAGTTATATTACTAAAGGGCTTTACTGTGAGACCTTGTTTTTCCACTTATGTTTGTGAATGATGTCTGAAGTTCTTTTAAGACTGGATAGAAACCACCTGTAGCAATATGGTGGAAAGGCTTTGTTGTCTGATAAGTGATAAATCTGACTGTCAGTGCGTTTACATGCTCATGTTAGTCAGGCTACAGAAGGGCCGGGCGATATGGCCTCAAATCAATATCATAATCTATTGAGCAGTTCACCTCGATAACGATAAATGGACGATAAGTACTTCACAAGCTGCACTATCCTTCCTACATTAACTTTGTCTACTTCAGCCACTACAACTTTTGAGCCGTCCTCCATCTCCTCACCCGTCCTTCCCTCTTTGTATGGACTGGATGGGGTGGAGTCACATCTCTGACATAGCACAGCGTCTTAAAGGGACACAAGACCATAGCCTACCTACACACATCCAAAACAAACTTTTATTCTTTTATTTTTTGATACCGGATATATTGACGTCGGCTGTTGTTATAACTTTCGGTAGCTGTAAATTTTTGGTTTATCGTCCAGCCCTAGCCTACACTCTGACTTGATCAGGCGGTTTCAATAGACAACTGTCTGTGTCCCAGTTTGCAAGTATTGGGCAAAAAGCGAATAACGCAATAATAATAAGAACACGAAGCGTGTCCACCTCTGCTACAATAGATTGTGTCATGTTCCCTTTCAGCCTCTTACTATTGTGTCATCCTACGGTTGATCTATCACGTATCAAATCAATCAACAAAAAAATGTTGTCTAGAGGCTAACGGGATGTCACTTTTACAGCTCTGTGCCGCTTCTAATTGAACAACATTTCTAAGGTCGTGTTCACACCAAAAGGTCCAAACAAAGGCCAAACTCAAACGGTCCAAAAATTGTCACGTAGCAGCGAAAACCTTTTGGTGATTGCTTATACATTTTAGGCAGGTAGACGACAAATCCCTTGCAATTTTTACTTTACATCATGGAGCATCGTCTGCTCATTTTTATGTTGGTGCTGATCTGGACTGCATATTAGCAGACTTTAACGGACTGTGCATATGAAGGGCTGGGAAGACTGCGGCAATTAAATTATGTATTGATACGCACACGTCGCAGGAGACGCTATGCAATCAGGTAGACATATCACAGATGATGACAGGCAATAATCTGTAACTCCACGTTTGTCCCCTGCCAAACATTAGCCAAAACTTTGATAACTTTGCCTCTGACCAAAACAGGATATGACGTGTATAACAGCACGCTTCCTGTGATTGGTGCGGATGGGGTTCACACCAGAAGTAAACCGCTCTACAGTTCACTTGATAGCGGTCCGAGACCACCCCTACCAGGTGGAGCCGAGAGCGGTTGACTGGTCCACACCAACCAAAACAAACCGCACCAAGGAGGTGAACGCTCCAGTTTACTATTGTTTACTATTTGGCTTCTAGCAACACATTAATAATTTTCTGGAGCATTTGCAAAACACTAAGGCCAGAGCATCCAGCTTTGATGACTTTTTGCGAGTTAAAACTTCTTAAGTGTTCAATTTAGTTCACCTTTTTTACATTAATATTGTTATAATTATTCTCAAGTTTCAGCGTCTACTTTTTTCACTCATATGATAAAAAAATATATCCTCATTTTCTTACATTTGCGGCTGTAAGAAAGAGATTTGAAGGTCACTCTCTATCTCTCAGCCAAGCTCTTAATTTCCTGTGTTTTTCTGCTGTTTTGAGTGCCTCTGGATCGCTCCTCCGCTGTTTATCTCAAACTGTAAGAAGGAGAAGCCCCACAGATTCCCCCGAGGAGCAGAGAGAGACTGACAGTGACAGGCAGAACAGAGGGCTCACTCTGCGCTCTGTGTCAATCACTTTAAACAGCCTCCATATTATCCAGAGCCGGTCTGGGACAGGGGACAGACAGCGGGCACCTGTAACCAGTCCACAGAGACAGGCCTCTTTTCCTGCTGCTCTTACTGAACAATGTGAGAGATGGCAGGCTGAGACTTAATCCACATCATTGAGAGCAAGAGTACCACCAAACCTGTGAGACCTCAATGTCTGTCTTTACTCCCCCTCTAGACCAATAAATGCATACAGTATGAGCTTTTACCTCAAATACATCCTCTACCTTTGTTATAGTAATGGCATGCTGTCGATTATACATGATGATGATTAAATGTAGATCTGTAAGCATGAAAAGTTGAGGTAATAAACAATCATGACAAAACGTTTATCCGGCAACAACTCATTTTTTTCCATAATAGACTGAAAATTAAGTCATCAGAAAAAGTTAAGCAGGTAAGTCCAACTGTGTTTTTAAGACCAACAGTTTAAAAAAATTATCAAAATAAACTCTAATCTAACTTTCACGAGAAAGTAATCGTTTCAAATTTTCTTCATGTTTTATAAACAAACGATTTGATCACTAATCTATCTTCAAGATTCCAGGATTGCATTTTTGGATAAATTGAATTGAACTTGAAAGCTGCTGTAAGGAACTTTCTATCTGTGTTGATTTTGGCGCCCCCTGTGGACAAAGCAGTACCTCATTCTCTGCTGGTTTTGTCCTTTGCTTGTGTAAGTGGTGATTTCTAATAAATAAACTCATTTTGCTCTGATTTAACAGCAGAATTAGATAGAAACTTTGCCATGAAAAACTAAAACTGAGATTTCTCCAGGGCATCCGTCTTGCCCTTGCCCTTGTTGCTGAAGGTCTGGTAGGGCTGGGCGATATGGCCTCAAATCATTATCACGATATATTAAGCAGTTCACCTCAATAACGATAAATGGACGATAACTACTCCACAAGCTGCTCACCCCCTTCCACATTAACTTGGTGTACTTCAGCCGCTCCAACTTTTGAACCATCCTCCATCTTTTTTACAGACTGAATGGGGTGGAGTCACGTCTCTGACAACGTCTTAAAGGGACATGAGACCATAGCCTACCTACACACATCCAAAAACAACTTTTATTTATTTTTTTGACACTGAGTACACTGACATGGGCAAAATGATGTCTGTTGTTGTCGTAAATTTTGGTATCGGTAAATTTTCGGTTTATCGCCTAGCCCTAGCCTACGGTCCAACTTGATCAGGTGGTTTCGACGGACAACTATCTGTGTCCCAGTTTGCAAGTATTAGTAGTAAATAGTAGTAATAGTAGTAAATTTTTGGTTTATCCCTCAGCCCTAAGGTCTGGTTTGCTTTTGCGCATCATAAAGAGATGGCCCTATTGATTTTAGTATGTTTAATACCTGGTCAAAAACTCCTTATAGTAGCTTTAACCTAAAACTTTCACAAAGTCTAAATTTGCCTTCTTACAAACAAGAAAAAGTAGTCCTCTTTTCAGTAACTTGAGAAAAAATTGACTGCGAGAATCCTAATATCAAGGTGCAACTGCTGCTTATGATAAAGTGAAAATGAAAGTTTTTTGAGTGGAGGGGTTGTACCTATGCTCCTCTGTTAGGTAAGAGAGGAAGGGTGCTCTTTATTCAACATATAGGATGAAATAGGGGCGACACAACAATCGATCTGTCTTGATTACATTATTTTTATGATTGAAAGGGGCTGTAATCATAATTCAAATCTGATTCATCGCCCAGCTTTATTGCGTTCATATGGGAGGTTGTAAAATCCGATATGAAGTACTAGTATAGGACTCAATAATAGCAGACACTCAATATTCAAAATAAGTTGGATCAGGAGCCAAAAATGCTGCCTGTGCTGCATTCAAGTGAAACCCATTCAAGCTCAGACACACACTCACCTTGTTCAGCTCTTCTATCCTCCTGATCAGCAGTGGGTTACTGGACGAGTTCTCAAAATAAACATAATCTGCATGAGAGAAAAAAAGCAAAGAGGAGGAAGAGAAAGAGAGAAACATGTCAGTTGGTGGTGATTTGTAAAGTCCTCCAAACGTTTAGGGTGACTTCCAGTTGGACGACACAATGACAGCTTTATTCGTCGACCGCAAAGTTACACACACACAGGAGATGGAGCTGTATTTGGGAGGTCTGACGGAGTGAGACATGGATGCACCAATATACACACACACAGGCCCTCCAAACCTCGGGTTGAGGCTGCAGCCTTGTATTTCCACATGCTTTCTTTGTCTCTCCATCCCCTTTCATGTGTGTTGTTTGCATGCACTGTACATCTGTGTGGGTGTGTATGAGAGGCTTTACCACGCATGTGTGACCTTACTATGTAGTCAAGTGTATGTGTTGTGTATGTGAGGCTCCTGGCTCTGCTCCAGGCCCATTGGAGGTTTAGCTCTCACCAGGATGTCCCCGCAGGCCCTAGTCTTGGTAGGGTGCCTGGTCTTAGCCCTGCATGTGTCTTGGCTGAGTGCTGTCAGATTATACCCCACACTTGGACGGCTGCCTGGAGCTGGAGCTATCCTCCCATCACCCTGAACCTTCCGCCTCCCATCTCTCCCCTCCCCCCACACACACACACACTCACCCCCGGGGTCTCCGGTCTTCTTGACCGAATAGGCCAGAGATCGGCTGAAATTCCACCAGCAAAACCGCAATGCACACTCATTCCCTGCTCCTGCTGCGTCCAACACTAACTGGTTTAGGCATGCACTCATCATTCTCACACACACACACTGACATCCAGATCTATCTTTTTACTGCTTTGACTGCCAGACTTCAAGGCAAAATCCACCTGCAAACTCTGTTCAAACCAGACTTTTACTGGCACAGACAGCTGACGAATACGGACGTTTCACTACGCCTCAACATGTTTCCAAAACAACGTGATATTGAACGCAGCATGAGCCGTGAATACTGAGGCGTTTTCTATGAGATCTGTTTTCTCTAAGACGGAAATTTATTGAATAACATTATTTTGAAGGAAGAGGGAGGCTGGTTGGAGTTATTTTTCATATTCCAATAATTCTGACTTGAATCTCTGAATTTTAAGTAGAGATGCACCGATCCATTTTTTCCGATCCAATCCGATACCGATGCCTGGGCTGAGCATATCAGCCGATATACGATACTGATCCAATACTACTGTTGAATGAATGAACTGTATACCTTGCCCTGTGAGTGAAGGCATCAGGCTTGACATTAGCCTTGTTAAAAAAAGGTAACAAATCAACACAGATGTGAATTTACTTAAAGGTGGTGTAGGCAGGATTCCGTTAAAGAAGCATCTTTTTTGTGGTGTATAAACATAAAAGCTTTAATATCAGTCAATAGCTATTAGTTATTGATGACATTTGGGAATATAACAATATCGCTGTGTTCTGTTTTTTTCTGTGTAGTCATCATTTTAAATTTTTTGAGCGACCCAGTCTTTCTGACTGTAAACAAAGCCGTTCTCCACCTCCCCCAACCTGATTGGTTATGAGGCGGACGCTGCTCCTTCTTGTTGTGAGGCACGCTGCACATCCTCCAATAACGTGCACGAGCCCAAAGTTAGCGTGCTACAATATCCGACAGTAGAAACCAACCAGAAAGTACGGAAAACACAAACAATAAGCCTCTGGCAGAATTACGGGCGCTTAAAACGGAGGTAGACCGGACAAGAGCTAAAAAGCAGAGTCAACAATGATGGGGGACGCTTTGGGATCTTCTGGACCCTGTAATCTTTCTGCTGGACAGGAAAACCGCTTTAACAAAGTAAGACAAGTGTCTGTAACAGAAGTGTTTCTTGTCAAACGGGACCTGCTGTGTGTTGCAGTGCCGCTAAACTGTTGACCTCGGGTCCTGGACTATGTCACTTTATCCTACTTGTAGAAGTCCTGCAAACATTGTATTTGCTGGTAGTCTGTTAGCATCTATCACCAATGCTTTTGACTTTCACGTTGACTGGGCCCCATTTGTAATTATCTGAAGTATTTATCTGCATCATATCTGAATTTAATTGGAATGATACGAGCGAGCAGGAGAGTCTGTTTGTGGGCGGGGCTTGCTGGAGCAGAGAGGGAGGGGAGAGGAGAAGCTAACGGGAAAACTGGTTGGAAGGGGTAGAGTTTACATTCAAGATTTCTCCTAAAAACTGGCACTTCCTCAGATCCTGCCTATCCCACCTTTAAGATGGAAATTTATTGAATAATGTTGTTTTGAACGAAGAGAGAGGCTGGTATAAGTTATTTTTCATATTTCAATCACTCTGACTTGAATCTCTGAATTTTAAGATTATTTCTTTCTGCATGTGGAACAGCTGAGAGCTCTCAGGACGGAGCATTCCCCCTAACTATGACTTATTTTGTGGACAGAATTAATTGTCTTTAATGAAAGTGGTCCTGATTGAAAAGGGATTTTGCAAGATTAAGCATCCAAACCCCCGAAGAATTCTGTCCTCTTAGCTTTTCAAAGAGTAAAAGCAGCAAACGCTCACATTTGAGAGGCCTAGGGAATTATTTGTCCCGGTCATTATTTGTTTATTTCAACACAGTCTTTATTTGTTTACTTGAGATGAATCTTCTGATTTATCTCCAGCTCTCATCATGAACGGCGTGGTTTGTTACCATCAGGGGCGTCTCACTTTTCACTTTTCGATATCACAGCCCAGTCTGGTGATGACAACAAGTCAGGAGGCAAATTTTCTCCAACCCTCAACCTCTGACTCGCAGCCTTCAGCCTCCCCCGTATTTCAGAAAAACGAGCGAGTCCGATATCCTGTCTTCATTTTCTGTCTCGGCGCCGCTCGATTTCAAGTTGGCCTGTTTGATATTCAGCAGCAGGATGAGGATGTCAGTGTGGCAGCGGAGTCTAGTAACAAGCTGTTACAGGGGGAAGAGTAGACAGGCATGATGTGACGATCTCTCCCCGTCTCGCAGCGATGTTGAGTAATGAGGAGAAGCTGTTATAGAAATTACACTGCACATGCTTTCTGAACTGCTGCCGCTGCTCCGCTGAACCCAGAAGAGGAAGTGTTGGGTTGTTATATCTTTATGTTCGACACACACAAAATATTAGAGGAGTATCTGAAAAAAAAAAAATCCTCATGCTACTTACTGCCAGCTTTTGGTTCAAGCACACACAGATAACTCACATTAACCCGTTCTTTTAGGAAAGGTTTAAGAGGCGTTTCCTTCAAATGAGAGCAGTTTAGTCGAGTTCAGGTCGATGTCTGATTGACACTGAGAACTAGATAAACAAAAAAGTGACATTTAATCGTCACTGTAAAAGTCAATAATACAAAAATCCACAGTAATTCGAGAAGTTTGACACGAGAAAAATGATGGGGAAATTTATCAGCTTTGAGTTTTTATGTCCAAAAGTCAGAAGCCTGGACTCGATATAGGAGCAAAAATATTCAGGTAACTAACTGAGATTCCATCAGTAAGACCATAAAGATAAACTGATTATTTTAGCATGTTTTTAAGGAAGCTGAAATAATCAAGTTCAGGTCCAGGAACTGAGAATTTGGAGGAAAAACTCTGAATTCTGACCCTCAACTTAAAATAAAGAGAAAAAAAGTCAGAGTTCAGAGTTTTTCCTCAGAATTCCTCACATTCAGTAGAAATTCGAGGCAAAATGACAAAATTCTGTGAAAGAAGGTGCAAATTCTGAATGTCAAGTCAGAACCCTGACCTCTTGATTCTCAACTCTGAGCTTACATCACATCTTAACATCAATTTCAACTCCTCTGAGTTGATTTCTGACTTCAATCTTAGTAAATTGTGAGTTTTTAAGATGTAGTTCTGAGGGGAAAAGTCTTGATACTGACTTTAAAAACACAAACTCTTAAAGCAAAGTTTGAATTCTGACCATAAGCTTGGGATCTAAAAAGAAAAAGGAAAAAAATGGAGAAATAACACAGAGTTGTCAGAGAAAAATTGGGGATTAGAAACAGAATCCTGAGATTCAAGTCAGGATTCTGATTCTAATCTCCATTCAACTAACTTTTTTCTTCTTATTTTAAGTTTTGAAGGTCAGAATTCAGAGTTTTCCCTCCAAATTCTGAGTTCCTGGACCTGAACTTGATTATTTCAGCCTCCTTAAAAATATGCTAAAATAATCTGTTTATCCTCGTGGTCTTACTGATAGAATCTCAGTTAATTACCTGAATATTTTTGCTCCTATATCGGGTCCAGACTTCTGGCTTTTGGACATAAAAACTTAAAGCTGATAAATTTCATTTCTCATCATTCTTCTCATGTCAAACTTCTGAAGTTACTGTGGATTTAAAAAAAAAAAAAAAAAATCAACTTTAAAAATTTCAAAAGTGTTTTTAAAGGGAGGCAAAAACCTACACATGTATGCTGCAGCATCTGCTTTGGACATCTATGAGTGAAAAAAACAAGTCTGAATAAAGATTGAATATATCAGACTGATTGAAGAGAAAACACAGCAAAGGTCAATATAACTAATCCTAATCAAAAAGTTGTGCTGTTCCCGTAAACAGGGATGGGTCTCATAACAAACCGCAGAAAGAACTGTTGACGTTAAATGAGGCCCACTACCGCAGAGCCAAAATGCGTCATGACCACTTCAAACTGAAGCTGGGGCACACGGCGGACATTGAGTTTGGTGTGGAGTTCGTCATGAAAGTGGAACAGTGAAAGTGTTTTTTTTTGTTTTTTTTTTGGGAGTTAGTGACAGCACATTTCTCCCATTACATCCAGAGTGGCGATGAAGGTGGGATTCTTGGCACCGCTAGCCGTCTTCCTTTTTCCTGGCTCTGGGAACCAAAGTTACCGAAAATAGCATCACTTTAAGTGTCCACCCTGAGCTGAAGGCGGCAAATACGGAGAGAAAACTGGTGAAGTGACGGTCTAGAGTGAGTTGTCTGAGAGTTGGAGTTTCCATCATGTGAGGAGCTGAGGCCTGGTGGAGAGCGAGCTGGAGAGGAACTCAAAATGAGAGCAATAGAGAGAGAGCGAGAGAGAGAGAGAGAGAAGGGGCCTGTAGGCACTGAGCAGCGTCACTCAGTCTCTCCATTTCCCATCAGCCCTCCCGCCAACCTCGATCCGTGTATAACCTCCCCCAACTCTCCATCCCCCACTCCCAGCGTCAGCCAATCGGCAGGCTCGGGCGCCTGTGATGTCACAGTGCAGTCGAATTTTGTGCGAGCCAATCAAGGCATGTTACCGAGCCCCAAAAGAGAGAGTCTGCTGGGCTGATTCAAACCAGGCCAGAAAGAGAGAGAGAGAGAGAGAGACACAGAGAGACGCAATGATGAGAGAGAGAGGGGAAACATGAGAGAACTGATGGAGAGCGAGTGACACGGACAGAAAGACAGGACATCAGGTTTACACAGTCCAGGTTAAACGGACACATGAGTTAGTTTTGGGCAGAGAGTGTTGGGAGAAGTAAAAGAAAGGATGTATTATTGACACAGAGGAGGAAGACGAAATAGAAAACAAACTATACAAACAAAAACAGATCAAGCAATTGAAAGTACTGAACTAAAGTACAAGTTATCGCCAAGAAAATTGAGTTTATGTCTAGAAAGCCTCGATTTACAGTAAAACTGAGACCTATCAGACTCATCCGGGATTTCCACCACATCCGGAACGGCTGTGATTTTTGTCGTACGCCAATTCCTACCGGATCCGTTTGTGAGGCGAATTTCGTGGTGGACGACGAACAGCAGGAATCACAAGAGCTCACAAGAACCCACGGATTCACATGCAATCGAGCGATAACAAGTTGTCTCTAGCCACCATATAAGCAGTAGATTGTGTCCTTCCAGAGACTCCTTCTAGACTTCTAAAATCAGCATCTCCTCATCCATGGTGTCATCGGGATGAAATGTTGTCTATAAACCTTTCACTTGTTCGTCCCTGCCCGTTTGCATGGTGTGAAATACGATCCATCTGAAACACAAGTGTTTTATTTTGAAAAGAAGCCGGATGTTTTATTTTGTGTCTGTGTCCGACTTCGTTTCCAGCACGGGTTAACCTGTGCTGGATTTATCCGGCACGCTCCGACGTCCAGAAAAAATACAACTTTTGCAATCAGCTGCGGGGTCTGGCAGTGGAACAGAAAGAAGCCGGTGGATCAGCTACGATTGGCGGATGCCGCCTTTTTTCATCCGTTCTGAATGCGGTGGAAACTGGGAGTCAGATGAACAGGCGCCACTCTGAGGCATGAACTAAGAAATGGATGGCAAATTTGTAGTGGGCTGATTCCTTTACCTTTGATGGAAACACAAGGTGGCCTGTCAGGTTGCTAATGGACTGGACGATGCAACACATGGAAAAGGAACTGATTGGAAGTTGTCTATCACTAACTGCCAGCTACACCAGTGTAGCGGACAGAGAACAGACCATCATTACCGATAGTATACAATATAAAGAGGCGATACCTGGTGGGTTGCATGTAGAAACAGTCCACTGTCACTGTTTACATTCTAACCTAGATTCAGTGAGGACCAACCTTCTGCCTGTCTCTCTTTGCCAAGTCACAGCGGGACATGTATGATTCATACTGCTCAAACAGGAACATTCTATACCTAAATGACTCTTCATGGGTAAGACAGCTCAAAAGACTGGGAAAAACAGGATCGAGAAGGTTAGGATGACACAAAACAAGGATTTCTGAACTATTTAAACGACTTGAATGCAGTTTGAACGTGGTATAAAGGACATAATAAAAAGAAGGTGACCATTAAAATCATTAAAAATCAATCAGTTTTTAAGGGATGTTGGATGGACTTCTTTTTTCAGGCTTTTAAAAAAAGATAAGAAACTGAAAGTATGTGCGAAGGAAGCACCAGTCTTTGTTTCAACTGTAACATTTTGCAATCTGTGAGGACAGGTTGTGAGTAGGCTTTGTTTGGCCACAAAGAAAGCAAATGAGGTTTTTGTGGCGCTCGAGTGTATTAAATCTTACAGACACCTCAGGAGCGGGCCTGTTACAGCATTAGCCCCTCTATCTGCCAACATTCGGTGATCACCTGCCCTGGCGCTGACTCTATATAAGCTGTATTCCCCGCCCTTGCTGCCACCCTATACACAGCGTGCCAGGAGCAAAGCCTAATGGGAGCGCACCCAGTTCTAGCTGGCATTCGCGCAAACTGGGAGCATCACCAACTCTCACAGCACTAGATAAATTTACAGCCTGAATGTTTTACACAAAAGTGCCAGTGAAGTAGCCTGTGGAGTTGTGTTACTAACAGAAAACTTACTGGCAGGCTTTTTTTAAACTGAAATAAATTTAACAACTTAAAGCTCCAGAGAGAAACTTTCCGTTTGTGTGAACTTTAGCGCCCATTGTGGACAAAGCAGTCCTTGCTTATCGGATATCATCTTCTATTGTGAATCTTTAGTGGATATTGTGAAAAACAGCTGTTTCTTCAACTCTGTCACCTACCCCCTCGCACAAGTTTTAGGCATTAAAAATGACCACATAAAAATCTTCAATCATGTGACTAATGGTCTTGTTTGCTTTTGGATATCAAAAAACATGATCGGTATGAATTTCAGTCGATTTCTTTGATGTAAAAAAATCCTCACAGGAGCTTTAATTTTGACAGATATCTGTCCTTTAGTGGCTGGTGCTGATGATATAGGTGATTGCCAATACATAATGTTAGTATCACACAGTTATTGTTTTGGGTTTGATAAATAAAATAATTAAAAATAAACAAAATCCATTTTTCTCCTCTTGCAAGAGAAACTTTGCATTCTTCAAAAAGGAAAAATGTGTCTTAATATTGGCCAAACAAGATTGTAAGTATGGCATATTAGATATTGACAAATATAACATATCCTAAGGAATTTTTTAAATTTTAAAGCTACAGTGAGGAGTTTTTTCAGGTTTATAAAATACACTGAAATTCATGTTGATCTTTTTTATAATGAGACCATGAGTAATGTTATTTTATCATATTTTTCAACGCCTTACATGGGTGCAACATGGTAGGGGTCAGCCAAGCAGCTGAAGAAACAGCCTTTTTATGTTTTCTACTTTAAATATGTCCACAATAATTGATGCGTCTGACTGTCAAAAGTCAGCGGGATGACATTTTTTAGTCAGAAGACATGACTTCAGGGCGTGAAGGACAAGGTGAGGGAAGGCTGCTTTGTCCACAGGGGGTGTCAATAATGACACAAACCAAAAGTTCCCTACAGGAGCGTTAACCCGCCTTGTATTCTGCTGTAATAATAGTGAATTTGCATAAAGTAACATTAAACAACAGCAACTAAATCGACATAAGATGTGAAAATACGCACAACATTAAGGCAACAACGCCAACTTTACCTGCTTGACAGTTTTCTATTTGCACCCACACAACTCAAAGCACTGAGTCTTCATAGGCAGCAGTGGAAAGTCGGAGTCATGTGGTCTACACAGTATGCTGCGCACTATATACAGTATATTACAGTATGAAAAGGGCCGGGCTAGAGCTAAGAAGAGAGATGGAGAAGCAGGAAACATGAACATCCGCCCACTCTCGTCCATGCGCACATACCCCCACACCCCATCCAGTGCTTACTCACACACTCACTCACACCGAGAGGTGTGTCTGTCGTCGCCCGCAGCAGCCGTGGAAGAGATTATGGTTCAGGCTGTCAAAGTATGGATGGAGGTTTCTATGGTAATGGCAGGTAATTTCATCAATCTCACACCTCATTTTCACACTTTGTTATCACTCACTTTCACTCCGAACAGTGTGATCAACCTAGGCACAGCTGCACACAGCGGTTCAGGTTTGAACCTGAAAAAGTACCGATCCATCCGTGGATCTGAACTCCAGTTATCTGTAAAAGAAGGTGGACTTTTGCTAAGAGGGGCTAAATAAACGTTTTTCAGCTTGAACCACCGAAAAGTCAAGAACATGGTCATGTATTTTCATGAAGGTCAAAGTCAATCAAAATTCATATTAAGGCCTGACATTTTTTAAAAAGACTGGCTGTGACCGAATTCAAAAATCTACAAGTATTTTTGCTGCCTACTCAACACACAAGTCTGATCAACACTTCACACCAAAATTCAGTATTTTGGGATGGATTTTGTTGGACAGAATTGAATGTGAGCCTAAAGGAACGCAAAGCAATAATAATCTATCTACATACAATACGTCCAACCGTTTTTTCAAACAGCATAATAGCCACAGTTCAGCTCACGCTTTGGGAATGACTGGTCTAAGCAAAGAGGAATTTTGATCCCATTAAAACTCTCACCGTCTTTACTACCACCCCGCATCTGTTTTGCACTTGTGTCGCAGCGACCGCCGCAGCTTGTTCTTATTCTGATGTGATTTATCTGTGAACGTGTGCCGATTATACACAAAACTTCCCTTTTAAAATAACTACTTAAGTGCAAGTCAGACGACCAGATCCTGAATCAGCCGAGGTGCAACAACGTAGGAGAAGCATCTGTTTAAGTTGATGAGTTAATCAGGGATGTGATAGGTCAAAAATACAGAATTACGGATAGATTCAGAGTAATCATCACATCCCTGATTCATGCTGCTCCTCAGGCCTCCTGCAAATGTGATGGGAACACTCCAAGTGAGGGATGTAATTGCTGTCATGTATCTGTCCAACTCACTGTCCTGAATTTGGCAGGAGGTCTGCAATCCAGCCTAAGAACTTCTTTCCGTGAGCGTACCCACCAGGCGCCTGCCACTGAGACCACTTCCAGCGTGGGAAATTAGCACCAGCCACCAGCCAAACAAAGTGTGGGCACTGTCAAAGTTTGTAAATTAGTAAACACTACAACACCTTTGAGCAGACTCTGAGTCATAACTGGCAGCGCGGAGAAAATCCTCACCAGGAAGACGCCAAAAGAAATGTGGGCATCGACAACAAAGTTTGTCACCTTTTAAGTTTGCAAACACTGCAACACATTTAGCACATTCAGTACAAGAGCTGTCACACTGCAACAGACTGAGTGTTAAGTTCTATTTAAAGGAGAGCGTCACTCATTTACAAGTCTGGCTTTCAATGAACCAGGTGCCGGTGGAGGAGCAGAAACAGGTCAGCTTAGGTGTGTACCTGGGTGAAACACCTCAGTGAAACAGGAACTTTATAACAGGAAAATCTTCAATCATGGTGAATAACCTTTTTTTTCTCCCTAACGAGAGACACACTTGGACTGATTCAATACTCATGCTGAAGTTCCTGGATTGTATTTCAAGTCTCACCTGTCCCTCCAGATAATTGGCTGCATCTATTCAGGATAAATTTAAAACAACAGATCAGTGCTGGTCTACATGAGAAATTTCAATTCAGTTTTAGTCACTTCTTTTATTCTGAAAACTGTGGTTGATTTTAGTCATATTTTAGTCTCTGTGTTGTTTCATTCAACAGGACCTCAGCTTTCATTTAAGTCAGTGTTCGTTTCGGTCTTTTTAAGTCTCATTTTAGTCATAAATTTCTCATACAGTTTTATAATAATCATGAGAGAAGACATCATATCGTACTCTGTTTCATCATCTAGGCTGAACATTTTTTGATCATCCTTGTGATAAAAAAAAAGTCTAAAATTGTTTTAAAAAGTGCACAAATTCACCTCTCACTACATAAAGCTGACTTATATGTTTGCTGAGTGACTCGGTGTGAGTTTTCAGAGAATTTGTCGAATTTAAGAAGCGGTCGCAAGACGTACTGGGCGGTAGCTCGGCTGTATTAAATCTCCTGTGAGGGACTTTTTGTCTGTGTTGATTTTGGTGCCCCCTGTGGACAAATGTAGCCAAAGTGGTAACCCTAACGTTGTCTGATTTTGCCCTATCCTCGTGTTAAGTGTTGTTAATTTACAGAAAATCTCCTATTGTGATCACTGTTCATTTCAGATCAAAAACTTTAAATTCAACAATTAGTCGTAGCGGGTGAAGCCACTCCGAGAACAGCACCCTCTGGTGACGGGCTGCAGTATAGGTCATAAATCCCGCCTCCTCCAGCAATCCCTATGGGACTGTGAACAAACTTTAGAAATTTACTACACAGAATATACATTTTTCTCTCCCCTGCTTGCGATGTTGACATTTAGTTACAGTAAGACTGGTTTGTGCTCAAGTCCTCTTTTTTCTGTACGGCTCCATTTTTTAAAGTTATTAGGGATTCATATTTTCTATGACTGGGCGCCTTTGGGCGTACGAAGATTGCGTAGCTCACCCGGGGGATACGCTGTTTGAGCCAAGCGTCATCACCGCGACTCTCTGCGACTCTCCAACTGAATGCGCACAATGCTACTGCGTAAGTGGTGGAGTGCGTACAACACTACTGCACGATGTTGGTTTCAGGAAGTGGATAGAAAAGGGGGAATCGGCTTCAAATCCGAATACTGGCGAAAAGGAGGAACCAAGTTGTCCATAGTTTATACAGTCTATGGTAGCGTCACACGCGTTTGGCCTTCAGGTGTTCTGCGGAGTTCTGCTGCCTTGCCAATAAATGCAACCATGGCGGAAATTGAAAGCTATGTCCTGATTCCACAGAGAACAGCAAGTTAAAGAGACAACATGCCAGTGACTTGTCATACATTATTGTTAATAACCCGAGTGTCCTCTTGTGTCTTTTCCCAGACTTTACAAAACAGAAATCTCCTGGGCAACAATCACTAAATTACAATCACATTAAAACAAACTCTCTGTGCATGCTACTCCATAAGTGACTAATTCTTTTTAAAAGGTCAAAATGAATGAAGAAATTATTTGAGCACATAAAACCCCCTACAATATTTAAGCAGGTACGTCTTTTTTTATTTTACTTATCGTAAAAAAAAGTGTGGATCTGCGCTTTAATGCATTCAAATAAAGACCTCAACAGAAACAGCTCTTTTGTGAGGGTTTCTATCAGAGTGCTGAGGCTGTAGGCAGTCCTGATGACTCCAGTTTGGATGTTCAGAACATCTGTAGCCTGTGCACAAAGTCTCTGGTCTAGCCTCTCTTTCCTTCCCACTCTTTAGATGATAAGCTGTATAACACAGCCTATACTTAGTCACCGGCTCTTCCCTGTGTATTGAGGGAAAGCACGAGGAAGGACCATTGCAGGAACAGGAAGAGTGGCGTGTGGCCCGCATGGCAAAAACAAAGACATCAGAGGCAGAGGAGGCGGCTTTTGTCCACGGTTCATTCACAGCAAGGGAAGTCATCACTTCTCTGAGATCCTCCAGCATTGTCTTGCAAAGTAACGGCCATCTTTGGCAGATATCAAGCAGGAACGGTCTCATGAAGCTTCTGCCATTTACAAACAATGCATCATTTCTTTTGCATAAATAGTGCTTGTTTGTTTGGTATCTCAAAACAATACAGAGTGAGTGTTTACTTGGTGGTTTAATATTTGAGCTCTGAGATTTCAGATTAGTTTAGATTACGACACAATAACACCAACCTGTAATGCTGCAATTTCTTCTGCTAAAATGGAACTGTGAGGGGTGAGGACTTATACACAAGGTCACAATGACGAAACAAAACACTAAAAATAACCATCATACGCACATGGATTTAAACAACTAGTTAACATTTAGAGATATATCACCAGAGACACTTAGAAAAAGAGCCTATAACTTTAAGTTGCCTTCTAGATGATGGTAGTGATCATCTAACTTGTGATTTTAAGTGGTGACTGTGAGAGCAATCTTACTAATGTATAAAATCAGCATAACAGCATATGGGACTGACAGTTTTCAAGTCAAAGAAATGAGCTCTGACTTTCGCTGAGGTTCAATTGTCTTTACTTTATACCGGGATACTGAACATTTTCTGGAACAACCTGTTGTCTGATTATTTGTTGTTGACTTTGCACTACAGTATCAGGATAATACCAATATTGGCAGACGGTGGCTTGAAACGTTATATATCGGTTTGGCAGATGTGAACATTTCTGAGTTACCTGTCAATGTTAATATCAATATTGAAATCAGGTTTATAATCTCCAGAAACACACACCTATTCTTGATAGACACCTTAATTTACAATTTGGAAACCTAAAACCAGAAGTCGTACGATATCGTATCATCTTAAAAAGCCGATATCCCCATTATATTTTCTAAGATCATTAAATATCTATCTCAAACAGGTTACTCGCTAAGAGAAACATGAATATTTGATTTAAATGTGCATGATATAATTCATTTGTACATAACTTTTCAGAAATTTGATCGCGATAATTACCTTAATTATTTCTTTGTTAGGTCATTTAAAATGGCTTTAAAATCTTCTATCAGCATCGGTATCAGCTATTGATTCACTGTAATCTGACAACCACTGTTTGAACCATCAGCAAAGAGTAATGTGATAGCAGAGAAATCAATATTACATATTTAAGGTATGACTCTTGGTAAAATACTGTGATATATGGAGTTAAAACTTGAGGGACGAATCCACAAGAGTGCAACAAATCACAGCTTTCTATCCACATCAGTCACAACAGCTGCTGTACTTTTTAAGGTTTACCAAAAACACAACAGCTTGGACACAGATCGATAAATGTTTTCGATTCAAGTGCGAAATGATGACTAAATTCAGATTCATGTCACCTTTTAAACTGCAGAGTGTCACAGCATTAGGACACAAACACACCCTAGTCGACAGACAGGCAGAGAAATTGTGGGCTTCCCTTTCTTTTACTATTAAGCCGGCAAAATTGCTTTCAAGCATAACTGGTGAGTATGAGAAAACAAAAAAAAAACAAAAAAAAGAGTCAAATTCAGATAAATTTGGGTGATCAAGTGTTAACTTTCCGCTGTGCTCTGCACATAATCCTGCTCTCACTCAGGTAGGCCTTCTTTCATTTAACCAAATAAGAGGGCTATGACGTTCTCAACAGGCTATTTTTAATGCTTAGGAGAGTCCAAGCATGACTGTTTCACTGGGAAATCATCGGCGATCGTGTGTGAATTTATAATTGAAGTGTTGCTCGCTCAGTTAAATATTGTATGCAATTTGGCTGCATAATCACATCAAGGAAAACATGAGACAGTTACTAGAAGCATAAATTGAAATATGAGCTTGGAAGTCAATAAGGATCCTTAGAGGAGTTACACCTGCTTTCTATACTCTATCTGTCATTGCTTATGTTAATGTGGCCGCCTGAGTGTTTTTTACTATCAAATTTAAAAGAAAAATTAGTTTAATCCCAATAAAATGCCAATAATATGCAATTTAATGTTTCTTAAGTGATTTTTGTGTTACAATATTTGCCTATTTTGACTCAAAACCTACAGGACAAGATTCACATCAGGAAAGAGTTCAAGAAGGAAACAGAAACCTAGATCTACTGAAAGAAGATGAGGTTGGCTAACTGGTGGAAATGCCTGTACAAATTAAGAAATTAATCCAAAATGAGGTTATAAAACTACATGGTCAACCAAAAAGACAATTTGTAATTCCAGCTCCTGAAACTTAGAGGTAACTTTCCGTATCCAGACACCTTTCTCTGCACTTTCTCTGTTTAAGTATCTGTCTGCTGCCTCCCTTCAAGTCTGTTAAGGCTTTCACACAGGTAGATGGTTTAGTGATAACCTTAGTTGTCATTATAAAAGAGTAGCAGTGCAATAGTTAAATAGCACGCACAACTTCTAGTCTAAGTTCGCCGTTGTACCTTAAATCTATGGAAACACAATGCATGTTACTTTACGTGCATTGGGATATTGAAGTTAGTTGTTTTGAGGATCACCGCAAGTTGCAACCAACACAAAAGAAACGAGGGAAATCAAGCAGCGGTTTCAATAAGCGAACCACTACTCTTCATCACCATCCTCCTCTTCACACAGTCACCATCATCATCATCTGTGAAGCACAGGGCTCTTAGCTTTAGGGAAATAATAGAAGAGAAGGAAAGACGGACCACGCTCTGTAAATTCAAAAAGAAGACTAGTGGCGAATCGTAGCGAGTCCGCCATAAAAAAACAGACCACAGCCAAGGTTTTACAATGTTAGCCCCCCACCCAGCCTTACCTCCAACCCGGTACATGTTTGCTGCCATGACTGCCCCCGGTCCCTGGCTTCCTCTCCAGGTAGAGGGGTGGCTCTCTTCTCTCTCGCGCTGCTGCCGGAGCTGTGTTAGCGCTGCTGCCGCTGTGTGTTGGAAAATGGTGGATTGATCAATACGAAACAGACTAGCTGAGGGACCTTAAAGAGACAGTACACTTTGTTGCCAGACCCGAAGTTTGGCGGTAGAATCGTGGAGGCATAGGGTGTTAAATTACAGATTTTCGGCTCTGGTTGGAGTTTTCATTATTAACATTAGCTGCTAGTTTTAGTTAAATAAAGCGACATCAACCACAGGCCTAGCTTTAGCCTCGGAGTGACGTCACTCACCCTCCAAAACCCAATGGTTATCTCATTTACTTTAGTTACCCTTAAATTTACCCATTTTAAACACATAAAAAACACAAATACACACACAACTCTGAGCATTTTGAGCTCTCCTTTCAACAAAAAGACTATAAACTGCTTATTTTCTTCACTTAAACATCATTCTAAATCAGAGTTTTTCGAATAGGGGAGAGTGGGGTAAGATGAGACATTTTTCATTTTTCAGATCACTACATCAAGGCATTTATAGTTTTGTCTCTAACTAGTGTATCTGCATATATTTCAGGATGTTGTGCATCCCTGCAGACCAACAGAATGAGTGTAAACATAACTGAAGATTCAGAACATTCACAGCTGTATTTTTTAAAAGAAAAAGTAAAACATTTCAATAATCTGAACTGAAACTCTGATCCTCTTATCAGACTTATTTACTTTCTCAGTTGAGCCACTGGTTCAACTTAACCCTAGCCAAATGGCTCAACTTAGCCCAGAACTACTATTCTGACTTTATTAGTCCTCTAATCTAAAATGGTGGACTTTTATGTTAGGATTTTGACCTCATGTTGTAGCTCATAGATACAACAATTGATGTATTATACAAATTAAAAATGATCTTTTTTTGTCTTACAAACTGATGACAGAGTAAATTCACTTTCAATTCACTTTTTTTTTGGAAATAAATATCTAACCCCTTCACCCATGTGCTTCTAACCTCCACAGACTCCATGAATTGATGCCCATCTCCTAAATATTTGGTCACATGATCAATTTCTTTTACCAATTCCAAGCAACAGGGGGTGGCTCAACTTACCCTACTCTCCCCTATCTAGCATAGTCTATCCACCTGGAAGTACCAGCCTTCACTAGTTAGTCCCATACATGTCCAACATATACATATTTAGATGGGATCCCGGTATCAGTCAAGTTCAGTACACCCAAAAATTCAAGGCAAGGATGACCTTGCCACCCCAGGTCTCTTTTTTTTTAACCACACCGCTTGGCTCGGGAGAACATTTCCGGCAATGTTGCTAACAAAGTGTCTTACTTCATGGCATTTTACTGTTGGATTTTAGTCAGTTCAGCTGTACGCTTTTTGTTCCCCTGTAATAAATATTCCTTTTGTCTGTGTTCTGATTTACTTTGTAGCATTTCTGGTTCCATACACAAGTGAAATTACTGTGTTTAGTCTTCATGAGCCTTTGTAAAATAAGTAACATTTAACAAATACTAAACTTTAATCTTCTTCTTGCCCAGGGACCACAAATATAAATTAGCATTAAATTAAATAATTAATTAAATTCGCTCTTTTGTTGAAAAACTGCTATTTTGAATGATGATTTACAGAAGAAAATCTGTTTTCAAAAACCAATGGTGGGGGGTGAGTGTCAGACAAACGACTAAAGCCATTTTTTCTTTTGACTTTTTCTTCAGAAAGACTCCAGATAAGCGTAAAAATGAATTTTAACTGGCTTACTCATAACTTATGAGGAAACAGTCGAGTAATTCATGCAGTAATTGTCCTTTCCCTTTAACTAATGTTGTGTTCCCAATTATCTCAGAACAGCGGCGTCAAATGAGGACCACAAACCTCAGAGGAGGGCCCTTCAGGTCTATCAACAAAGAGTAATAGGCTTAGTTACATTTAATTAATGCATTTAAGAATGATTACTAAATCCAGGTCGATCCGTCAAGTATATAATTACACTTAAGGCAATGTAGGGTACCTTGTCTGATTGTAAGGTGACACTCATTTGTATTACAATCTGACGTGGTCATTGGGTAATGCTATGAAATCTTACATTCATCTGCTTTTACTCATCAAAATTTCAAGAAGGATGCTCTTGTCTTCAATATATGTGGTGTGATTTAACAGCGTGGTTACTATGATGTTACTTTTAAAGCTTCTCATGATACAATAAATGTCATTCTAGTTAATACAGAGCCCATTGAATTTCCCCTCGGGGATAAATAAAGTTATTCTTATCAGACTATGATGAATCGATTGACAATTTTTCTACTTCTTTAATGCTCACATGCGCCCATACTTTCTGAGAGTAGAGCTGCAGAGTTAATAGTTGCACAACATAGTGTCTCAAAAGAGCAATAAGGGCAAAAGGAGCTTGGTGACAAATGATACAGTGCTGTTATATGCACAAGCGTCTGCAGCATCACATGAGACTTAAGACCGGAACATTGTTGCAGCTGTCCTCTTTAAATGTGTGCAAGGATGCAGAAACAAGCACAGCTCTCCCCCTTGAAATGATGACTTCATATTTCTGTTTATCATCATGCAACGATGATTACCTCCTAAAGTTCATAAGAAAGCAGCTTTTTATTAAGGTAAGAATTCTCTTTTGCTGCATATCTCTCATGAGTGAAAAGCAGGGAGAACAAACAGCGTAGTGTTTTGACTGTACTTGTTTGATTAGCTTTAGTTTCCATTGTGGATATAAGCGGGTTGCCTCTGTGCTGGAGGAATGCTGTGGTGAAGGCTACATCTGATCTATACCATATGGAAGCCTCAATTACTGTTTTCTAACACAGGGGACTACAGTCTGCAGTCACATGACAGCTTTAGGCCAATCGCGTGCACTTACTGTACGCACTCCTGCTCAAGTGTGCAGCCTCAATCTTGGAGCTCTGCTGCAATGGAGGGATCCTGTGTTGTGTCTCGGGGCTTTTAATGAAAGAGAAGAGAGACAGTTTGTTTCTGTAAGTCTGTGTACATGAACAACTTTTCTTTCATTATAGGAAATAAAGGCTTGTTTTCAACAGTGTTTAGAGTTAGACATTTAAGTTTTTAGATGAGGAAAGAGATGTTGCTCAAGGAATAAAGAGGTATTATAATCCAGAGGGTATTTTTGCAAATCATATATCTATTGCCCTATATACCTTATCCTGCTTACTGCTGAATAAGCATACTAAAGGCATTGACTGAATGATTTTACTGCCATCTTCTCACTTTCCTATTTGACTCTTTTTTGAGCAAAAAAAGAACGGTAATGTAGCATACCTGACTTTTCAGCTCTCAGTATGCTCTTCATGTAAAGTGAGTTGCAATGTCCCGCCATAAGTGCCACACCTGGGCTCAGAAGAAAAAGAACAGGATTATTGCACAAAGGTCCAAAGTCCTGTTCTCGAATGAAACTAAATTCTGCATCTTATTTGTAAATCAAGGTCCCAGAATCTGGAGGAAAATCAGTGAGGCACAGAGTCCAAGGTGCTTCAAGTCCAGCGTGAACTTTCCAAAGTCTGTGATGATTTAGGGTACTACGTCATCTGCTGGTGTAGATTTACAGTGTTTTATCAAGTCCAGGGTCAGATTTAAGAGCTCTCAATGCTTCCATCGGCAAAGAGGCTTTATGGAGATGCTGACTTCCTTTTCTGGCAGGACCCGGCACCTGCCCACAGTGCCAAAATGACCAGAAACTGGTTTGTGGAATCACTGTGCTTAACTGGCTAACCCAAAAGAGAATCTCTGAGGTATCATCAAGAGAAAGATGAGAGACACTGGACCCAAAAATACAGACGAGCTGAAGGAGCTATCGAAGAAACCTCAACTTTAATAATACTCCATAGAGATACAGACTGATTGCCTCCGCTCTTTGTCGCATTGATGCGGTAATGCGTGCCAAGAACTGAACTGAACTGAGTGCATTAATATTTCACTTTGTGTGTGTTGAATCGAGAATATGAGGAAGTTTTACTTTTTGAAGTGAATTATGGGGGAAAATGAACTTTTTCGGGACATTCAATTTGTTTGAGTTGTACCTGTATATTGGATTGATTACAGAAAAGGAGATGGTGTACCTTATATTACGGGGCTGTGACTACTTTCATTTGGAGTCACTGTTTGCTGCTGCAGATGTTCACTTTGAATCTGTTTGCTTCTCCAGATGTTGCTGCGTTCAGAGGGACAGCGAGGCAGGCGTGCAGGGAGAACATGATACAGTTGAGAGCAGTGCAGGTGTTCCCCCTGATGAATCTCAGTCTGAGGAGATGGATTTCCGCAATACACAGAGCGCCTGCATAATAACCCCTCCCTGGTTGGCTCCACGTCCCAGAGGATGACCTCTCGTGGCCTCTCTTCCTCTCCTCCACTCTTTCCCCGTCTCCTTCTCTCTTTTCATGTTAGAAAAAAGTGCACAGCAGGGACAAAGACGAAGAGGAAATCAATTAGGCTTGTTTCTTGGCAGAAGCCATTCCATATCTTTGATTGTGCTTCCTCATTTGTTTTCTCACTGGGGTTCTTTCTTGCTCTTCTTCCAGAGACGCTATGGGAGGTGTGGCAATAAAGGGACTATTGTTAGAGCAATCTCCCCTCTAGAAGAGTGTGGAGGTATTTGTCTGTATTAACAGTAGAAAAAACACATTACCCAATCGTTGTTAATGAGGAACAATACCCGTGTTAGTGTTCCCAAGCTGATGCTTCAACGTTGGAGAAAGAAACAAGAGGCGATCCATCCCGAGTTCGGGCTGATACTGCATGTAGAAGACAAAGTGAGTGTAAAAATATCATCACTAATTAATAATTGGCTCCGGCATGCACACAGGAAGTCAAAGAGACAAAACATCCTTGCTCTTGAAGTCGCACTACTGAATGCACTTCTTCCTGCAGTGGCGTAGATGACACATTAAAGTAAAACACTCATAAAAGTCTACCAAGTGCCAGAAGTGTTATATTTGATTGTTTTGCTGATCCTAAAAGTGACAGATCTGTGTTTATGACTTTGTTGGGGACTATAGCCGTGTTTTTATGGATATAAAGTCTCTGACATTAGGCAGCTCTGACTTTTAAATTAAAAATTTGCGCTTAAGGGAAGACGTCAGATAGATTTCACAGTTACATATCATAATAGAGACATCACCACTCAGAAGAAGCCTGCACAAAACATACAACTTGTATGTATATTCTTTGAACAGCAGGGGGAGCTACTGTCTTGCTTTTGTTTGAAAAGGCAGGCGCTGCAAAAAGGAAACCTGCAACAAAAGCCCTTTTCAACCGAAAATAACGATATCAGCCACTTACTACCTTTACAAAACATAAACTCATGTGCAAAGAAGGTGAAGACGCCCTGAAAATCACTTTGCATTGATGCCAAACTGCATAAAAAGGATGTGCTACGTTGCACTTACTGCATCCAATCAGCAGGGGTCCTCCCTCACACTGCCTTTTCCTTTGTCCTCAGCTGCTCCCTTGCAACGCTGAGATATACAGAGAGGGACAAAAGGCCAGTGATGCAGCCATCCTCAGCAGCGCCAATGATGCTCTGATGAGATGTCAAGGATTTTGGGAGAACGCCAGAGTGGTCTCAGGGTGACACACAGCAATGATGTCTGTAGACTCTAAGCAAAGCATAAATCAGGTTTTGTTATGTCTTCATTATTTCTTATCCTGTCTAAATGCAAAAAAGCTGCTCTAAAGAGTGAGTTTTGTATCACTCTTTCAGTCTGCGAGCATGTCTTAGCTAGAAAACACTCAGCCATACTTTAAGAGCCTCAAAAGAATCCTTGACCCTAATCCAAAAGGGATTAACAATATTGCACATGTGTGTTATTGATACTCTGACCTTCACAGCATGAAAGTACGACACTGAAAACAGAGACTGCAGACACTCGAATATGCACCAGATGAAGAGATGCTGTTTGATCCCTTCCTCTGCCCTGCAAAGGAATCTAGTCTCTAAGTGTCGACCACATCATGGGCCAAAATGCCAGAAGCCGCCAGACGTGAGCAACACATTTTTTTTGTGAAACAGCTGGTGAGTCACCGAGCATGTCTCCATCCCCAGAGATGCCAGCAGTTGGTGAGAGGATTGTGCCATGTTGGGGAAACCCACCACACTCAAACATGAAAAAGGAATCAGAGGAATGACAAATGGCACCAGAAAGTCGTGTATTGAATTTCCTTCCAGCAAGAAAGTGCATCATTTTGTAGGTTTGGACCAACCAGACGATTCATGAAGCTTTCAGAGGGATACAAAATCTTGTGAAGTTTTTTTTTGACAACATAAAAAAATCACTCTGATACCACTCTATGAAACATAGTCTGTATAAATGAGTGTAGCCTCAGTGGCATTACACATTAGTTTTTGAGGCAGCGCTTTAAAGCCATATTGGGCGTGCTTACTCAAGCTGACTTTTAGTAAACCTTGCATGACGCAAAGAGGTGGAGCCAAGCCTCTTCACTCCCAGCTGCTGCACACCTGCCTGTCCATCAAATCAGCTGTGCCTCTTGTTCGTCAGACCCAAACTGTTCAAACCAGGGAAGGTTGCTGCTTAGGACATACAAGTCATGGAAATGGAAGCACTACTCCATATAACTAACCATTTTAACCTGGGTTTACATTTTACCCTATAACTACTTTTTTAATTAGAACGATTAATACTTCAATTTGTTGGACTTAGGTCAAAAGATCTGTTTCAGTCTCAAAGAAACTTTTAAATATCGCTCGATGGCAGCATAGCAGGAATCCGGTTCTGCTAGAAGAAAGTGTTTCATTATAGGCTTGATCAGATATTTTCTTGAATTAAAATTTTAAAGTTATTTTATCTGTCAATGAAATAATCTAGCCTAGGGCACCATATCTAGGTGAAAAGATAGAACCACAGCTTAAAAGGCCCCTAGGTAAAATGGGATTCAGAAGGCCAGTTTTTATGGGACCCATAATCCCTGGAAGTGCTCTGGATTTCAATATCTGAGCATATCTTAAAGAGCATCTGTTTCGAGTTATAAAAAATACTCTTAAATAACCCACTGAGCATTTTTGCGTCTTAAAGAGGTCTAATAGACTAAAACCAGGCTACCACAGGTCTAAAAATGAAAGTTTTTTGGACGTCTAAATTTAGACCAAGTTTAGACTAAATCTAAATCTGGGCTATATCTATACTACACTGTATATTGCTCAACAGCTATCATAATTATTTTGGTTAAGTAACTTGGATGTCAGTTATGCAACTCACGGTTGCTTTTTGAAATAAACAGTTATCGAATAATGGGTTAAAGTGCAACATCTAATTCTGTCTCATTCATGTAACTAAAAAGAATAACGTCAAACATGAAGGTCCTGTTAGTTATACTGTTCATTAGGGGTTGTAGGGCACTGGAGCCAATCCCAGCTGTCAGTGGGCGAGGGTCATGGTACACCATGGAGTTGTGAACCAATCATAAGGCTGACACATCGAGACCAGTGGGCCGTATAAGCATTCTGAAGTCAGAAGACATAAAAAGGTGTTTGTCAATCTTGTCAGTCCTGAACAGAAAAGGTGAAAAATTGACAGATAAAGGCCCCTTTCGACATCCTAAATAGGATAGGCTGTTCATGAATCCTTTTTATATTGTAGCACCACCCATGCTCAGGGATTCTAATTATACACTACAAGAGCTGACCTCAGCTCTCACAGCATCAAGTGGAAAAAAACGGTTTAATGTACGTATGTGGGTTTGAGTTGGACCAAATCTACGTAAGGTTGCTACATGTAAAATGTTTCTGTCTGTGAGTAAGAAACAGACAGGCTTTGTTAAACGTTGAGGTAGAGGATATTTTCCAGTGTTTTTTATTATGAAATTCGGGCTGGTGAGCCAAGTAGGCGAGAACTGGTCACAGTGACTGATTGTTTGTGGACACTCCTAGCTGGGGAGCGCCTGTCAGTTTGTGGGCTTGTGAAAGTGGGCAGGAATTCCAGCAACCATCATTTTAAGAGAGTGTAGCAAATGAAATCACACAAATTAGTTGTCGTTACGAAAGCGCAGAATCATGTTGTTTAAACCTACAAGTATAGATTCCCTGGGGATCATGAAAATGATCGCCATCTGGGACTTTAGTAATTCCGACATCTGACATTTCCTAACTCCATGACTGACAGGCTCAATCTGTCCATGCCACTGAATAACTCCTCTGGTTAATTGCTGTTTGATAGATGACGCTAGCACAGCACACTGAATGCTCGCTGATACATGAGCTGAGTAGGATGGAGTCCTGAGGATGTATTGATCAAGTGGCAGGTCAGTAACATGCTGACACACATACAGGACAAGTTTGGATTTGAGTGTGGCCAGATTCTACAAACTATTTCAACATTGTGATTGATCATTGTGGTTTTTAGTGTTTTCCTGCCTTTTAGGTGCCTAAAAATGACCTCTTTTGGAACATCCCTCGTATTTTTAGCCTGGATTTAGCCACTAATATCATGCAACCCCATGTGAATATGATATCTTTTAACTATTCTCTTAAATGTTAATGCTCTAATAAGCTCTTAAATTTATTTAAGGACATTCCGGTTATCTTTATTTGAAGCCTTTGCCTCCTTTTAGAGATTTCATTATAGATGATGAGGATCTCTGTGAGTGAGTGAGAGGATTACAGGACATTTAGATAGAGATCAAAACCTCCAAAAAAACTCCTGCCAGCTGTTTCTACCACACCCTCCCTCCACAGGGGCCCTCATCGGTATCCAGCTCTGGTACCACGCCTCTATTACAGCCGTTGGAGGCACACAGCAAATGTTCTCCCCAAAAATAACATCTCAATGTTGTAAGTAAACACCAAGAAAGTGAAATGACAGATATACTGAATCTTTCCAGCTAAAAATAGTCTTAGACGAGGGAGCAGGGGAAGTGCAACCAAAAGTGACCAGTAATGACGTCTGCCAAGTAAAACAATTCGCCCACAGCACTAAAAATGGCACAGAGTGGAATCTAAACCCCTGAGAGAGTCCTAGTAGGAGTAAATTCTTCCAAATCAACTTTCTACAGGGAAAGCAAACACAGGAGCACTCTCCCTGTCTGCACTAAGAAATACAGTCATGGAGCCACAAACCAGCTTGTTCTGACTGTAGCAGACACTCAAGACCGGGGTCAAAATTCCCAGAGAGTTCGAGAACTTTGAGAGATTTGCTTTGAGTTTTTAACTGTAAAAGCTTCTGTGAGAGGTTTCTAGTTTTGTTTAAGTGCCTGATAATGTGACTTTTGAACAAAGCTGCAACCAACAATAGCAAGAAATAGATGGGCACCTGTTGGCAACATGCGTGGCAAATCAGCAGATTAAAATCTTGCATAATCCTACGGCGAGTATGCTCGATGCATCTGCAAGAAACAGAGCTGTTGTTTCCGAGCGACAGTATGTGTCGCCATGAAGATTTGTCTGGTGTCCAGGCTCAGAACGGACAAGTACACAAATTGAATTTTAAGATTTTCACTTTATCAGCTTCTATTTTGCTCACATGGTCTGATTTCCATCACAAAGAACTGTTATCTACATTAAATTTGTGAGATAGTCTCACATTTGTTTCATTTTTTTGTCTTAAAAGTACAGTCACATGCCCCTGATGGACACTGAAAGCATTGTCCACCCCCATCAGAGTTATTTTTGGGACAAGACATCAAGAAATCCCTCCTAAAATCAATTTCGGTCTAAGTTAGGAATTTGTCCCCACAGTTCTCCTTCTGTTTATGATTGTTTACAAAAGTTCAACTGCATAAACACGCAGCTCCAGCGGTCTGAGTCAGATAGATCCAACAGATAAGTCGCAAAGTGGCAGATACTCCAGCGTGAAATTCCCTCTCCTTGTTTCTGTCCCTGTACAAAGGCTCAGGAAAGAAAAGCCACTTAAGGCGACACAAAGGGAACATTTCATCCTTGGTTTTAATTCAGACGACTGAAGCATCATTTCATCTTTGGCTTAAATCAATTTTTTTTTCTCCCACACACAATAAGGACAGTAATTGAAGCTGAAAACCGCCATGGCTTCTTTTGATTTCAGTTATAGACACAAGGTTCAATGCTGACCTAGGGACTGCAGGTTACACATTCATAGTTTAGGAGGTCAAGGGTCAGTAAGCAGAGGACTATTAGTGTTGATACTTCTTACCTTGAGAAGTAAAAGCCTAATTCCTGAGGCTCATAATCACCTTTTTCCCCTAATCTCTATCAACAGCTTCTGCTTATGTATTCATAATCTGTAGGTGGGGAACAGGGAAGGAAGGCGAGGAAGATTGTAAACGCTCTGGTCTTGGTTTGTAGTACAAACAGTGTTGCCTAATAGTGTTTGAGTGGGCTTTAGCTCTGTGTAGGAAAACTGTTGTTGAGAGGAAAATACACAGAACCCATCTGCCTTCATAAAATATCAACAACAATTTTACTCTTATTAAGATTTTTTTCTTTTGGAGGCATCCACATACGAGTGAAGCCAAAGTCACTGGCTTTCCCTTGAATAAAACAAATCCTCTTATTTTTAACAGCCTCCAGTGTAGCTGTTGGCGATTCATGACTTCCAGACAGAATTTCTCCTTCTGTTTGTCGCCTCTGTTTATGGTCTGAATGGCAACTTGAGAAGCCAAAATGGAGTTTGGAAACAACAAGTAAGAACAGATTGCTAGATCCAGCCACGGCTTCTTTTGATTACAGATGTCTGCTCAGCATCATGAGTTGCAGTTGAGTTATATGAACGCCAAGGCTTCTAGGATTGTAGTATGGCAGGCCATGTCCGCGGTTTAAGCTCTGCAGTGTCCCCAGTGACGCTAACTTATGTTTAAAGGTTCTGGCAGACTGACTCAGAAACTTCCATCGTCCATCTTTTTTTCTAGATAGATTCAATTTTCTACATCTACCAGAGTGCTGCTGAATGAGGGAACATGGACAACTTATGACAAAGATATTGTCTGAATATCAGATGTCTACCATAGACTATATGTAGAATGAGAGCCGTCTGCCCCCTCGCTGGGTGAAGCCACTGCGAGAACAGCACCCTCTGGTGATGGGTTGCAGTATAGGTCATAAATCCCTATGGAGCTGTGGACAAACTTAAGAAATTTATTCCACAGAATCTAAATTTTTCTTCCCCCCGCTTGTGTTGTTGACATGAAGTTACTGTCAGACTCTTTGCGACTCTCCTGCCGAATGCGTACAACGCTCCTGCGCAATGTTGGTTACAGGAAGTGGAGAAAAATCGCAGAAATACCGAGAGCTTTTCGGCTTCAAATCCATATACTGGCAGAAGGCGGAACCAAGTTGTCCATAGTATAAACAGTCTATGTCAGTCGGCAATTCATTTTTACATAGGGCCACATGAGAAACCTGAACTGTGTTGGAGGGCCGAACCAAAAATAACTTAAGCTTAAAATCTTTTATAATAAGCGGACTTGGCAGCTCTAAGGCGTTTACGAATATTTTGCTGATGTTTAAACTTGTCTCTATTCACGAATGCAGATCTAGGATCTACGCACGTGCGTCCAAACAAAAATAAAACAATGGCTAGGGTTTCAAAATAAAAGCAACACAATTGTGTAGCATGTTCAAAATTTCATTGAGGGACCTCACGAAGGGCCGGGCAGGGACGTCCAAAGGGCCTGATGTGTCCCTCGGGCCGTAAAATGCCCAGGTCTGGTCTATGGTGTCTACACACATGTTTCCAAAGGCACATGTGTATGTTCCAACTTGAAAACTTACTGCTAGCTGCTGTTTAGGATAACTTGCTTCACGTAAATTGGTGCTCTTCTCTCCTCTTCATTGTTTGGTAACAATATCAAGGTGGCATCCAAAAGGGACACAGGGTTCTTTTCATTTCAGACAATTATTTTAAGACCCTGAAAAAGCCAAAGCCAGCCGAATTATCACCTCAGTCTTATCTATATGATAGAGTTTCCTTCTATTAATTAAAATCTCTCTTGAGCCTGTCTGCCATACATCATATAGCTTATTATCTGCCTGGCATGTTTAATCTAATGCCTGTCTCCCAGCAGAGCTAAACATAGGCTACTGTTTCTAAAATAATCGCCACTCTAGACTGTGTGCTGTGGGAACGTTTCAATAATTAATTCAGCCTCTTTTTTCCCCCTCTTACTCAAAGACATGCACATGCTCACCAGACACGTCACGTGTCGTCTATGAAAACAGTGTGTTCTTACTTTTTCAGAAATACCGCGCAGCTGTCTGAGGTTTTTCTTAAATGACGTGCTTGTCCACTCTAAATAGAGGCCTCAGAGCCCGTCAATCGGACCCAAATCATCCGGTTTGCCTCTCGTATACATTCATGCGTGCTTCCTGAAAGAAGAAGCTGTGGTCTCTGGGCTGGGCTCAGGCCGGTCGTTCTGCGGGGCTCCTCAGAGGAAAGAAAAAAAGATGAGTCACGTGGCTCGTTTGGATTATGCGTGCATTTGCATCTGTGCGGCCTGAATGTGTGAGTTTGTGTGTGCGTTAAAAGAGGGAGCAGGATGAACAGGAAGGAAAAGGGGAGGAATTGGAGGCAGAGACGCTGGATTGTCACTGTCTGGGGGCGAAGGCAGCTCTGGCACCTGTTTGGCCTCAGGGCACGGCGGTTATATAACGTGTGTGTGTTGTTGGAGTGAATGTTGTTATGGGCAGGTGTGCGAATAAAATCCATAAACACTCTTTAGCTGCTGGCTGCCAAAGATCAGCTGGTTTTGTAGACTTTTTTAGGTTTCAATCAGCCCCTTTGAAGAAGTAAAGAAGTTCACCCTAATTTGTGTGTAGTCATAAAGCTCATCTAGACATATTTGTACAAGATTTCAGATCCACTCTTTGAGGCTTTCACTTGTGCTATCAAAGATGAACTTCCTCTAAAGTTTCAAAGAACTTCTTCACAATTGTGGACTGTTCTTTCCAGCAGTAGTTTTCAAAAGGTAATTTGTTGAACTAACTGCATACCTCAGGGTTTTTGAGGGCATCTTCTTGTGAAAATTTGAGAGGTCTTGCACTCAACTATTTCCGTTGTTGACAGCAGGCAGCATGGCGGTGAAGTGGTTAGCCTGGTTGCCTCACAGCAGGAAGGGTTCCTGGCTCGGATCCCCGGCCAAGTAAAGGCCTCGCTGCCAGATTCCACCAGATTCTTGAGTCCGTCTCTGCTCTGCCACAGCAGTCTCAGCTCCTGCAATCATAAACCCTCTGAGAAAGCTGCGCATTGGCATCTATTTCTGCTGGACACCAAAGCAAGACACATCTATCAGCCCAGGGTAGATTAAGGAGGACAGACGGTGGAATAACATTCATTTCAAAATAAAACACTGTGTTGACGCCAGATCATATTTCACACAACTTCACCAAAAAAACACCAGAGTGAGTGGAGCCAGGCTTGGAGTCACAGAGTTAAAGGATTTTCAGGGTTCATCATGGATGTAGAAAATATTTAAGACCATACACACTGAGTCCAAAATCTCATTTTTAGAGCAAAATCAAACTCTTTCACAACCTGGTTAAAAAAAAAGGTTTGGTCTGAGAAGCTAGGGGCTCCCATGGCACCCACATCTTAATTTTAATAACCAAAGATTAAGATGTGTCATATTTGTGCTCTTTCCCACCCTTGTTTTGATTTACACTAAGTGTATATGAGTAAACAACTTACATGCTTTTAAGCCCTGAGGACCACCTCAGCCTCCACCCCTTCTCTGTCTATTCCTGTCTTTCCTCTTGGGGCTGGATGCTTGATCTGCTTTTGGGAAACAGAGCAGACATCTTAGATGTTACAATTTTGCCTGGGTGAGTCTTCTCCGGGCTACCAAGGGCACAGATTCCTCCTTAAATTTCACAAATTAGTTCTGCTGACACTACAGTCTCTTCTTTAGGCTCAAGGAAATGCTTTACAGTACAAAGAGAGGGATAATATACCTCCTCTTTCATCTTTATCACATGTGTTTAGTGAGCCGAGGCTCTTCTGAGAACATTGGCTCTTCAGTTTCAATATCCTACCCCCTCTTTGTCTGGCTCTGTGGTGTATTTGACCTCCTCTCCTCCTCCCTTCCTCTCTCCTCCTCTCTTCTCAGCAGGTTTGAGTCTGATTGTGCTTCACAGCTGAACTGGCAACAAACCTGCAACCACAGCAAGCAAGCAGAGGTGAACGGATAATGAACTCATGTCCTCTGCAAAACACACACAGAGAAGGATGAAGACTCTTTGAAAACATCCTCCTGCGCACCTCCTGATCTGGATTTACACAAACAAAGTTACCCTGCATACAGTCTGAGAGGCTGCTGAGTCTTTCGTTGACCGTTTGACAGGTTTTTTAAATTCAGAGATAAGGAGGAAGCAGTGCTAATCAGCCGCGACACAGATGTGGGAAATACCAGAGTGTCTGTTCATGGACCTGGGTCTGCACAGTGTCTCAAGTCAGATCCACCAGACAGCACCAATGTGTGAAAAAGATGACCTCAGCTCAGTCACACCGACAAGGCCTGAGTGGGACGAGTCAGACACATACTACTGGAAGAACTGATAATGTGTTGTCAATGAGTCTTTTAATTAGTCACCACAAGTGAATGCAGCAACAGCTTGTGAGAAATTCAGAAGCTGTTTCTCTGCACCGCCTATCCCCCTCAGTTGGCCCTAACTTGTCACAAAGTTAACGGCCTCCTCAATGGAAAGCCGATCCGCCCCGGCCACGTTTCTTCTTCCTCCTTTTCCTAACAAATTCCTACAAGTCACTCTCCCTGAATGAGTGCATTGTGATTCAACCAAACACTGCTCCTACTCCTGTTGCGGAAAAAGAGGGAGAAGGGGAAGTGGGACTGCCCCAACATTTGTACCAAAGGCTTTCCCGCCTTGCATAGCTATGACAGACCACAGGCTGGCCAATGAGGATGGATATGCTGCTTTCAAGTGCTGCATGTAAAACCTACAGCCTGAAATAGGCCTACAATTAAGAAGATTCCTATGGCTACCGTGCGCTGAGTGAAAGCAAGATTGTAGGTTATGTAAACTAGTAGTATACAGGGAGCTAAAACAATGAGTTTTACAAAAATTAAGTGAGTCACTCAGAAATTTTAAGTAAAAGAAAGATTCATAGGGACATCCAAATCTTGCATACCTTATAAAATGTCGCCTACAAGGCAAACAACAGGTCAAATAAAGGTAACCAGTGCCAGGTAGGCCTGCGATGTGTTGTAAAGGACTGCTGCATTTGAGTGAAATGGTCCGAGGTTCAAATCCAATGCGTGGATAGAGGAAGGTTGAGGCAGAGGAAACAGAAAAAGAGAGGTAAAAATTTTCAACAGGGGAGCTTGTATTTCTGATAGCTTTGTTATTAGTTTAACATGATTTACAGTTCACAGTTTGAGAGCTCTGATTTTAGTGACTGTCTCTTTAAGAAATTTTGAAGCTATCTGGAGCCCAGCAATCTAGAACCCTCTTCAACTTCTGCTGCCAAGCTACTTCGCTATGTTTCTCTTTTCAAAATGGCAAATTTGCTCTCATAAGGAGACCTACCAACTGGTGTTGTCATGATTTGGACAAAACTCCTCTGGACCTTGCCTTGGTCTCTTGTGTGACTTTTTTCAGGGACTCTCAGAGCAGACTGTGGTCTCAACCTGGGATTACTACAACACATGCTTACCTTAAAATATGAAAATGTCAAGATTTTGACTCACTCATTAAATATTCCAGTCCTCAAGGAAGAACATTTATGATCATTACTTTATCATTTCCTTGTCTGATAGCATTTCCATTGAGTAATAATCATAAATGTTCTTCCTTGAGCTGCGAAACTCCTCTGCACTCAGTGATCGATTTGTCAGGGCTCCCCCCACAAACAAGCGGCTGCTGGAAGAGAGTGGATGAGTTGTGTTTGGTCTCTTTGCCAAAGAAACCAGGCAGAACCAAAAAGATGTTCAATAACTAGTACTATGGCTAGGACCTTATATGTACTGCTGATGAAGTTAGGCGCTGTTCTGAGCATTATTTATGGCTAGAGAGTGGCTCTCTGTATTGCTATCTGCGATCGTCACTAAAGTTGTTATAACTAGAGAAGTAAGCGGTCTGCAACATTCATCTAACTCGTTTGTGTGTTTGACCCTAACTTGATTTTACGCTGGAATATCCCTTTAAATGCAGCTCAACAGTACACTACATGCTGTACCTTTAAAATGAACAGTCTTGGTTAGAGGGCTAACATGTCTTGTTGTTGCTAGTTCTTGTTTGGAAGTTGTTTAGGACTACCCACAACAAAAATTAAACGCTAGGTAATCATAATGACAAACAAAAGATATAACTTTACGACAAAATTAACTTACAGTCGACCCAGCGTCTCTGTTTTCAGCGAGTTTGGCACATTTACCGAAAATTTCAGTCTTGCTAACATCCAATTTTCAAATTCAGCCGTAAAGTCGCGCGATTTCCCACCGCACGTGAAGTAAGCACGCGGACGGGGGATCGTCGCGGGGGCGGGGCTATGCAAATGAGCAGCCGTTGACTGAATAGATGCTCCAGCTTCTGTGAGCTGAGCGGGACACTTGCTGTTGGAAAGGAGAGAAGAAAGTAGTGCGTAAACAAAACAGACCAGACCACTTTCACTCGAACCCACAACGCTGAAACGATGGCTTCAAAGTGCCCCAAGTGTGACAAGACGGTGTATTTCGGTAAGTTATATCCGCTCTTCTGCTCCCACATGTTTGAATTACTTTTGGGACAACATGAGGATGATCCCGCTTGTTAGCTTTAAGGTACTGATGTCAGAATATCGATCATTTTGGGACAGCTTGTTCCGCAGCTGTTGTGAAGGCTCAAGCCCGTTAAAATGAAAATTACATTAAGCGTGTGTCTGTTAGAATAAAAAGTAATAATTTTTCATTCATTCAAACTGATTTCGTGACACATACGTGCAATTTAGCTCTGTTATTGTGCTGTATTACATGTCTCAAAATTGCCAGATTTTTAAATGAGGTTCTGAATGCATTTCCACTTCTGCTTTTTTATTAATATCCTTAACATATCCCGTGATTTTAGGGGTTTTCTTGTAGCAGTAGCCTAACATTGGACACAGAGAGGTCAATATTGCTGGGGGCTTCTTGTCCAGTATCGGGGAAAAGTATAGACTCTTCATATGGTCACCACAGGAATTTCTCACATGTAAAGTTCACAGCGTTCCTGAGATTAGCCTTTTCTTTTTTAGGGGGCAGAGTTGCCGGCAATGTCAATGATTCACAGAGACAAACTTTGGGAAAACAAAAAGCTGAGAAGCATAGAAGTCCATGTAAACAACAGCCTGAAGAGCAAATATGTCAGCAAACATGTGCTGTTATGACACATGACATGCTTTGAATGCATGTAAGAAAAAAACATGCCCTTTCTCTGGGATCCCAGATGAACGATTCCTCTGATTTTGACACTGATCTGTGCCGTTTTAATTTGTTGTGTTTGGTGAACATCCAAGCGTGGCAGTTGGCTTTGGATTGAGTGAGTCCCCTCGCCAAGAGTGCAGAAATGCCATATGCTGAGATTGCCCACACGGCAACATCATGCCGCGTCAGTGAGATGAAAACCTGTTAACGTGCATCCCTTGCATCCTTGTAAACAAAGATGGGAAAGCAAAACACCTACTTGAGTCATACTCAGTCCCAGTGAGTATTATTGCGTCTTCTGCTCAGTATAACTGATGTTTACAGTGAGCCAAATGCACACAGATAAGAGCAAAGCAGAGGATTAAAGGAGCTCAAGTCCTGAAGATAAACAGAAATTAACATCACTGCTTTCAATCTAAAGATTACACATAATATACATCCATATCACTTATTTTTAGGTACTCCTCCGCTGCCTCCCCCCCTAAAGAATCCTGTGTTTATGTTCGGCTGCGTGCTGAGAACAAAAAGTGTGTTCTTTAGTGCTGATCTTTCCTACACTTCACAGCACACATCAGAGCTGTCACGGGGGTCAAAATCAATTATGTGAGTGGATGGAAGTCCTCTTATGTAACAGGAGTGGCAGCAAACCTCACAGCTGCTGCTCATCCTATGTTTTTCCCCAGAGCCACTGGCATGGAATAATACGTACACAAATGAGATTTACCCCCCTCCAACTCAGATTTTTATGCATCTCCGACTATTCAATTGTGTCGTAGCCTTAATTCGCAGCAGAGTGAGTCACTGCTACTGTGTGATTAATGCTATGTTTTTTTTTTTATAACGTGCCGAGCATCATCCTGACAGAGTTATTTTTGGTTGGGGTGTGTCTTTGTTGGGTGGTGTTGAGCGCTCAGGGCTGGGGCCACTGTAGAGATGACGTCTGGTTGAAAATGAGCTAATTTGAGTGGATTTAGCTGCAAACATCAAAACAGGAGTCGTGGAAAGAGTGAGGAGAGGTGGATGACAAAAGTGAAGATTAAGTCATTGGAGGGAGTCAATTTTAGAGTCAAGTAATAAGAGGTCAAGAGCTGCTGTGATTAACGGATTACTCATTTAGTTTATTGAAAGAATAGTTGATGACTAATTGGATAGTTGTTTGACTGGTTCTGTAGTATTTCATGCAAAAATCGTACAAATTTTAACTGCATTATTTTTTTAATTTTAAAGTCCAAACTGTCGATATTGTAGCTTGCTGTGGTTTCTTATTCTGGCTGAATTTGGCTGAAACCAGTTGATGTAAGGGTGAAAATAAAATTTGTTAAAAGCCCCAAATCAATAATACCAATACTGATACCAATACAAGTTGCTTAAAAGGTCTTTGTGGAATTTGCTGTATTGTTTTTAATTCATTATAATGATTAGGGCCTGACCGATATGGATTTTTTGGGGCAGATGCCGGTACCGATTATTAGGGGGGGAAAAAATCAGATTACCGATTATTCGTTACACGTTTCACATTTTCGGTCCGGTCTCATCTGGAGACATGCAGTTGCCTCAGTAAGAGAAGTAGCTCAATCACATAATGTGTACTGTTGTTTATTCTACCGTTACTGGCACGGCTAACAGTGTAGCAAGGCTAAAAGCAGATGGCTAACTCTAACTTTAGCTTGCATATTACATGGTGCTTCACCGTTAACTCGGCGTGACCAAGACCAGCACAGCGGGGAACATGGTGAAGTGGGTTGAACTGAAACTTGTTGACTTATTGTGTATTTCACAAACTGGTTTATTTACCGTTGAGGCGGACCACTCTCCTCCGTGCGTCCCTGAGCTGCCTGCTTCAAATCCGTCACTCTGCTGTGCTGTGAGGTAGTTAGTGGATGAAGATTGTCATTAGGTTGCTGCGCCATCTACAGGATAAGTCGGGTGATCTCCTCAAATGGCGGAACATTTTCGAAGTGAAACTGAATCTTATTCTCTGCATTTTATTTCTGAAAATATCGGCGAAAATCAGCAAGTTTTGGCCGATTACCGATTAGTCTCAAACGGGCTAAAACTGGCTGATTTAATGGGCTCGCCGATAAATCGGTCGGGCCCTAATAATGATGAAGATTGGTTGTGTTTTAGAGGGAAGAATAATACAGTTAAAGACGAAGTGGAGGAGCTTAGATGACCATAGTTACATCTTTTGACTTTAACTGCACAAACAGTTGAGGTTGACTGAAGACGATGCTTGATGAATGCTTAGTTAAGGGTGTAAAGTTAAAGAACAGGCATATAGTGCTGCTGCCTCCATCCTGAAATATTAAGATGATGTCAGTGTGTAGCATGATCCCAACTGTTCCACCTACGCACTTTCTTCTGAGCTTCAAGTAACCCTCTGTTAAGGTGATTTTTCAGGCCTGCCAAACAGTTCAAGTCTCCGGACTGAGGGTGTGAAGTGAAAAATAGATCCTTTCCCTCTGATTTGTGCCAGGACATGTGTTATTGATAGAAAAAACTGTCTTTTCCCCATCCCATTCCGCTCCTGCTTTTGCTTCTTGTGGCGACGCTTGGCAGTGCGCTATATAGAGCCGTGATTGGCCCACCCTGCATCTGCTCCTACAGCTGGTGCCCGATATTGGATTTAGCATGGAAAAGCTTTGAAACACTTGACTCTGCTCCTGTATAGCCCTGCAAAGATTGACTGTAAGCCACAGTCTGGAAGTGAAATTCTTTTGGTTTTGCGGAAAAGTAATTTCTTTATTATTTTCCGTAAGTTTCTTTTAATGGACAGATGTTTTGCAGTGATGATGGTTTAATTTCACCACCGATGTTAACTCTAAGGCTGCTGTTCTCTCTGCTCATGACGTTTTTACAACCTTAAGGAGGAAGCTGTTTCTTGTTGCTGGTGTAAAAAGACTGTGAGCATTTTTTAATTGTAGGGTAAGCTGAACTCGAATACCCAAAGTGCGCATTATGGCCTCGCATCTGTTAGTTCCTGTGGTACAGAGGTGCTTGGAATACGCAGGGGACGATTGGCTGACATGTGAGCAAACCTCAGTGGAAATATAACGTTAACGTGTGCATGCAGAACGCAGCACGGCTCAGCACGGCTCAGCAAACCTCCCAGCTCCAGACCCACATTCAGCCGAGCGAACCGGCCACAGCTCCTGCGTAGCACGCCAAATTGCAGCGATGCATCTTTGTGCAGTAAAGTGAATAAGCGACAACTTAATGGAAACTAATGGTGCTCTGCTGTGAGTTTCTCTTTCTTCCATTCAGCACTCTCTCTCTCTCGCTCTCCTGCCTCAGGCCCCACTCCTTCTGATTTTTGTGTTTTTTAAACCACAAGGACCAGGGGAAGCAGGGTGAGATGGCTCTCCTTTTATTCCGGCAGAGACTCCCAAAGTGCCTCATGCATTATAATGAGAAACGACATCTCTATCCGCACAAAAGCTCTTTCTATCGGTCGTGTACGTTTGTCCTTCCAGACACAGAATAGCCCCCGTCCTCTTGGGCGACAATGTGTTTCCCACACACCTCTCCTTCACCCCCAAACATCCTCGACACAAAACCCGTATTTTCTTTGCCCCTCTCCTCTGTCAACGCTAGAGTACCCTGTTTTCCACTCGGTTGCCCAGTGGGCTGTGTGAATGTGCCTCGTCAGTTATGTAACATCATTTCTTGAGTCGTTGCCTCCTGCTCGCTGCCATTGCATAACCTGCCAGCTACTGTGCACCGGTCAATAAGGGTCCTCTTTCTCTGCCTTTTTTTTCGAGGCACAAATATGATCCCTTAATGGAGATGGCATTGAGGTTGGTGCTGAAAGGAAGGCCGTCCCCTTTTTCCCAGAACACAGGTGAAACTGGTCTACCTTGGACAGAGCAACCTGTTACATAACAGACAGAGGCAGAAAGGAACAAAACTATGATTCATGATATTTCACTCACATAATTGATGTAATTTTGCAACACTCAGTCTCATCTCCATTTAACATGTACTCATGTTTTTCAGTAAAGCTTTCCTGGACAAATATGCATCATAAAACTAATTCAGAAAAAGAAAACATAAGCTTGAACAAGTCCAGAGGGGTTTTTGTTTGAATAAATGGATGATGAATTCTGAATCCCATGAACAAAAGATTGTCAGGAAACAATGTTCGCATGTACAGGATATGATGCAGAGAAGAAAAGACCATGACATGCACGCATTTCATGTGATACAGCGATAACATCAGTTTAGTATTACCATTCAAGTCTTATGGCATAATGTGTCTTGGATATTCTCCGAAAGGATACACATGTTTTCCTTCTTCTGTTTCTTGCAAGAGAAGTCACTCCAGGTTAGCTTGTTCCTTAAAGTGCAGGTATCAAATTAAGGTGTTATTCAAGGACCTGTAGTGATTCGAAGCTCCAGCTTCACACGGCTCTGGACCTGAATTGATTTGGGATCAAATTCTCCTAAATTTATCATAGCAATAACAATTAAATCTGTTTCTTATTTAAAGTTCAAAACATCTGCTACCATCCCCACACTTTACTAGTCTCTAGTCTTTACTTAAAATTGTTGGATTCAGGAAAGAATTTGGGAAAACATCAGTGACAGAGTAAAATATCCGGTTAAGGAGAGGCCTGGGATGTGGGTGTTTATATACACCACCATTTATATTCACCGATCTTATTCTATGACTCCCGGGGAAACATGTAAGAGCCTGGGCGATCTCACCCAGTCCCGAGCGCTTTTCCTCCGATGGTGGCGGCGGATCGGATCTGGTGGGTGCTGTATGCTTGCGGATCTGATCCGCCTGCCGGTCTGGAGCGGAGCAGAGCCATTCCAGATCCTGTGGGTTTAGCCAGTCACGACCTACCCTGGACCGGCAGCTTGAGTGGTTCTAGACCCTCAGATTAGTTGATTAGTTATTTTAATGACTAGGAAGCAGCTGCCTTTGAACATACCATGCTTTGAATTAGGGCTGGTCGATAAACCGAAAATTTACAGATACTGAAATTTACGACAATAACCAATGTCATTTTGCCCATGTCGGTATATTCGGTGTCAAAAAAATAAAAGAATAAAAGTTGGTTTTGGATGTGTGTAGTCATGTCCTTTTAAGACGCTGTCCTACATCAGAGACGTGACTCCAACCCATCCAGTCCATAACAATATGGGGATGGAGGACAGTTTAAAAGTTGTTGAGGCGGCTGAAGTAGACGAAATTAATGTGGATGGAGGTGAGCAGCTTGTGGAGTAGTTATCGTCCATTTATCGTTATCCAGGTGAACTGCTCAATATGTCGTGATATTGATTTGACCCCATATCGCCCAGCCCTACTTTGAATGATGTACAATTATTAGAAATTACCATAAACATATTATAGAAGCACTTGAACAAGCAGCAACCTGTAAGATGCTTTGGAAATTTTTTAATCTCATAAATTCATGCACACAGCTCAAAGAGGCAAATGTCAGCTGTCATTTTTTTTTTTCACTTGCACAGACATGAGGTCTTCAATGTTTGTTAGGAATGAGGTTTTTCCAGAGCCTCTGCATGCTTTGTGACTTTGCGTAGACATTGAGGGGAAACAGCACACATCAAGTTTGGGTTGTCAAAGTCAACAGTTGTGTTCAGACATGCACCTCTCCCAGATGATGTCCAAGAATTTTCAGGATTGGAGTGCACATGTGAAAGGGGCTACACTGTGTTTAAGGGGGCTAACTCTGAAGATTTGACAACATTTTGAGTCTCTTTCCTGACTATGCTCTCTCATGTAGACGTGGTCAGTTTTGTAACATCACTTGACAAGACTCAGATGATTTCACTCAAAGCTGTCTATGCGTTTGCACATGTTATGTCTTGTCATATGATGTCTCCCCCTCCAGGGCTGGTTATCTAATTACCAGAGGCCACATCTGAAGGTGCTACGCAACCGATACAGTCTTAAGTTCTCTTTTGAAGACATGGTCCACTTCTTTGTAAGCGTTCATGCAGAATAGATCTTTTTGAAGTCCCTGTAGCCGGGACACAGTGTCCTGACCGGTTAGGGATGAGGTGCATTGTGGGCCAAGCAATCCCGGGGGTTCATGGAGGGCGAGCGTGTCACCAAGGCAGGAACTGTGGAGCAGCAGCAGCGCTCCGCCTGCGGCTCCTCTGACCAGCGCAGACAGGATGCGAGTTAACTACAGCCCATTTACGTCAGCTGGGCAGATTCACGAGGCCGCACTCTTTTATTCACAGAGGGGGGAAAAGGGAGAGAGAGGGGAGAGAGGAGAGCCTGGGGAGGAAACCTCGCCTTGACTGAGGCGACAGACGACCTCCAGAGTAAAGTTTTGCCTCTGGGTTGCATCAGCCGCAGAGAGAGGCAGATCCAAATCCATGTTTCCTCGTTTCTCTTCAGGCATCAGACTCCACCCTGCACAGTCACTGTGAGACTCAGCACACAGACATGACAGTGAAGAAATCAGACCTAACATTTAACGCACCACTGCCAGGGTCAACTTTCAGTTCACTCAGAACCAGCAGAGAAGGCATTGTGGAAACATTTGTCGCAAATTCAATCAGAGCTTTTCCACGAATGATCAAGTAAGATCAGTTTATACACAGGAGAGCAGAAGATGTTTCAATTCTTGCTTCATAGTGAAGAATACACCAACAAGACAACAGATAATTTTATGATCTAAAGTGATGAAATTATTCAAAAATTTTAATTATTTAATTGGAGGTTTTAGTTATGCAAGAATTGGCTGCCTTTGTACTATACACATGACACTAATGACAAAGTGTTTTGGTGTTTATATAACTGACCCTCAGACAGACGTTGTAAATGTGAAGAGGAAACATTCTTGGGAAAAGAAGCCAGCAGCCATCCAGGGTCTGCGGTGTTTTATAAATGCAAACTAAGCAAAGGAATAACCCAGAGTCAAATTAAGAGTCAGAACAAATGCCGTGCACCGTTTTAGCTCAGTAACTTTGACTCAGGTCTCGTAGTTTCTCCTAGGCTTGTAAGCTAAGTTACAGCTAAACTTGTAAATAATGATTAAAGTTGCATATAGATAACTTGTATAAGATGCACTTTTGATAAGTTAGCTTGAAAAGTCGCCCGTTTGACTAATATCAGTGTAAAATACAAAAGGTGTAAGTATTTCGCACCAAAGATAGCATTCAAAGAAGCAAGCAACTACCTAGCTGCAAAACTATGCTGGATATAAAGTGAGGCAGACCAGTGTGGCGCCGCTTTTGAACACTTTTCTTCATGCATTTAAAGAAAACAGCGGTATACTGTTAGCTAAATAAATTCTGTTTAGTGCTGGATTGATTGAAAAGACAACAAAAAAAAGGGGGAGGGTGAGTCAGTGAGTCTGTACTTCGCAACTGTCGTCTTGGCTGAGTTCAAGTCCAATACTGACAGCACTGCCAAAGCCACATGGTGAAAACAGGTGGTACTATAAAGAGCTACACAGCTGCACAGAAATGACACAGTGCTGACTTTGCTCAACACTATTTCACTTGTCCTGCAGTTAAACAGCCTAAAGTCCAGAGACCCTCCAAAACAGTACACAGAGTTTATTTGACTTAAAGATATTCCCCTAATCATCAAAGTACTCTGGTGTTGTCCTGAAGAGAGTGTTTCAGAACTTTTTACTGTAACTTTTAAAAAAATCTTGTGAAAAAGTTGACTTTATTTGTTTACCAAAGCCTCCCTGTAAGTCTAAATGGTTTAACACAGCACAAGAGTTAAGCTTGTCTTTTAATGATACAAACAGGTGTTTGGCCTAGCGCTCGTTAGTGCTCGTTAGTGCTCGTTAGTGCTACTCTCTTTTCTCAAATCTTTACTACATACTCAAACACACCTGTTTCCTCCTGCTCCTCTCCCTGCTCTCTCCTCTTACCATCTAAGGCTGTGTGACAGACTGTTTCGCAGTAGCACAACATGTGGAAAACACAGCAGTCCTCTATTCATACATTTTGCAGCTTCTGCAACTTCCTTGCAAACTTTTTTTCGCTCCTAATGATGAAGTGAAAGTGAGAGCTCATGTTGTGCTGTGAAGGAAGAGAGTGAGGATGCGCTTCATTTCATCATACAGGATAAAACAAGTGCAACACAGCAGCGGTTATCATTTAATTCCAATTGTATGTTAAAGGGATATTCCGGAGTAAAATAAAGAAATGATTATAAATGTTCTTCCTTGAGCTGCGTCACCCCGCTGCAGTTTATAATGGACTAGCCTGAGGTCTCTCTACAAACAAGCGGCTGCTGGAAGAGAGTAGGTGAGTTGTGTTTGGTCTCTTTGCTAAAGAAATCAGGCAAAGCTAAAAAGATGTTTGGTAGCTAGTGCTGTGGCTAGGACCCTATATGTACTGTTAGGCACCGGTCAGGAGGTGTTTGTCTAATTCACCTCTTTTCCTTAACTTCAAACCCTGTCAAAGTCTCTTCCCACCGCGAGGTTGACCGCCCCTACGCGCCTGCTTGAATGGCCATTGTGTGTAAGTGAAGGAAAAGGTCACAAGTCCTTGAGGGTGTTTGTACTCCCGAGATCAGAATCGTAAGAGGATGCAGAGAAGGAAACACAGGCGGCTTGTTTTTTCCTCTCTTACATTCTTACATTGCTCTTGAGATTTGAGGATTTCTCATTCTTTCATCCCTAAAAGCACCTCCTGCGTTTAAGATCCTGCGTTACCTTTTTAGCGCACAGTCAGTCAGGTGTATTGGGACGTGCAGTTTTCTGGGCTGTGACAGAAAACACCCGCATGGACTCAGCTGTCACTGTTATATGAAGGGAGTGCAACATGGAGAGAGGGCAGTGTGTGATTACGTGTGTGTGTGTGTTTTGGATGGGACTGTAGTAGGAACAGATGGGTCCGCATATTACCAGAGGGTGTAACAGAGCAGAATACAGCCAACTGTGATTTAGAGATATTTACGATATCAGTGGTTACATCATGAGTGTGATGAAGTTGTTTATGCGTTTGGATTTATTACCGTCAGCGCCATGTGTGACAAACTGATTGAGAATATTACCAAGAACTGTAAATACGGGTCTTAAATTATCACTTTTCATGCTACATTTGTGTACGTTGTGCAAATTTTCCAACTTAATCTCATCCTAAAGTATATTTGGCGTCCTTCTCTATGTCCTAAACACGATTCCCCTCGTCTAACCTGGCAGCCTGATTGAGTTATTGAGTGATAAGAGAGCCCCCCAAATGAGATTTTACAGCCCGACCCATTAGTGGGACATTCCCGCTGTGTTGCATGCTGGGATTTCAGCTGTATCAATGTTATTTAACACTTGTTTATTTTCTGTGACTTTTTAGGTCTTTAATTTAAACAGAGGAGACAAATTTCCCCCCTCTGAGTTCAGTTGAATCCGCGTCCATCATAAGCTCTTCTGTTTAATCACAGTTGCCCCGTCACTGTTCATAATGAAGCTACAGTAATTAAGCGATTTAGAGAAGCGAGCTGTTGATGTTTTCCCTCCACAGACCCCTTGTTAAACTCTGTTGCTCAATCTCCCGTCCAATTACGGTGTGTTTGCGGACCATTCGTTTAAGCCCGCTCCCATGCTACTCCTCTTACAGGCCGTCTGCACACCACGGCATGATTGGTTTCATTCCTAATATGATCTGAAGTAATCAGATAAAGCTACAGAACAAACTAAATAAATTAAGTTATAGGCTGGGGAAAGTTCTCTGATGTATCTCCATCCCTTAGCAAGCAGAACTGATACTCCTAACGACTGGAAAATCACGAGTCGTTCCCTTTTTACCCTCTCCAGTCGACGTCCTGTGACTCCAATTTAAAGGGAATAAACCTGGGCGCAATTTTAAAGTTTTGTTGATAGATCACTGAAGCGGACTCTAATCAAAGATTTTGTGTTGGTCACTGAGAAATGGTTGCCTTTTACGCTAAAACCATGGATTATATATTTTCAAAAATGTTAAAAAAGGCAATTTTCCAAAACAAAAAAGGGAAAATTGAAAGAATTTTTTTTTTTTACATCAATTATGGTCCTTCAAAGTGTGCCTATGTAATCCAGCATTGTCAAAATGTCTGTTTCTTTGATACTTTTCAACACCACGTCATTTTAAACAATGTAATCTGAATTGTGTTTACAGAAGCTTTATAAAAAATTGCATTTTTTTAACCCAAAGCTGCTGAGAAATACATGGTTACATAAGTTACACAGGGATAAAGTAAGAAGAGAGTTAAACAAAGCCGTGTAAAATGCTAGGTATCAGTTTGTCAAATATTGGTCCCTGTTTGATGAAGATTTCTGACCCTGCAATGTTTGCAGTTCGGTAAAAGTAAAATAATGGTAATAAAAACAAAGATATCCAAATGTTGTCGCCCAGGAGTTTTTTTCTCTTGCTCCCTCTGACCTTTGTTATGATCATGGTCCGGTTATCTTTATTTTGTTCTTTTAATCTCATGCCTTGTTTCCTGTCTGTTTTACTGAAATCACCAACCCTCGTCTCTGTATTCTAGATGTGCTCCTGTCTGCCCTGCCCCCATCTTGTCTTGTCACACCTGCCTCCTGATTGTCTCCCCCCACCTGTTTCTCATCACCTCTTGTGTTGAACCTCATGTCTCTCTTTATGCCTCACTCTGTCTGTGTTGATTGCTTTTCTGCAGACTAAATAAACCTGATTTTAGCTTTGAGGACTTGTCTTTTGTAGCTTGCTCTTGACATCCCTCTGCTTTACTAACACACACCCTGCGAGTGCTACACTCATCTTCTTCCACCTGTGGCTGCATTGCGGTTTGTACTTCTGCAGCACAACACGTTAGAGAAATACTTCACACTTTTTGTGACCCCCTTAACTTCTTCGCTCTCCTTTTACAACAGCAGCAGCGCCACAGTAACTGCTTAGTTCTTATTATCTTGTTTTCATGATGGTGGGTGACCAAAACCATAACTAAAATTGAAATTGCTGAGCCCAGATCAAATGCCTTTTTGAAACCAGGGCCGCAGAAGTTAGGAAACTGTTCAAAGTTTCTATTAGTATACAGTACACAGATTCCACACTCCCGTGTTTAGCTCTGAATGGAGAAAGCTGCTGTTTGTGGAGGAGGTGTTGTCCTATAAGTTCATCCCAGTGGTGGCACTTGTGTTGGGATGTTGGGCGTGAAGTCTATTTTGCTGCTCATCATGAGCCTGTTTGGCAGTTTCCTGGCTCCACATCAACTTCACTACGCCTAAGTGGGTGGAGTGCCTCAGCTGAGGTTGTGTTTATGCATGTCAGGTTGGTGCAGCGAACCAGATTTACATAAAACTGTGCAAACCTTACGCGCTCTGACATCGGCGAAGCTGATTGACGTGCAGAAATAGACCTCTTCATCGTCGCAATAACACTTTGAAGCGTGTTGATACTTGCCTCCTTTGCCTTTGATTAATGTTCGGCAACATCAGTGAAAGTGAGCACTTGTAAACACTGAGGCTAAATCAACGAGAAGAGGAGTCAGCGGCGGGCTGTCTCTGTGATTTAAACCATATTGACAATGCAATCAGAGAGCGCACAAGCAGACGGAAGAGCTTAGAGCAGGAATTTACAAATGAAGTTAAGCAGCTTACACTGGTGCAGGTATCATACGGTTATGATCATGACCTCTGACCTGCCTGGTGCTCGGTGTTCCTGCAGTTACACATTCTGTCAGTCTGGAATTAAAATGAAAAAGGAGAAGGTTATTTCTTTCTTTTGTTTCTTTGGAGACACAACTGACTAAAGTTTCTGACATTGATGGGACGTGTCTCTCAAAGTCAGAGGTCCAGAATCCTTGGACTTGACACATTATCAAATTCTCTTACATAATTAATTTTCTATCATATCTTTAAGTAGGATGACCATACGTCCGGGGTATGTCCTCTTCTTGGGAGGCTGTCTGGCATTGTCCGGTCTTTTCCAGGGAAATGTATAAAATCCCTCAAATGTCCATGGTTTTGTATGGAACTTTCGAGTTTGTGTCACGTGAACTTACTGAGTAAGAAGCACACAAAAGACACTTGATCCAACCTGAAAAATTACCTGAATTAATTTAGTGTAGCCGTGTCCTCTTTTTGGGGAGTCAGGATATGGTCACCCTACCTAAAACAAAATGTGACCGTTCAGCACCAAAGTAAGCTCCGACCAATATTCAAGCCTTGACTTTACCATGCCCTCTTGACCTCAGTAAACAAATACAGTAATCATAGTGTATAAAAATGGAGGACATGCCCAGTTAGCAGACAATCACAACAACATAACATTTTGGGATCTACACCATGGATGGGAAGATGAAGATTGGGCTATGTGTTGACTTGAACAAGGCAAATTGGCAAATGTCAACATGATGAAAGGCCAATCACTCCTCCAAATTTCATCAAAATCTGTGACGTAGGTGGAGATTCTTGGTTGAATTGACATGGAATGACCCAATAGAATACTCGTTAGAATACTCGATTACTGCTGCTGCTGCTGTGTGTCGGGATGTTGGGCGCGAAGTCCAACATCCCGACACTGCTTCCAAATGTTGCTGCTTCCAAATGTAACTTTGAATGTTATGTTATGTCGTTAGAGGAAAGGCTTGGTGTCGAAGTTGAAACCAAATGCGAACACCACTACTGGGCAACGCCAACACTGACACCAAACCAAGCATGCCTCCTGTTCTTCTTCTTGGAAATTCTTTAAGTGAAACAACATCTTGGTGCTGAAACAATAGGAAGGAACAATAAACAAGACAGCAAAGAACATTAAATCAAAAAAGTACGAAAATTTCACAACTGTAGATGTTTTGACTCACCCTTCACTGGGCTTTGCCGTCTCTGAAAACAAACAGAAAAATTCATCCTAAAATGTGAATATTGTGAGAGGAGGGCTTTTCTCATGAACATGGTAAACATAATCCGATTTAAAGGTCAATAAAACAGATTTTGAAGCCTCAACTAAATTAAAGTGAGAAACTGAATGAGGATGTCCAATGAGTAAATGTCCAGCAGAGGTATCCTTGCAGATAGGGAACGAGTTATGGTCCAACATTTGCACATAAAAGGGGGTAAGCCCTGGAATTAAAATGACTAAATCCCCTCCAGAAAAAAACACATCACATAAAACATTAAAAGATTTAGGATGTAGGTCTTAAGGACAAAAAACATAAGGCCAGGAATTAAATCTGCTTCAAAACTTGTCATCTTTAGCCGTTAGTTTGGGGATTGTTTGTCACGAAAAAGGGATTTTTGAGATGTTCCCTGGTGAAGAGTCGCAGGATGTACAAACTCGGCGTGAAGCTTTTTTTTTTCAGTCTGTTACCTGTGTAGACAACTTTAATTTTCAGTTCAGCTTTATTTGTTTTGTTTTTTTAAAGCTAATTTTCCAAACGCTTTGAACAACCAGAGGCTTCGACACTGTAAACAGTTATCTGTAAGAGCAAATACAACAAAAACAGGCGTAAATGTCAGGTAACCTGTAATTTAACTCTTCAGCTGTGATTTCCCAAAGCTGGCCCTGCTGTTTACGTCCAACCACAGAGGCTTCCTTTGTTGTCTGCTTTTCAGTGAGAGGAAATTGCAGACTGTCGCGAGAGAGAACAGATTAAGTAAAAAAGGATTTGGCACATCCTCATTGATGTTGACAATGTAAAAGTGAATATCCAGAGAGACCGGAGATTGTTTGTTTACACGAGTGGGAGCGTGTCCCTTTCAGGTTCTTACCGTAATGAGGTACAGGAGGACTTGGTGGCACTTCAGCGGCATCGTTTTATGCCCACATGTCAGCTAATTTTGGAGACAGAGTGCTGTCAATTGGGACGTTGGTGCAGTCTTTACGTCATTTTGATTTTTGCGTAATTTTTTGTGAAATGTCAACTCAAGTGCATGATTTCAGACTTTATTTTGGAGCATGGGGATATATAAAGGATAATAGGGATGGAGGCTTGAAGCTGGGGATATAAACATCTGCATTAGGAGCAGATCCCCTTCCTCCACCTCCCCCTACTCTATAACTCCAACAACACATAATACAGACAGACAGGCTCACCCCACTAACAATAACAGCAGTCCTTTAAAACAGCCAGCCGTTAAACAGTTGACTTTGTTACCGCACACATAGACAGGAATGAGGACGCACCAGCGAGGCGCTGACGTCTGCTCTCATTCAAACCTGTCTGGAGGTGTGTTAGTCACTCACTGTCACGCCGCATTGAGGACACACTCGTTGTGTTTTTAACACTCTGGAGGTGTCAGGAAGTTTACGGGTGTCCTTAGATTTAGGGGGAAATAAATCACGCTCACTTATGCTCGAGAGGAGACAGCTTAAGCCCCCGCTGGTTCCCTTTTAAAATCTCTTTAAATATTTCTGAAGGTGTGAAGAGGTTTGCCGTCTCAAAAAGAGACTAAATCTACAGAAAGAGGCGTAAGTTTTCCTGCTTTGTTAAAGGTTGTATCTGGTTTACGACTATTTTAGGTTAGCTGTCACTTAGCTATCATCCAACGACTCTGGGAGCCACATCAAATACTATAACCCTTTTGATATAGACAGTAGTCAATGGATAATAGACGATTACATCCATGCTTTGTCTTAGATCTCTTAGGATTCCACTGAATCCATCACCCCATCCACCCTCTCCACCCTCTCAACCTGCCTCTCCGAAATAAAGACCTGGATGACTAACAACTACCTTCTACTGAACTGTGACAAATCCGACATGATAATCATTGGCCCCAAATCCATCACCCAATCCATCCCCCCCTTCTCCATCACAGTTGATAACTCACCCCTGTCTCCTTCCTCCTCCATCCGCAACCTTGGACTCATCTTTGATACCCACCTCACTTTCGAACAACACATCAAACAGGTCACTAAATCAGCCTTTTTTCACCTCAAAAACATTGCCCGTATTCGCCCATCTCTCTCCCTCCCCGCAGCAGAAACCCTGGTCCACGCCTTCATCACCTCAAGGTTAGATTACTGCAACAGCCTCCTGTACGGTCTACCCTCTAAACTCCTCAACAAATTACAGATAGTCCAGAATTCTGCCGCCCGCCTCCTTACCCACACCCGTTCACGAGACCACATCACCCCCATCCTCCTCCGTCTACACTGGCTCCCCATCAAGCAACGCATCATGTTCAAGATCCTCCTTCTCACCCACAAAGCCCTTCATCATCAAGCCCCCTCTTATCTCACCGACCTACTCCAGCCTCATGTACCCCCCCGTAACCTCCGTTCCTCCTCTGCCCATCTTCTCACCCAACTGTCACGACCCAAGCACCGAACTTGGGGGGATCGGGCATTCTTCACAGCTGCCCCTACCCTTTGGAACTCACTACCTCCCTCCATCAGACACTGCCCTGACCCCACTACTTTTAAATCCCTTTTAAAAACTCACTTATTTAAAATTGCTTTTAATATTTAACTGTTTCGTCCATCTTACTGTTTTTATGTCTTTGTCTTATTATCTTGAATTTTACGTACCATGTAAAGCGTCTTTGAGTGTTTTTAAAAGCGCTGTACAAATAAAATGAATTATTATTATTATTATTATTATTAGATAGCTGCTTGATAAATGAAATAGAGTTGGTGTTGGGGAACAACATCTAAAGGGGGATTATTAGCCTATCTCGTGGGTAGATATTTGCTAAAAGCTTAATAACTGATGCTTGTTAATATGATTTAGTAGGGCTGGGTGATATGGCCTCAAAATAATATCACGATATATTAAGCAGTTCACCTCAATAACGATAAATGGACGGTAACTACTTCACAAGCTGCTCACCCCCTCCTACATTAACTTCGTCTACTTCAGCCGCTACAACTTTTGAACCGTCCTCCATCTCCTCACCTGTCTTTCCCTCTTTGTTACGGACTGGATAGGTTGGAGTCACGTCTCCGTACATGAGACCATAGCCTACCTACACACATCCAAAACCAACTTTTATTTATTGATTTAATTTTTGACAAATGACGTCGGTTATTGTCATAAATTTCGGTATCGGTTAATTTTGGGTTTATCGCCCAGCCTTATACTTTAGGTTTGCATTTCAATGCATCATGTTCAATCCCGTCTACTTCCCGTGCATGACAGTATGTTGACCTAAAAAACTGTAATAAAGCTGTCTGAAGACTAGACTATGTCTCAGCACATAGCTCCTCAACCAGTCGAGTGTTTTCTCACTTTGAAATGAGTCAAAAATCTGATTTATGTTCCAACAGCAGGGAAATAACTCACTACAGAACATCCTTGAGAGATTAAAGTCGATGAGCTGTTGAGAAATATCAGAGAAAGAGATTCAAAGTGGCAGAAGATCTGACCTAACAAGACCAAAAGTCAAGTCCTCATTTCCAGAACTTGAGATCCTTCTTAAGTTTCTATCAAGAAGGACACAAGTAAACATGTCAGATCAAATGGCGCTCTGCTTGAGAATTTCATGGGAAGCTTGAGTTGAAGTAATGAACAGACTTTAATTGTGTTTATTGTTAACAGTTTGAATTGGCTGATGAGAAGGACAAAACATCCTAATCTACTTTGCTCATTTCCCTGAACTCCTGTGTTGTCTGGAGGTTTGGTGTCCGTCCATCGTCTGATCATGAAAGTGCAGATTATTGATTCACAGTATGATTTATTGCAGGTTTTCTCCTCCAAATAACTGGATCTGTAAGAGTGATTGAACATTTCCGGGGCTCTGCTGCATCCAAGTCAGCATTCCTGTCCTCAACGGCGTTTATGGGAGGCCTCCCCCCCTTTCCTTCTCTCACCCCTCCCATCCGAGGCTGCTCGCCAGGACCTTGTTTGCAATTTATCTTCATGTTGTAATTGACATGAGGAGCTGGAAGTTAAACCGATTGGGAGCAAACACAAACCTCATGATGCCAGTGCATAATTTTCACCGCTTCATCAAATTAGATTTAATTCTGCAAGAGGAAGCGTGAAATTCGATGGCAAAAGTTGGAGACAGAAGCGTAACAAAGTGGACGAAATACACAAATCAATTAAAGACCTCTTTTTACCAACCCTAACCCTAACCCACCCAAACCGAAGCGCATAAAAAAAGGGGAATAATACAAAAAGATATGAGTTCTTACAGCTTGTTTGATTGCTTTGTTTGTGGGACTTTTCCTTGTCTTTTTGGATGCTTGTCATAGCACGACTCCTAAATCTGTCAAAGATTTAATTTGCTTCCTCACATGAGGCTGATGGAGGAATTTAACAGCATTTTTCTGGATTTGGTACCAGCGGGAGAGCAGCTAATATGCGGAAATATAGAAGGAAGGAGTCGTCTGCATACATGCTATATATTGTGTGTATGTGCCTTTGTATTTGTGCGTTTCTGACCGAGGGTATGTAGGAAACAGACCTCAGTTTCCTGCCATTTGTGCCCTGCCTTGATAAGAGAAGGCGTTTCCTCTGCTGCCTGCACGACTCCTTAGGGCCCATTGTGTGCGAGCAGCAGGGATTTATTATTGGAAAGGGTATAATTAGGGTCCCTTGCTTGTCTGGAGGGGCGGGCGGTCTGGGAGAGAGGGAAAAAGGGGCACGGAAATGGGGTTGAAGGGCCGTCTGTAGCAGGATGGGTATACTGTAAACTGGGGGAGGGGCGTCTGTGTATATTTGGAGGGTTAGCACAAAGGATTTGGGTTAGACGCGGGCAACCCCCGCTGCTCCAGCTGGACTCAGACTCACGCCACTTTCTGTCCATCCTGGGATGACATCATTAGAGCATCCTGTGCGGTACGCAGGCATTCCCAGTATCCATGAACCCCGCCCCCTCAGAAAACAATCACTCAGTTGGCACAGGGTTTTCCCCAGGGCAGATAGGCCTGGAGACACGGGACAGGCTGATCTTTATTCTTGCGAGTGAAGCAATGAGGGACGTCATCCTGCTCTGTGATGACTGATTGAACGGCACATTATAACAGACACAAAGCCCGAATCATTAGGCGGAGAAATAAAGGCCGTTGTTCGTGGTCATAAATATAAACGCTGCTTTATGTGGACGTTTGCACTCACCCTCGTCACCCTCTGTCTCTCTTTTGTCTTTTTCATGTGCAGCTGAAAAGGTGTCATCGCTGGGGAAGGACTGGCACAAGTTGTGTCTCAAGTGCGACCGCTGCAACAAGCTGCTGAACGCCGGAGGCCATGCTGAGGTCAGTGAGACTCCAGCAGTAACCGCTCGCATTGGCGCTTTAAAACGACTGTCAGGCTGTTGTAAATGATGATTAAGTAGACTCGTTGTGGTGATGTGTCCTTTTAAGAGCCTCAAATGCAAAACAATGAACTGTATGTGTTCATATTGAAATAATGAGTAGACTGCATATTTTTTATGTACATTTTCTTGGTTTTAACTTTACTGTAGTTTAAATCTGAATAATGCCTCATGATGTTTCTGCATAAGCAACTTTAAAGCTTTTTAAGCATGAAGAGGGCAAGATAAGAAAAGATTACCTTGTCCAAAATGTACATAAATTGAAGACCCACTCCGATGAAAATCACATTTTTCTTGTCGTCTATATGTTCGTATGGCATATTTCTGATATGAGAGGACATATCATGAGAAAAAGAACTGCAAAATTGCATTTCTGACTATTTTTCGCTGTGAATCTCTGACAGACCCAAACAACAGGATCAGATTCAGTGAGATTTCCTATGTCACAAATCCAAGCTCGGCCCCTGAGAAATACAAATAGAGAGGATGATCGCGGAACAAGCGTCTGCGTTAGCGGTTGAACTGCTCGTAAGAAAGCTAATTATGATATTAACTTTCATCATGCCCCGAAAGACAATAGTCAATGACAATAGACAAAAGACAATGTTAGGCTGCAAGCTAGCGTGAAGAGGAGTGTACAGAGCAGCGCTGTCTCCGCCCACAACTCAGAGGCGAATTGCTAATGAGCTACTGGAGCTCTGCAGAAGAAAAGCCTTTGAAAATGACACAGGTAATGCAATTTTGGCTAAAAACTTCATAATCACAACTTGAAGACCACTGAGAACACTTTAAGTAGTAAAAAAAAACAATTGGAGTGTTACTTTAAGTCCCTTACAGGAGCTTTAAATTCAACTGAGAGTCCAAACCAGAAGAGATTAACTGAGCAGTGATTTATGTTTTCTTTTGTGGTTGAAGTACATCTACTCCTCTTTATAAGTCCACATGAAATTCCCAAGAAACACCACAGCTACTGTCTGCGCCTGAACTTTAAAACTGGGGCAGTGATATGGACTATTTGTAGCCTACATAGCTGTGTGCATTTAGCAGGTCACTAACATTGCCCTGGGTGGTGGGAGCTCACTCCCCACTGGGACCATTCATGCTGTCATTGTATGCGCTCAGTGATGCTGGTGAAGCACCACGGCTAAAACGTCTCCAACAAACGGCTCATGTCACGTTTTCTGGATCGACTTTATGGGCTTTTCTCTGTTAATGTCGCTCCATCTAGGAAGTCATTTTGATTTAACTCGGGGTCAGAGGCTAAAAACTTTACGCCACTTTTTGTGGTTCATTGACTGCTGTTGTGAAATCAAAAAGGGGGAAGGCAGAGCTGCCGGGGAGTGTATTGACTTATTGACTCGTCTCGAGAGTATATCCTCCCTAAAAATTTACCACCAGAGAGTTTGGGCTCTAAAGAAAAACTGGGATCTGCCACAACAGAAAAGTATTTGACATATTAATAAACGAACATATAAAGTGAGTCTGGTCTATATTTTCAAATCAAGTGTCCAAGAATCAACTGAAATTCAGCAAAGACATTTACCAAGACTCAAGAATCTCTTTATTAGGACTCAGTAGTCAAAGGTCTTTCAGTTACATCTAAACAGATAAAATAATGGAATAAGGAGCTCTTGGAGTCCAACCTGGTCCTGAAGCATCTGAAGAGAATTCCTGAAATGTGCACCATCAATGAACACATCTATTCTCGTCTATTTTCATACATAAGGCGCACAGGGTTATAAAGCTCACCAAAAGGAGTTTTAGTGCACCTTATAGTGTGAAAAATACGGTACACAAATTTATTTTTTAGAATTTGGCGGCCAATGAAATGCCACAAATAAATAAATATATAATAATAATAATTTAATTAATAAAAAATAATAATAATATAAAGATTTTAATTCTTGTCTCTTAATTGAGAAAAAAATGTAATAATGATAACAATAATAATAATAATAATAACAATAATAATGATATAGTAATAATAAAGATTTTAATTCTTGTCTTTTAATTTAGAAAAAATAAAATAAAAATAATAATAATAATAATGATAAGATTTTAATTCTTGTCTCTTAATTGAGAAAAGAAAAATGTGTAACGCTCCCAAAAGGTTATTAAAGTTCAGTTTCTCTGGAGCACAGCATCTTGGAAATAACTTTTGGACCATTCTTTCTGTCCCATTCCTGTAAACATAATATCTCAGGAACACCTGGAGGGAGATTTTTTTTTTATCAAATGAGGTTTGTTTTAATTTTGTTATTCATCCTAGAGGACAACCAAATGTACCATCAATTAAATACCAATATCCCCTCCTGTACTTCATGTTCTGTTGACATGAAAATAGTCTGCTGACAAATGCATGCTCTGCAGAAAAAAACATGGAGATGATTTGAAGTGTAATGCTCCTTTAAGTGGTTGTGGCCCAACTTTCATCTCCTCTAGATACATGAAAGTTAAGCTTCTGAAAGGGAAGTTGAAAGTTGAAGAGAAATCTGACTGTTTCTTTCAACTAAGTTCCTGTTAAAGCTCCTGGGAGGAACTTTTAGTTTGTGCCAAAATTGGCGCTCTCCCATGTGGATAAAGTACTCTTTGCTGGTTTTGTGCTCCACATGTCTAAGCGGTGTCTTCTTCTTGATGACTTTTGACAATCAAACATTTCAGATTATAGAAAAAATATGTTTCTTGAACTTCCCGACTCACACCTACCACCAACCACCAGTTTTAGGCATCAAAAATCATCAACCTTTTCTCTAATAGTTCTCTTTCTTTTTGCTCATATCATAAAAAAGCATAAATTGAATTCTAGTCTACTTTAAAAATGTCAAAAAACTCCCTACAGGAGCTTTAATTGCTCTTTTTTAATGGTTGTTTTCCTTCTTTTCTAGAAGAGCTGATATGTCCGATCTTTTAGACTGAAAGCAGGTCCTCTCCGAATGTTTTTCCAGTCAGTAAAGATATGATGTTCTTTCCTTTCATTTCCATCACAGATCCTGTGCGTTTAGTACAGGAAATTGCTGACTACATCCCCTTTTTTTCCCTGCCTTGTTGTGATTCTGGTTGTGTCTGTCAGTTTTCATCGTCCTTGTGAATTTTTTTTTTAACCCCCCTCAGGGTAACAGGAGGAGTTGTCTTTTCTCCTCTAACTGTTACATAATCACACCGCAGTCTATCACAGCTCAAGATTTCCCCCAACTGTGCGTGCTGCTCACTATCTGGCACCTCCACCCCGGGGATTTCTCTTATCATGCCTCGCTCTTTTTTGCCTTTCATGACCCCGCCAGCGATGCAGTTCTCACCCTCTGTCTGTCTGTCGCTCTCTGTACATCAGTGAATATCACCTTTCCGAGTCCCAACACAAAGAGGATGTGATCTCAGCGTCTTTGTACACAAAGCGATTTCCCTGTAGACCTCAAAGGATGCTCCTCTGCTGTTTAATCTCTACATGATTACAGTAATATAGTCACACCGTCTCCATCCTCCCCTCACCACGCGCCGCATCCGAATCCCGCCTCGGGCTGTAGCGCCATGTCAACTTTAGCAAGCAAAAACTCAATACTTGATAATCGTCATGGAAACAAGAGCATGAAAGCATGTAAAAGAAGTGTGTTTCTGTCTGGGGGAGGTTGTTTGATGTCATTGTAGGCCTGGTATGCAAAAGGTTTTGACCCCCGGAGCAGCGCTCACTTCGGGCTTCTTTAAAAGGAGGGACAGATGAGGCCCGCCGTGAACTGTTGTGGCTGCTGAGCTTAAAAAGACAAAGTGTCAAGTCAGATTTGACCCCAGAAGATCAGGATTGTATTTACCCAAAGCACAAGATTAGCACAGTTTGGGTCAAAAATGGCAAACTGTTTTCTCATAGTCCTTAAACTGACTAAATAAAGACAGGCACTGCCCCGAAACTTCATCTCCATGAGCGAATTTAGATTTAGTGTTTTGTCTGAAACTCTTAATACTCTGGCTTTTGTTTTCTGTCGGTTTTGAGACTGACTGAAATATTTAACAGTGATATGATCTGCAAATATCATCATATATAATCATATAAATATATATGATATTTTTAACAGTTAAAAGAAAGCAGGATACGGTTTTAGAGGAAAAAAAACTAAGAAATGAAATGTTTGTCCATTAGCACAAACTGAGAGTGTCTCAAAAGACTTAAGGGCCTGTGCCCACCAACAGCTTTTTTGAGGCTGTGTCTGCTTCCACTGGAAGAAATTGCAAACTGATTTAATTGCTCTGTATGCTGAACATATATATATATATAAATATATATATATATATATATTATTATTATTATTATTATTATTTTAATTAAAAGACACTTACTTAGGGAGAACATGAAACATATGGACAGGAATTGTGTCCAAAAATAAGCAGCAGTTCAAGCACAAGAAATCAAAATCTTTGAACAATGAGTTTAGGTGCACAAGACACAGTTTTATAGTTTTGTAATCACTCTTCTGCTACTTTTGTTGACAAATTCTTGTTGACATAAAAAATAAATTAATAAATTAATAAATAATAATAGTAATAGTAATTATTATTATTCATTTTTTAATTATTATTATTATTATTTTTAATTATTAAAAATAACAGTAACAATTTAATTACTAAATTAATTATATTTTTACCATTATTGTAATAATAATATCAATAATAATGATTATTATTGTAACAATAATAGTAGAAATATAATAATAATAATAATTATTATTATTATTATTATTATTATTATTATTATTATTATTATTATTATTATTATTAAAATATAAAAAGATGCAGCCAGTGGAGACAGGCCCTAATTTGCTCATTGGGCCAGTTTGAAGAAATAGGAAGTTGAAGAGTAGCTAACAAGGGGATTTGAGGGTGATAATGTCAAACTTGCATGTATCCTCTGGAGCGCTGATGATACACGCTGTCAGATTATCTGTTGTAAATTTGGTGATAAATGCGTGGTTAGTGAACATGACTGTGGGGCTTAGTGCTTTGAATTAGTTGAGTGGACAGACTGTTTTTAAAAACTGAAATACACCCAGAATCTTTGTTTTTATGATCATATTAAAGAAAATCACACATTAGAGATTTTCCTCTCCCTGTGCAAGAGTCGTCACCATCCTCATGTTTTCAAACTACCATCCCAGAGCATGTTCAGCACCAGGCGCTTACATAATCTCACAACGTCTGCACAGAACAACTGTTTCTGAAATCAGCTTCCTGTTAAAACATGAAGTGACTGTGCTGTAAATAAAAGATGCTGGGAGCACAACACAAACAAGCGAGCGCTCAAAGTTAATTCACCTCCATTCTGGTTTCAGCAAAGCAGCAGCGGAGAGAAGTTAGAGCGATCAGGAGAAGAGCTTTGGAGGAGGAAAGAGGAGAAAGACGTATAGATGGAGAAGACAGAGTGAGGATGTGGGAAGAGAGTGGGCCGTGCAGAGATGGATAATCCATTTTTAGGGTCTGGCAGCCTCAGAGATACTCTGCAGTCAACAGTTCACAGAGCACTCGGTTCACTTAACAAAGGAGTCCTGTGTGTGTGTGTGTGTGTGTGTGTGTGTATGTGTGTGTACGTCCTGAGAAAGCCATCAGTGCTTGGTCACAGCTTGGCATCAGCGTCCGGACCTTCACGGATCTCATAAATGTCAAGCAGGGAGTGTGAAAGGGGTGCGTTGCTGCTTGAACAGTAGCTGATACCGTCTCAGTCGATGCATTATTAAAGGTGAGGGAAGAATCCTTTTTTTCTGTCACAGCATCTCCTGAGCTCATGTGGCTAAAGCAGAGGGGATTGTGGGTACTTTGTCCCTCTTTTTTCCCCCCTTACCTCCCTCGGCCTGGCGTCTGGCCCGCAGCATTCACTTCATTCTTCTCTTCTATGGGCATCAAGCTCTGGACCAGTGGACACCCTGGCCCTCGGCCCTGATCCCAAACCCGATCACATGCTTCCGAAACCAGCATCACATTCCCAGCATGCATCAGCGGCGGGCCGTCTCTCTGAACCTCAAGTGGCAGTGGGTCGTGTTTGAGCAGAGTCCTGTGTCCCGGATACAGCTGGTGTCATTATTATGTGTTGAGATGGAAAAAAAGAGATTGTCTCCCTTTTAGGACTTAATCTCCTCTTCCGACCACAAAAGCAGATCATACCCAAAATAAATGATGTCATAAAATGCGTGGGAAATAGGGCTTCAGATCACATGTCTCCGTTTGCGTCATCAGTATTTTATAAACCTCTTCGTGCCTATTGAGGCGGTTTGTTTTGTCTGTGTGTGTTTATGGTGTTTTTGTGTCTCCCCCTCAGCACGATGGAAGGCCCTACTGCCACAAACCGTGCTACGCTGCCCTCTTTGGGCCAAAAGGTGAAGTACAAACCTCAACATTTTAAAACTGTAATCAACATTTTCTCTTATTAGCTAATCCCTAAAGTACGGTGGCCGAGAACCGCCACTGCTGCAAATAAAAAAGAGTGCAAGAAAAGAAATCACAATGGAAGTTACTGATGCAAAAAAAAGAAACACAAGCCCGCTGCAAATAAAAAAATAAACAGTGCAGATAAAAAAGCCACAACAGAAGTTAATGATGCAAAAAAATTAAAGTGGCAATGGAAAAAAAAAAAAGTTACTGCAAAAATAAAAGGATCCAAATAAAAAAAGACACAATGGAAGTGAGCTGCTGGGGACCAATAATGATGATGCACCGGTGTTTTTAATCTGTTGTGTCTTTTCTTATTTGCATCCTTTTTATATTCGCAGTAAGTTACCTTTTTTTTTGCGTTATTGACCTCCGTTGTGTTTTTTTTAATCTGCACCTTTTTATTTGCAGTGGGCTTTGGTTTCTTTTTTTTTTTGCGTCACCACTTCTGTTGTGGTTTCTTCTTTTTTTTTGTATTCTTTTTTTATTTGCAGCAGTGTCGTTTCTCAGCCACCATACTTACCATTTTAAAAAAAACTGCTGATGCCTTTTTATTGCTTACTAACTAAATACAATGTTTTTGTCATCTAAGCTTGTAAGATTGCATGAATTTAACTCTCTCCTTTTTCTGAGTTTTGGATCTTAAGAAAATAAATGAGGCAAAAATCTGAACTTTTATTCTGTTAATATTATCACTGCAGCCCATTTGACTCAAAGACGCTCGTACTGATTTGACCTCTTCTCGTCTTGTACCTTTTTTCAGGCGTGAACATCGGTGGCGCCGGCTCTTACATATACGACACTCCAGCCAACAACAACCCGCCTTCCACCGGCGTGGATTCAGCCTCCAAAACTGAGGAGAAAAGGGTGTATGCACCTAAACCAGCATCCAAAGGTCCATGAGAAACTGATTTTTCTTCATATTTATTAAATGTGGGAGAGCTACTACTTTTTAAGGAGCCAAAATATCGAGAATTTGATCAAGAAGAAAGAATCTGTGAGGCTTTTTTCTGTCGTTTTTTATGGAGATGTGGGAGACAGTGTTGGGAAGTATGATGTTTTAATTCATCGTCATTGACTGCTGGTGCCACCTGCTGATTCCAGGAGTGAACTACATGTAGGCCAAAAATGCCTCAGCCCTCATGAGTGGCTGCTGTAAGCAGGCGTAGGTTGTAGGAAATGAAGGATATTAAGATTGGCGAAATTATGATTCCCTCTAAACTCTTATAAAAGATGTTTGTATTCATATTTCTGTTTTTACATTAACAGCTAACCGGAAAGATTATTAGTCACACACTGAAACGTTTCTGTGTCCACAGCTGGCAGCATCACCACTTTTTCCGGAGAGGCCAACCTGTGTCCTCGATGCAACAAGAAGGTGTACTTTGGTGAGCAAAAACAAAGTGAGTTTGAACCTGCAAAGTGGTTTCCGAGAAGTCTAACAAGTGTGTGTGTCTCTGTGTGTGTGTTTGTGTGTGTTTGTCACCAAAGCTGAGAAGGTGACGTCACTGGGGAAAGACTGGCATCGACCCTGCCTGCGCTGTGAGAGGTGCAGCAAGACTCTGGCTCCAGGCAGCCATGCAGAGGTGAGAAAGAGGAGGAATCCTAAATCTGAGGGGGCTGTGGTACGGCACAAGAACTGGTCAAATTAATGACCAATGAGACTTTATCATAATTTGTGCCTGGTAACTGTCAATCCTTGTAAGGAGGAGAGAGAGAGCAGATGTCCACATAATTCTGCACATCAGAACAGAATTCATATTAAAAACAAGTTATCTATCATTTGAGATGGGAAAAAGACTTTTTATTAAGAAAGAATCATGTGCTTTTATTTAGAAAAAGGGGAAAAAAAATCTAGTTTCTGAATCCTTTTTGGACTTCTCTTTTTTTGATTAATCTGTGCGCCTCTCCAAACCTCTAACGTCGTTCATATTTGACCTTCTGTTTCTCCAGCATGATGGCCAGCCCTACTGCCACAAACCCTGCTACGCCGTCCTCTTCGGGCCCAAAGGTAACCGCTAGGGGGTGCTGTCAACCCACCGATTATCAGCTACACTTTGAACAGAATGTCGTTTGTCTGAGCACTTGATCCATGCTGCACTCTCTGCACTCTGTGTCGGTTTTTTTCTTACCCAAGAATCATTTCATCATCACATCACTGAAACAGCAGCTTCTTAAAGCCTGTACAGGAAATGTTTTGCAACCTCTCCTGCTCATGTTGACCCTTTTTTTTGTCGTTCCCCCTCCCCCCTGCTCTGACCTTCCCCCCTTGCTATGGTTCTTCCAGGCGTGAACACTGGTGGCGTGGGCAGCTACATCTACGAGAAGGAGCCCAGTGCAGTGACCCAGCCCTGAACCTTTGACCCCCTTCTCCCTTCAGCCTCATCCCTTCGCTCAACACGACACTGACCACTTCAACCGCAGTATTAGTCACAGCATTTTTTTTTTGCTCTCTCCCTTTTCACCTGTGCGATCATACCTTCGAGAACCAGCCTACCGCTCCGGATCCTCTTCCCTCTTTTTCTTCTCACCTGCTTCTAGCACCATGAGGAGTCATTTTAAACCATACTTAACATGTGTTACGTGTATATCCTCCACATTAGCTCCAAGCTATTAACCACCATTCAAATACAGTCAACACTTTTTTGCCATATTTACACATGAATACATGTCTGTCAGCACATTCACACGTCACTGCACGCAAATAAAAAAAAGGTGTTATGTTCCAATTTGCACCCTGAATGAAAAGCGATGAAAAGCACGTTCAGGTGTGGGAGAGTGCATTTGTGGGTTTTGGATGCAGTGTGTTGAAAAAACCAGAGAGGACTTTTCAGCGACATGCACAGGTTCTGCTCAGGAGTACATTACCGTTAAAAATCTGTATTTAAATTACGTTGTATTTACAGTTTGACATCGTTATTCCTGACGAAAACAAAAAAAAGGAAAGTTTGTCTCATATTTTTCAAAACACGAGGGAGTAGGTCTCTCAGGTGACTGTTACATGACTTTCAGTGCATCCAGGAGTCAGCGTTTTGTAAATAATCTGTTGTATGATATAAGAAATCTGGATCGAATTTGCTAATAATTAACAAAATATAACGTTTTCTAAGTGAGGGAAAATTTCGGGAACGGGCGATCGACTTATTTGTGACGCTAATTTAAGGCCTTTCTCATTTCATCAGGCGATGTACTACTACCCTACTGAGGGGCTGAGGTTAATCATGGCAATATAAACTGTACAAATCTCTACGATCAAGATTTTTATTGATATTTTCAAATGAATAACCCTGCTGTTATTTTCTGAGAGATGACTCGCTATTTGAAGTATTATGATTTAGCAGAAAGAGTAGCTTAGCGCGTAGAAACACTGCAGACAAGTCATTCTGTCAGAATGTGCATCCTAGTATTATTATTATTGTTATTATTATTATTATTGTAAGACTGTTACTGTGTTTGTTTATGACCTGTTGTACATCGTAGGGCTTTGTAGACGCTGCAGGGCTCACTGTTTGTAGAACTGAAACACTGCACTTCAGCCCTGCTGCATTGGTCTTTTTAATCCCAATAAAAGAACGGTTTCAGAAACTCATTTTGTCTGTTTGTACCATTTCTCCACCTTTATGTCCCCATATTCTTTTATATGATTGAGTTTTGTATAAATATTAAGTTTTGTATAAATATTAATATTCACCCAAAAAGGGGAAATCTGGTGTTAAATGTTCCAAATTCCCCCCCTCAGGTGCCCTTTTTTATTTCCGCCCCTGCCCCTCAAACAGCCTGACTACACCCCTGCTCGTACTTCTCAGTTTTTCTCAGAGTAAATCTCTCGGCTCGTTTATCTCAGTTCATTACTAATGCAGCATGTTTTATGACTCAGAAAAGCACTCTTACATAATCTGTGCTGCAGAAGAAAAAGGTGAAGTTAGGCGATGAATGTGTGTGCTACATGTTTACTCCTTCAGGGATTAAGAAGAGAGGTGAACATTTTACAACTTTTATTTGATAATTTAGCTTAAACCAACGTTTTTATTCCTTTTAGAGCCTCATACATAGAAAACAAGTAAAAGTACAAGAAAGAATTAGGTCCACATGAAGAGAAAAAAAATAATTACAGGAAAAGGATTAATGTAAAAATTTCAAGACTAAAGTAGAATTTTTTCTACATTAAAAAAACATGAAAATATATCGAAGTCAAAATTTCAAGACTAATAATTGAAATTTCGAGATTGAAGTCAAAATTTTGAGATTAAAGTCGACATGAATAAAGTCGAAATTTCGACTTTAAATTTCAACTCTAATCTCAAAATAGAAATTTAAAAAAATATCCCTCCTGTTATTATTTTTCCTCTCTTCTTGTGGCCCTCATCCTCTTTCGTATGAAAGGGCCGTGTCCACTGAGTTGTTTTTTTGACCGGCAGCGCCCTTGACCTCAATCTACTGTTGCTAGGTGACGCAATTTTTGTTGACAGACGATAAAAGTCCCGACCCTTCTTGATCCTGATAAGTTGGTGGTTAAAACATGACAACTGGTATGTTTACACATACAAAAAAAAGATTTATTACCATAATGTGACTGAAAATAGACTTTTAAAAAAAACATGTAAACACACTGAAATCGCTCTAAATCAAACTACCTTTACTCACATAATGCATTTTCTATGTCATGTATCACGTGAATTTATTGGATCATGATTGAAAACATTGTCCCAACAGCATAGAACTACTGCTACTTTTCACATTTGCAGATATGTAGATATTCACCTTTCGACTGTATGTGTAACAGTAAGACAAGTCTTTATTTTCTACTTTAACAAATGACAAAAAACAAGTTTTTCAGCTGCCAGAGGTGGAATCAGGTAACATACGAGATGACCTTGCATTGCTTCAGGTTGAAAGTGGCAATCTGAAAGTGTTTACCCAGCTTAGGGAACAATTACTGTGTATCTGAGATGACTGCAGGGTGTTGACTGTGTGAGGAAACACTGATTCTCCTATCCAAACACACTTGACTGACAGCAGGTAGAAAAGCTTCGGAGTTTCAGTCTTGCATCACTCTCCAAACACGCCTGCAAGTTTCATTACATTACAGGTTACAGTGGCGTTTCTCAATCACACACAGGCTGTGCAGTTACACCGCTATGTCGTCACTGAAATCATAAAATAAACCAGAGGGGAAGGCCAGAGAAAGAGGAAATGGAGGCCGCTACTACTCCCTTTTACAGAGTGACCCCGTGAGTTAATTGGCTGACAGAGAACCCAAGACAGCAGGCAAATACAACTCTTCTAAAAGTGAGGATGAGACACATCATCCTGCCACATAAAAACTGAGTGAGTACAGCATGTTTGTTGTGGACAAACTGATTAATCCAGGTGTGACTGATCATTCTGACTAGTCAAACACACCTGGATTACTCAGTTTGTCCAATGATGTAAGACAGGAAATAAAGGAGCAGCATTATACTCAGGAAGTAGTGGAGCTGTGCATAGAGCCCATCGTCCTTTTGCCTTCCCGACCTTTATAACCCGGTCAACCCACCTGGAGTTTTGAGATGAATAAAAGCCTCAAAATTCTCATTGTGTTATATAATAAAATATCATTATATCAGGTATTGGCAAATACTACCAATGAAGTCAGAATTCCACATGAAAAACTTGAGACGGACAAACAATCAATCTTGATTTGTGTAGCACTTTCCATACAAAACCATGTAGCACAACGTGTTTTACACAGCAGAGAAATAAAAAAAAACAAAGAATACCTGAATTTCCCCATCACCTCATTCCCAACCAGTAATCTAAGCACAACAGAAACAAGTATTAAAATGCATTAACTTAAAAAGAGCTTGATATCGTAGAAACAGTTCGCACTGAGTTTGTGGGAATTAAAGTCAGAATGATGAAAAAAAAATCAAAATTATGACAAAAAAGGCAAAGCTATGAGAAAAGTCAGAATTATGGGAAAAAGGTCAGAACTCTGAGAAAAAAATGTCAGAATTGAGAGGAAATAATCAGAATTATAAGAAAAAAAGACAAAACTCTGAGAAAAAATGTCCGAATTATTAAAAAAAAAAGCCAGAACTATGAGAAAAAGGTCAGAACTCTGAGAAAAAAGTAATAATTATGAGAAAAAAAAGTCTGAATTATGAGAAAAAAGACAAATCTCTGAGAAAAAATGTCAGAAACATGAGAAGAAAAAGTCAGTTATGAGAAAAGTCAGGATTATGAGAAAAAGGTCAGAACTCTGAGACAAAAAGTCAGAATTCAGAAAAACAGTCAGAATTATGAGAAAAATTCAGAATTGTGAGAAAAAAAGAAGAAACTCTGAGGAAAAAATGTCAGAATTATGAGAAAAAGTTCAGAATTATGAAAAAAAAGTCTGAACTCTGAGAAAAAAAGCCAGAATTCTGAGTTAAAAGTGTCAGAATTGTGAGAAAAAGTTTAGAATTATGAGAAAAAAGTCAGAACCCAGTTTTTTTTTCTTAGAATAATAATAAAAATATATTCTGGACCTCATATTTTTTTCCAGTGACCCTCATCCTCTTTGGTACTAAAGCGTCTCAGGGGACCAGTAAAAAGTCCCTCTTATCTTAAAGTATCTCCTGTGAGGCACAATCCAGCTAAAAACCGAGGAGCTCTTCTGCTTTTGGTGTCACATATGGAACCATCTTCTCTTTACATAACATCTTATATCAATATCAGTCCCTCCCTGTGTCTCTTTTTCTTTTTGGACCACTGAAAGGAGGAAGACTCAGTCTCACTTCATAAAACAATATTTCCACCGTCTCCAGTTATTCCCCAAATATACGTCTCATACTGGGACTGTGAGCATTTCCAAACTATTTACCAGATGTCCAAAAGCTTTAGTGAAGTGACCGAAACAGACGTGTATTAACAGAGAGAGTGCAGAGGTCACTTTAATGGAATCAGGACGAGCCTCTGGGGATGTCTCTGTCACTTTTTCTGGTATGCTGGTCTTTATAAAGAAGTCACTTCCCGTTCCCTGAAGTGGTCGAACTTAACGGCCTAAACATCATCATGAACACGAGCAAACTCCTGAAGCACATTGTGTTTCCAGACTTCTTCTACTGAGAACTTAAACCAGCTCAAACACCTTAATAATTAGATCGAGAGAGACGGGATTCCCAGGTCTTTAAAGGAACAGTGTCTCTGTTTGGACGTAAATAACACCACATTCTTAAAGGGAAAGTGTCAGTCCGCTCTGACGCTGTAAAGCAGCTGTACAGAGCTCTCTGGACTAACTTCAGCCCCTCAGCAGCTGTGTGACGGACAGCCAGGGAATCCCTATTTTGTTTCCTCTTCACTTCTAACCCAGCTAAATGAATTATTGAGGCGCCTCTCGCTAATGAGATTACGGTTTTACGGACGCTCATTAATCTGGAGTGATTATGGGACTAGGAAATGTACCCTGCAGTTATGGTTATGATTTTCCGATAGCTTTCGCTGTAAAACATCTGATGGGAGGTTCCCCGCTTCGGAGCATAGATCACACATGTCGTCACAGCGGGCCTTGTTTTTAAATGGGACTGGTTTAACAGTACAGTTACATCAGATCCTGCCTATTGGAAAAAGGCGTCCAGGGCTTTATAAGTATTGTCCTCCTCGTCACAGAGACAAAGCCGGCTGTATCCTCCTCTTTCCAAACATACAGATGCCTTCTTACCTCAGAAACCCCCTCACATATGCTGCCTCATTCTGCAATGGTAGATTTTACCAGTTCAGGACAGGAACAGAAACTCATGTTTCGCCACAATGTCAACAGGCAGAAGTGAAATCATTTCAATACAGTATGAAAAATCAGGTTGTGATGGGGTTTTGACCAATCAGAATCAAGAGCACAGCCACTAATCGTGTTGTGTCGTTCATAAACAGAACTGCCGAGTGAACGACTCCAAGACCTAATTCGTTCCTTTTTCAGTTTGGTTGAGCTCAGCCGCGAGCGTGTCGTGCTGGTCGGGAGAGGGACTGATCAGTCAGACTGTGAGCGAAATGAACGACTTCAGAACGACTTGAGGAGGGCGGGACGTAGCGTCGTTCACGAACCACCCAGCACCAGTTCATTCGCAGTGGAGGATTCTGAGTGCCTCCCGAGTGTCCGAGCTCCTTACCCTACCTCTAAGGCTGAGCCCGGTCACCCTGCAAGGGAAACCCATCTCGACTGCTTGTATTCGTGATCTTGTTTTTTTCTCTCTCTCGGTCATTACCCAAAGTTCATGACCATTGGTGAGGGTCGGCACGTAGATCAACCGGTAAATCGAGAGTCTCGCCATACGGTTCAGCTCTTTCTTCACCACGACAGATCGGTTAAGCGTCTTCATCACTGCTGACGCCGCTTTGATACGCTTGTCGATCTTCCACTCCATCCTGCCCTCACTTGTGAACATGATCCAGAGATATTTGAACTCCTCCACTTGAGGCAGGACCTTCCATCCGACCTGGAGAAGGCAATCTACCTTTTTCCGACTGAGGACCATGACCTCGGACTTAGTGGTTATGACGCCAGAAGTACCCGTCTGAAGTTGAGCTAAGAGGTTTAGAGCTCCCCCTGCTGACTGGCTGCAGATTAGGTCCTTCCTATAATAACCGAGAAGGAAAAGGCCAAACTAATAGAGACTTGTAGTCGCCTTGACAACTCTAAATATGACTGACGATAGATATACAGTAAGTGTAGCAACACAAACATCCTCTCTGTCTCCATCTTGAATCAGCCGGGTTGACCTCAAACAGGAGGACTCTGCAACTCCCTCAATTACAAGACAAAAAGTCGAACCCCAGGACCTCCTTTCTACCCCAACAGCCCGAACCCCCCCTCTGTCTCTCCACACAGGTGGGCCGTCTGCTGTTTCACATTGGACAGACACGAAAACCCTGGCAGGCTGCCACCGTTCAGGCCTCCAGCCAAGACCTCCCTCCCTCTCTCTCTCTCTCCTGTCTCCTACGCTCTGAATCCTCTGTACGCCCTCGCTCACACCGCTCCCTCAGGGCCCGCCCAGCCCACGATGAAGGGAGTTTTATCATGCTTTTGGTAAAGGGAGCAGATACCGGTAACTCAAAGAGACCAGCTGCCTGAAGAGGTGTGAGGGTGATCGGAGGCCAAAACAAAGACGGTTAGCGCGAGCTTTGTCTTGGATCGACCCTGGTTTGACTAGCCAAAACATTTCACAGATGAGCTTTACGAGGTATTTAGGACCCTCTGATCACAAAACCAAGAACAACAACAGGGCCGTCATTCAAAGAGGAGATAAAACTGGTTCAAGCTGACAAGTAATCACCTCACATTTTTCAGGATTCCTGAAGTGTTTATCATTTTTTACGGATTACCCCCGGAGATCTCCAACCCAAACGCATCAAATGGGAAATTTTTATGATTTACAATCTTGAAATAAAACTTACTGCAACATTGAAATGATTTTGTTTATCTAGACTGTTTTTGCTTTAATACCTGAGGCGAATATTAGCCCGATTCACATCTCGGTCCAGCTCTTTCAAACACTGAGTGATGTCAGATCGCTTACATAATGTCCAGCCGCACCCTTCAGACGGGCAGGAAGCAGCTGTTAGGCCGATCACACCACACGGCTGGTCCCTCATCATCACGTCTGTCCTGAGTCTTTTCCCTCTTTTGTCGCCTTTTCCTGTTTTTATGCAGGTTTCCATTGTGCATGTATAGGATAGCGTAAAGACCTGCAGGATCTACAGAAGGTCATTTAGTGTCAGGACTGAAAAAGAGTAAAAGACTCATTGGGAAGAAGTGAGTGTCTTCGGTTTTCATGTAGTTTAAAGGAAAGTTGGCGCTCTGTTCACTTTCCAGTTGCTGCTGAACTTAGATCCGTCATCCTCATATGAAATGTAAGTTATAAAAATAGATGTTCAGCCAGTGGGAGGAAATACCTTTGAGGTAAGAGGAAAGTTTTGGCACTTTTGTGTCATGGTCCGGAGTTAAACGAAAAGGGAAAGAACCCAAAATGCAGAACAGAAAAGGATTTATTTAAAAAGAAGGAAATAAAAAACATAGACAAGCAAACGCAATGAACCAACAAGGACAGAGGGGAAGACAGGGACGATATACGCGCACAGGGAAACGAGCAACAGGTGAGGCTAACGAGACACAGGTGAAACTCGTTAGTGATTAACGAAGGAGGGAAAACTAATGAAGTAAAACCAGACAAGAAACACGAGAAATCAACTACAAAATAAAATGGGAAACACTGAGAACTGATATAAAGAATAAAACAGGAGGGAAACAGGGTCAAACACAAACTGAAAACCCACGAGATTGGACTAAAGGGTAACAGGAACAATAGGTAAAAAGGAAAAAAAATGTACTCAAATAAAACCAGAAGAAGAAAACTAAATTAACAGAACATATTATGACAAGTTGCCCTGATTGTTGTCTGTCATGTAAAAAATCCATCCACATCTATGGAGACAGCTGAAACCCTCACAGCACTGCGAACAACAAAATGTCAGTTCGATAGATAATCTAGCTATAAAAACTCAAGGTACTTTGTTTTACATTTTTTATACCAACGTTTATTTAAATAACTATCTGTGATGTTTCAGAAAATGCTTTTTGAAGTTCTACAAAGTTTTCGAGTCTCATTATTTTATGTAGATTCAGTGTTGGGGTTCAAGTCTTTGAGCACCTGTAAAAGCGCATTATAAATAAAATCTATTATTATTATTATTATTATTAAGTCTTACAGGTTTATTGAAGGAACGCAAAATACTCTGTAAGAGCCACATTAGCAGGTGGACTGAGTTGTCATGGTCACTATAAGCGGTACATTGCGGGACACTAGCTATGTGTCTTTTCTCAGGCTTTAAAGGAGGCTAGGGTGACCATACCTCCTTTTTGACCAGGACATGTCCTCTTTTTTGGGGCTGTCTGGCTTTGTCTGGGGGAGTCCTTCAAATGTCCAGGGTTATGCATGGAAGTTTTGAGTTTGTCTCGTGTGGACCTACTGGGTTAGAAGCGCATAAAAAAATTTGACCCGACCCATAAAACTCTCAAAATTTAGTACACATGATGCCATGACCCATGTAGTCATGTCCTCTTTTTGGGGATTAAGAATATGGTCACCCAAACGGAGGCCAAGCCTTGAAACCTAAAGTTGGGTCTCCATCGTCATATACCTCTGCGATATGAATCCAGAAAACAGAAAACTAATTTCTTGTGATTTACTTTAAACATACGGATCTGTGATAACTTCCATAGGAAATTGTAAAAAGTTAAAGTGCAGACTTTGTCAGGTTTGTCATAAACAGAAAAAAATAATTAATTCTTGTTTGTTGAACAGAAGTTTGATTGAGGATTTCTGATGCAGACCAGGATGCCAGAGAGTCGAACCCCTGATGAACTTTTGCAGCACAGCGTTTAGCCGACTTTTCACCCAAGTAAAAGTTTTTCAATCTAGAACATACTGTATGTTCAAAATATGTTCATAGAGAGAAACAAATCATCAGATTAGTCTTCGATGGAGGTCTTGTTTTCACCTGTTTTTGCTCTCCATACCAGCTCTTTTTCCTGTTTACACCAAAGTTACTGAAACTGGACAAAATAGACTACATACAAAATTTTGTTTTAGATGATAAAAAGTGAAGTTACTTTATCATTATGTTGCACCGATAGATCATGCAATCTAAGATAAAACAAATTTTTCTAACCCACAAGGGAAAAACTGTCTATTTGGAGAGGAAGTTTTTCCATTCAGTAATCCTAAAGTAAGCACGATTAAATGTCTGTGAATGCAGCACCAGTCACGAGTTGCTCCACCTAATTCTTATCTGTAATTGAGCTCAGATATAAAAACAATGATCTAATACTGAGCCTGGAGCCACCGTGCGAACCAAGACGCTCAGAGAAAAAAGGTGAACTTGAAACAAACATGAAGCTGCTTTGATGTTCAATTCTCTTTTGGTTTTCTTGTTTCTTTAAACTTGATGTTAATTTTGACATTTTAGGTTTGTTTCCCACTCTAATAACGTAAGACAGACGCCCTGTCAGTTTGCATCCAAGGCCACACCTGTTGGCGTCACTGCAGCCTCCATCATTGTGTAGTAAAAAGGCAAAGCAGCTCCGTGCACAATGGACTCAGTGTGCATGCTGCCGTACCGACATGGAAAACAAGCGAGGAGGGGCGCCGAGCTGGGGCGTTGTGAGCAGTTTGTTGTCACTTGAGGAGGAAGAGGAGGAGGATGAGAGATGACAGGAATGTTAATGAGAGGAGATGATAGGTGGGAGGATGGCGTCAAAGACAACAAAAACTGTAACGAGGTTGACAAGTTCCCAAAATTTCATTGAGTCCGTTCAACCAAAAGAGTGAGAAGTACAGTAGCAATAGAAATAACGTTATCTCTAAAACCCTCTCTGACACGTAGAGGTCCTGTTGTAAAAAATGTAAAGCAGGACTTCTAATTCTAATCCAAAAAGCAAATAGTTCCTTCTGTACGCAGCTCTGTCTCTGACCAACACAATACGAACAATACCAAAATGTACCAAAAAAGTGAGACAGTGTAGCCTGACACTCCAGATGATTGTTCTGTCAGTCACAGGACATCAAAACATGGCGTAGTAGGTGTGCACCACCCAGGAATAAACAATAATAATCAACTGTTTATAAACCTTTCACTTGTTCGTCCTCGCCCGTTTGCATGGTGTGAAATACGATTTTATTTTGAGAAGAAACCGGATATTTTATTTTGTGTCTGTGCCCGACTTCCTTTCCAGCACGGACTACCCTGTGCTGAATTTATACGGCATGCTCCGGCATCCGAAAACATAGAACTCTGGCAATCGGCTGCAAAGCCTGCTGAACCACAGGGGAACGGAAAGAAGCCGGTTGAAATTGACACATTATTTTGAATGGATACGATCAGCTGCGATCGGCGCATACAGCCTTTTCGCAGCCGTTCCAGATGCGGGAGATTGGGGGATAGCTTCGCCTATGTTCCAGTCCGAAGTACAGTCAGTCTCCATGTCTGAAGAGAAAACTTTCGCGACTTCTAAACCACGCCCACAGCTAGTGCCCATTTCCCCTTTAATGATGCTGATTGGTCCAATCGTTCTCTGACTGGGAACAGGCCTATCAGTCCAATCCACCTGATGACAGACATGAATATTACCAATCTGTCTGGTTTGCAAGGTTATCAACAATACTCATGATGCAAAAAGTGACAAGGACAACATACTGTATACTAAGGCGAAGTTCATAAGTGTGTTCATGTGTTTATTGAATAAGTCTGATATGATGTATGTTGTATAAAAAAATCATCATGTTGGTAAAATTTATTTTTTATTTTTTAGTATATTTATGTTGGTTAAGTTTCCTTTTATTTTTGCACATTTATGTTTTGTTTCGTGGCTTACATTTCCTGTTTTATTTTGTAGTTCACTAACCTTTGTCTCTGTTTTCTAGATTTGTTTCTGTCCGGTCTGCCCTGACCCCGTCTCGTCACACCTGCTGCCTGATTGTGTCTCCCCACCTGTTTCCCATCACCCTCATTACCTCTTGTATTTAACCTTGTGTGTCTCACTGCCTCATCGCCTCTTCTTGTCTCATTCCAGCATTTATTCATAGTTATTGCCAAGCCATGTATTACCTTAACCTGACTTGACTGCCTTTTTGTGTACCGACCTTTTCCTGAACTTCATTAAACTCTGTTTGTTTGACAACTAAATTGGTGTCGTGCCATTGTGTTCTCCACTCTGTGCTCTGGTTGATGACAAAACTACCTTTTCTTGAATTAATCAACTTGACAGACTGATTACAACACCTACTGCCATGCTGAAGTGAGATTTTTGAACGTTTCTTTGCTGTGGTTGGGATTATAGTTTTCTGAAACTCCCTCTTACATGTGGACCAAACCTTACACATTTCACATTTTGGTTCCTGCATTATGATTCAGATTTTTGTCTTTTCCCATGTACATACATGCCAGTCAAAACCTCAAATACACGAGACAACAGATGGAAAA